TTCCCCATCACTACCATGTACCCTAAAAGGAACCGACCAGTTCCATCTGAGGGTACCTTTGACCTTTTTGTACCCCATGGAACAACACTGTACCCTAACTGTACCTAGGGCTGTGGAGGTCATTAATTTTGTCAGTCCGGAGATTGTCAAGCAAATAACTGCTGGTGTCATGGTAATTGACTGTTAATTAACATAAACACATTTAGCATCTCCTGGCTTCCACGCATAACCTACAAGCCATTGATGCAGACCTTTGGAACATCTACATTTAAAAAAGTATAATAAATCAATGTAATATAGCCTACACCTTCACAATAAATCCATTATTTATTTTAGACAGGTCTAAAGAAACATGATATTAAGAAAATGTAGTCTATTTCAGAAGAACAGAATAACATACTCTTGATTTCCGAGGGAGTGCGCACTTGCGGCTATTCTGTGTTGAGCGGTTAACAAAGAAACTGGTCCTCCTATATGCTTAATTTAGAGTTATTTATGCAACTTTAGTTGTGATTCAATCGTTGGGCTATATTTTTAGATTTGTAATACATTCTAAGGCTGCGTGATGCGACTCTAATGATGATTTGAAAATGTGAAGTCGCATGAAAGGTCATGAGCTCTGCTGTTTCTTGCGCAGGCTGCAAACACTTCATCAGTCTCTCATTCACAATTTGACAAGCACTTGATAATGTCTCAAATTTCCTGGCGGCATCAACCTTGTGTGGCCGTAATGCCCCCTAAAAAAATCCATGCCTTTTGTGGCCAGTGGTCATTGTGCCCTTGGGCTGAATATAATAATTAGAATTCCCTTCTCCCGGCTGCCAATCACCGTGCTCCCCCGAAGCACCTCTCACTTACATGGCTCTCTCAGATATCTAAATTCTTATTAGCCAATGCCCGTCACGTGATCGGGTCCTTCTCACAGGCATCTCAGCTCCGAAGTAGGCTACAAGTAAAGACAGACACACCGGGGACGCAACTGCGCACGTCCTTCTTAATTAATTCTGAGGCACATATTGAAGACGTTAGAAGAACTGTCCACATTTCCTTTTCATCAACCAACAACATGAGTAGTCTAACAAACAGCAAAAGCACTAGCCTATGTCAATCTACTATCCCCATAGTACAAAAATGTAGCTATTCTATTGGTCAACTTGTCCTTCTGTGCAAGAAAGAAATATTCCAAACGTAGTCTGGCACAGTTGTGAGATGCGATAGATCCCAAATTAATGCAACCACTTGGGTCAAAAAAACTTTTAAAAGCAATGTGGCTGATGCAACAGATCAGAACGTTTAGCTTAAAATGTTAATAAACTATTAGGCTATTTCTTCAAATTTTACGCTCAGCAATGCGAATATGCGATTATGCATGTTACACTTTATTATAAAGGTGCAGTTTTATGGTGAAAATGATCTTCCAGTTAGGCTCTACACCGGTTGTAAAGCGGATGAATGTGCTTAATTTTAAGAACTTAAGTTGTGACACAAACCTTATCAAAACATATAGGCCTATGGGCTAGGCTACATGAGGTGTGCAACTATGATTTGAAAAAGTTGCCAAAAAAATCATTCACAAGTGATAGGCTAATATTGTCACCCATCAGACTATTCTTGATTTAATCTTGTCTTTACATATACTAAATAATATATGTGTGAAATTTGTTTTGATTTAGAATGGACCGTTATCATGCACCTGTCTCGAAACAGGGGCAGCGGGAAAAAATACATGTAATCTATGCACTTAAATAGCGAATGGAGGACGCTTTTCCCGTGGTTCATTTTCATGCCAGCCAGGTAGGCTATACAACTGTTGTAAAGTGAAGCAGTGTTTAATATTAGGAAAGTTGTGAAATAAATATATTAGGCCTAGCCAATAGTTAGCTGATGGGATCCTTCTCTTTTTAATAGAGGCCATCAAAACTCTATTTTCTCATGCAATTGCATAGCCTATATAAATGTTGTGCAACATGAGCTCATGGGACTCTCATGAATTGTTTGATTAGATTTTAGATTACATTTTCCATTGATGTCAGAGTGATTAGAGGGACAATAGAGTGCTGAGTACCAGGCAGTTAGCAAGTTTGGTAGGCTACTAATGACCATCAGCAGCATCAGAGCTTGGAGAAGCCTAGTTACCGTGACTAAACGGTCACATGGAATTTGACTGCGGTCATGACTCGTGACCACCGGTGTGGCGGCAATACGGTCACCATAACAGGCCTAACTGTACCCTAGTTTTGAGAGTGTGTGGAAACTGTTTGTTCTTGGTAATAAAGATGTACCTGGTGGCACTGCTGAAACATCAATGCACTTCCGCCCAAAAGCTTGCAAGTTCAAAGCATTTATGCGACTTTACATCAAGTATCACTGAGCACTGATATTTTTTACGTTGGGATAATCTGACAATTATTGACTTAATTCAGGTCATTATTAACCAAGAGGTTACTATGGATGGGGGTGTGAGCATGCAGGTCTGGGCAGATTAGATATAGTCATTGTTTGTGTGCGTCTCTAAATTAGTTGTTGTTCGTATAAGTTTGTATATGGAGTTAAAAAGAACCAGGAGGTTGTGAGTTTAAATCCCAACTGAGGTATAGTCTCTAATAACCAGCATTCAGCAGTATACTGTCCTTTTACAGCAATAAGACCTTAATTCAGCTGTAAAAATGAATTAACTTGTTGTAGTTTACCTTACTTTCACTGCAACCAGTAGCCTGTAGTGTACCGTAAAATTACAGGAACTTTTTAAAACTGTAGTATTTCATGGCATAAAATGAAAACCGGGAGGAGAGGGGAAGAACAGAATGGTTCTTCACAACCACCACAGCAGTAAAGAACCCTTAGAGTATGCATGGTCTGGTCAAGCTGGTCTGCAAAACCATGTCCATCATTATCATATTTCCCAGCATGCTCTATTGCAGTTAGATTTGTATAATTGTTTGTTTCAATATCTGTGTTTTTGCATTGATTGATTGATTGATTTATTTATGCTACACAAAGATAAATAACATACATTTTCTAAACTAATCCAATCTTTTAGTTGGATTTATTTCACCCCTCACTGAAATGGTTTACATGCTTTAGCTAGTCTCATTCAATTATCGTTCTAATCCTGGTAGTCATTCTAATTGCAGATTGTGGGTGAATAAAAGTAGTGATGGGGAAGCGAAGCTTCCTGAAGCATTGAGGTTCTCCAGCCAATTGTGTCTAAAATAGGTTAATTACTCAAGGCTTTGATCAACACAGTGTACACTAGTGGCACCTGCTGGTCAAAATAATTTAGAGCAGCCAAATTATTATAGATGACGTCCCACTCCGTAGTGCGTGGGCAGAGGAGCCTTTTTGTCTTTTATCAAACCAATACCAAACCAATCAGGTGGTTGTTTGACGAAACGAAGCTTCGGACGTCATTGATCAGGTGCTTCTGGTAAAGTGATACAGGCATCCACACACTACTTCGAAGTGCAATGCTTAGCGATTTCGACGCATGCCTTGGAGCTACGGCATCAAACGTAACATCACTAAATAAAAGTAATAATTGTTGGATATCACCACTCAGGCTGGATTCCAATAGGGATCATCAACAAGATTCAGCCGTGGGACAATTTTTTCTTGAGCGGATGGTCAGGGGGCTGGAAAATAATTACAAATATTTGTAGACTGCAAATTGACCGCAAGAAGCCCAAACAGATATAATATTTGACTAAAACATAATAATTTCAAACTTTGCTTACGTTTGTATAAGAACACATACACTGAGTGTACAAAACATTAGGAACACCTACTCTTTCCATGACATAGACTTACCAGGTGAAAGCTATGACCCCTTATTGATGTCACCTGTTAAATCTAGTTCAATCAGTGTATATGAAGGGGAGGAGACAGGTTAAATAAGGATTTTTAAACCTTGAGACAATTGAGACATGGATTGTGTATGTATGCCATTCAGAGTGTGAATGGTAGTGATGTTACTTTTGATGCCGGAGCTACGAGGTGTGCGTCGAAATCGCTAAGCAGTTTACTTTGATGCCTGTATCACTTTATCAGAAGGCCTGTGATCAATGACGTCCGAAGCTTCGTTTCGTCGAACAACCACCTGATTGGTTTGGTATTGGTTTGGTAGAAGACAAAAAGGCTACCCTGTGTACGCGCTATGGGGTGTGGGTCGTCATCTATAATAATTTGTCTGCTCTAAATTATTTTGACCAGCAGGTGCCACAAGTGTACACTGTGTTTTATCAAAGCCTCGAGTAATGAATCTATTTTCGACACAATTGGTTGGAAAACCTCAATGGTTCAGGAAGCTTTGTTTCCCCATCGCTAGTGATTTTTTTAAAAGTGCCTCTGAACGGGGTACGGTAGTAGGTGCCAGGCGTACCGGTTTCAGTTTATCAAGAACTTTAACGCTGCTGGGTTGTTCATGCTCAACAGTTTCCTGTGTGTATCAAGAATGGTCCACCACCCAAAGGACATCCAGCCAACTTGACACAACTTTGCACAACCACAACCAAAAACACAGCAGCTGGTCACCAGCGAAAACACAACGAAGGCTGGTCACCAGCGAAAACACAACGAAGGCTGGTCACCAGCGAAAAGACAACGAAGGGAGAGAGAGGAAGAGAAAGGAAGGAAGAGAGAGAGACAGAAGGGAGGAGGGTGGAGGAAGTGGCCACCTGTCAGGGCTAAATGCTCTCTTAACTCTAGCTCAATCCTACGTTTGACTAAATAATCTAATAATCTGGACCCTATAATCTTATTACCGGAAGTTAATCTGTAATCTGTGTGTGTGTGTTTGTGTTACGAGAGAGTAAGAGAAGGGTCAGGGAGCATCTGATAGGAAGGGATTTATGAAAGAAGAGAGAGAGAGGGGGGGGTAGAGGGAAAGAAATGAAGGAAGAAAATATAAAAGGAAAGAATGAACCTGAGTAGGACAAACAACTAGGCCACTGCTGGAAGACTCATTGATTGATCCCTTCTTCCTATGTGTCAGTGTTGTTGCCATGGCGAGGCACTGGCGTCCGTCATCGGACCACTTCCCCCCCGCCAGCTGCCATTTTGGATCAACAGGTGGACTCAGGACGAAGAGAAAAGAAGGGGGGGAGGAAGAGGAAGAGGAGGAGGAACGCTCGCCCATCTACTCTCTCTCCAAGAGCTCCATGGACGTAGTCATGACAACCGGACACCAGCATCTGCGAGACCCGGCCTGGGCAAAGCTGGAGCTGAGACGAAGCGCCAGCCATAACACACACTCCTCCCCAAACACACAAACACCAAAGCTCACACCCTTACACTCACACACGTCTCAAAACACACACGGGCACGGATCTCCCCTTGGCAACGAGCGTGTGGAGAGTTGGAGTGTGTGTAGCGGTGGTAGCACTCCAGAGACGGTCATACGGAAGGGAAGGGCCTCCCACCCCTGGATTATGACTGAGGAGACCCCCTGTGTCCCGTACTTCACTCGCTGCTCCAAATTGGCTTCAGAGTCTCAGTCTTCCTCACACCTAGTTGTGACCTCACCTCAATCCTCACCCTTCACCTCACCCCTAAACACACCCACACACAGCCCAACACTACACCCACTCCAATACACACCCTCACCTGTGTCCTCACCCCTACCTGTAACCTCACCTCTACCCTCACCCCTACCTGTAACCTCATCTCTACCCTCACCCCTACCTGTAACCTCACCTCTACCCTCACCCCAACCTGTAACCTCATCTCTACCCTCACCCCTACCTGTAACCTCACCTCTACCTTCACCCCTACCTGTGACCTCACCTCTACCCTCAACTCCACCTGTAACCTCACCTCTACCCTCACCCCTACCTGTGACCTCACCTCTACCCTCACCCCTACCTGTAACCTCACCTCTACCCTCACCTCTACCTGTGACCTCACCTCTACCCTCAACTCCACCTGTAACCTCACCTCTACCCTCACCCCTACCTGTGACCTCACCTCTACCCTCACCCCTACCTGTGACCTCACCTCTACCCTCACCCCTACCTGTAACCTCACCTCTACCCTCACCCCTACCTGTGACCTCACCTCTACCCTCACCCCTACCTGTAACCTCACCTCTACCTGTGACCTCACCTCTACCCTCAACTCCACCTGTAACCTCACCTCTACCCTCACCCCTACCTGTAACCTCACCTCTACCCTCAACTCCACCTGTAACCTCACCTCTACCCTCACCCCTACCTGTAACCTCACCTCTAGCCTCATCCCTGGCCCATAAAGGATGCCCACCAAATCCTTACACAGACAAGGCTTGTTCCCCCCACAAGCATCCCTCTTCCCCCAGTCCCTTCCCCTCTTCTTCCTGTAGAGCTCAAGGTGAGGAAAGTCTAGAGGAGAGCGGCAGCAATGAGCAGGTCCCACCCCAGCCAGGGTGCACCAGTGTGGGGACATACTATGGAGAGAAGCCCTCTATCCTGAGGGCGAAACCCAGTCCCAGTCCTAACAACAACACACAGCCCCTGGGTGTTAGCCTGGGCAGCCCTGTACAACAGCAAGACGTGGAGATGGACCATCGGGTGTTTTTCCCGAGCCCACCATCTCACCTGGCGATGTCATGGTCACAGAGGCTCACCTGTCCGTCTGGCCGAGGTCAGAGGTCGGTGGCTTTAGTCTCCTCCCTCAGTGACTCGCGATTGGACGGCTGCCAATGCTGCTGCTATAACTCTGCCCACTCAGGGGTCATGAACTTGATGACGTCATCACCCCAGGGGTCAGGGTTCAAGGAGGAGGGGACGATGACATCACAGAGGGAGCTGGTTGAGGTAGGGGTGCAGGCGGGGTCACCTCTAGGGTCAAAGTTCAACTATAGGTCCCTCCAGATCTCCATAAAGGATCATGGGTTGGACAGTAATCTGGGGTCCCCCACTCGGCCCAACTCCTACGTTGGCTCCAACTCTTATCTAGGTTCACAGTCCATCTTGGGGTCCCCTCCGGGGTCAAGGTTGAACCTGAGGTCATCGCTTGGCTCCCACTCCAACCTGATGTCGCCTTCTTCCAGTATGTTCCCTCTGGCTAGCCCTGGAGAAGAGGAGGAGGAGGAGGTGGTGTGGGAGGAGAGCAGCTCTCCCCCGCTGGGGGAGATGGGGAGGAGGAGGTCCTGTCTGAAGGTGGCGGTACAGGAGGAGGAGAGGAGGAGGAGTGGAGAGAGGGATCACAGCAAAAGGAGGAGTAGTATGAAACAGGTGCAGTGGGATAAAGATGGACTGACCTGGGACGTTTACGGAGCCTCTCTGGACCCAGAGGAACTCAGCTCGGCCATACAGGTGTGTGTAGGCGTGTGTGCAGCTTGACTATTCAGGTGATGGTTTCTACATGTCAATCTATTTGTTTTAAATGTTTATCTATATATTCATTGTTTTTAATATGTTAATATGTTTTCTCTAATCTTATCATGCAGAAACACCTACAGCTCATAACCAGGACAGACAACACAAACACAGAAACCACTGCCAAGACCAAACCCAAGACCAAAAGCAAGTCAAGGGTTAAGATCATGTCTAAGACCAAGACCCCTCCCATGGAAACCGCTACCACGTCAACCCCTGTTATGACGACCAAGCGCAAGACCGTTTCCATGGAAACCGCTTCCCTGTCAACCCCTGTCACAACCAAAAGAAAGGCCACTTTCATGGCAACTTCCCCAATGGCAACCCTTGTCACACCCCTATCGATTAATACCATGGCGACTGCTGCTATAGAGACTGAGGCTGACACTAAAGGAGAGGGAGAGAGAGAGGGAGAAGGAGATGGAGATAGAAAGGGAGGAGAGGTAGAGAGAGAGAGAGAAGGAGAGGAGGAGGGAGGAGGAGAGGAGGAGGAGAGGAGGAGGGAAGAGGGAGGACAGAGGGGAGAAGAGACAGAGGAAGAGGGGACACCGGTGCTGTCTCGTAAGTCGTCATCCCGCAAGAAGAAGAGTGGAGGAGTGATGAGGTCAATGAAGCGATGCGTTCGCTCCTCAAGCCCCAATGACTGACACTGGAAGCACACCGAGAAGGTGGACATTCTCCCATTACAAGACTAACCAATGACTGTATGGGACCAAAACAGGGGGTTGGCGGGGTGCAGTCTAAAAGGGAAAATAGTCATCTGTATAACCCTAACACTGGACTCCATCTGTATAACCCTAACAACCTGGGACTCCATCTGTATAACCCTAACACTGGACTCCATCTGTATAACCCTAACACTGGACTCCATCTGTATAACCCTAACACTGGACTCCATCTGTATAACCCTAACACTGGACTCCATCTGTATAACCCTAACACTGGACTCCATCTGTATAACCCTAACACTGGACTCCATCTGTATAACCCTAACACTGGACTCCATCTGTATAACCCTAACACTGGACTCCATCTGTTAACCCTAACACTGGACTCCATCTGTATAACCCTAACATGGACTCCATCTGTATAACCCTAACATGGACTCCATCTGTATAACCCTAACACTGGACTCCATCTGTATACCTAACATGGATCCATCTGAATACCCTAACACTGGACTCCATCTGTATAACCCTAACACTGGACTCCATCTGTATAACCCTAACACTGGACTCCATCTGTATAACCCTAACACTGGACTCCATCTGTATAACCCTAACACTGGACTCCATACTGATGTAGTGTAGTTTTTAGCTACTTTATATTTCTGTTGGTATTCAAATGTATCTGCACAGTAGGTTCAGGTCTGCAATAACATATAGGTCCAGGATTCCTTGACATCAATATGTGTTACTGTGGATATGTGATTGTGTGGATGCTATGGATGATTGTAAAGAATCTCCAATGGAAAAAAAGCAATGTAATGTATTAAATTATCCGGTTAAAACATGAACTATTGTTACTTTCATATGTATTCTCTGAACTATACATATACAGTACGCTCACTCATTCTCTCGCTCACTCACTCAAAATAAACACACAGACACTCACATACAGAGTGTGTGTGTAAACTTGGTGGTGTGAGTCGGTCTATACTATGTATGTTCAGTTCATTCAGGCCCTGTATAGTGCCACTGTTCAGATGAGCAGGCACATTCCCTGTCTTTCACCGTAGTAAAGGCCTGAAACCTCTTCTCGCTAGCTGCTTCTACTGTTGTCGTATCTCACTGTTCACGAACAAACACGGTAGTTGTATGTATCATGTAGAGTAACAAAGCTCTCTCATCTCGTCTTCTCGTCTAGCTAGAGTAGAGCTCGAGATCTAGCGTCGTCTGCTCCTAGGAGAGATCTTCTCTCTCTACTCTACCTCATCTCTATCTAGGCTGTATATCTACTCTATCTAGCTCTTCGTCTACTCCATCTCTCTCTCTCGCTCTCTCTCGCTCTCTCTCGCTCTCTCTCGCTCTCTCTCGCTGGGGGTGAAAGTGGTACAGTCCTGGGCTTAGTTGCAGGCCATACTTATATAGGATGACTTCATCCATCCACAGCCCTAGGGAGGTTTGGATGAATTTAATGTAATGTATTTCCAAGAAAGTGGTTTTGTATTTTATTGGCTAGGTTATAGAGGTTAACTGGAGAAGATTTATAGTTAAGTAGATTTTTAGATAAGTAAAAGTAAGCCTTGTGAGGGAGATTATTTAAGCAATAATGCCCGAGGCGGTGTGGCATATGGCCAATATACCACGGCTAAGGGCTGTTCTTATTCACGATGCAATGTGGAGTGCCTGGATACAGCCCTTAGCCGTGGTATATTGGCCATATATCACAAACCCCTGAGGTGCCTTATTGCTATTATAAACTGGTTACCAACATAATTACATTTACATTTACATTTTAGTCATTTAACTTACAGTTAGTTTATTTTTCATACTGGCCACCCTTGGGAATCAAACCCACAACCCTGGCGTTGCAAACGCCATGCTCTACCAACTGAGCTACATCCCTGCCGGCCATTCCCTCCCCTACCCTGGACGACGCTGGGCCAATTGTGCGCCGCCCCATGGGTCTCCCGGTCGTGGCCGGCTACGACAGAGCCTGGATTCGAACCAGGATCTCTAGTGGCACAGCTAGCACTGCGATGCAGCGCCTTAGACCACTGCACCAATATTTTTTGGGTCATACCCATGGTATACAGTCTGATATACCATGGCTTCAGCCAGTCAGCATTCAGCACTCAAACCACCCAGTTTATAATTACAAGTAATGGGGTGTAATAGCTTGTAGGCATGAATGGGTAGAGTGATGATGGGGGGGGGGGGGGGGGGGGGGGGGGGAGTACAGGTAAGGTCATCTAAAGGTCACCGGGTCACGTGACACAGGATCAGGAGGTGGGCTGATGGGGTCAGTGGCGAGTACAGCTGTTTTTGTCCTACATGTTTGTCCTACATGTCTGCGGCCAAGGGAGCGTGTTGTGCCTGTGTGTCTATGTTCATGCATGCGCATGTATGAATGTGTGTGTGTGTGTGTGTTGAAAGTGCTGATGGGCCTCCCAGAAGCCCCCATCCATCACTGTAGAAGCCCCTGGCTGCAGGAGAACAATCCAACGTTGGGGCTTTGTGGTCCTTTTTGTCCCTGGGGGAGGGGGGGGGAGTGTGTGTGTGTGCACATGTTCGTTTGTGGATGAGTGTGTGAGTATATGTGTATGTATATGCCTGAGTATGTGCATGCGCTTGGAAGCCTGTATGTGTGTGTGTGTTTGTCCAGTGCTGTATAAATAGCGTGCTGTGGGCGCAAGGCAGTGATTCTGCTGAAGATGGTTGATGTTCCAGGGCCTCCGCTCCTATCTCTGCTGCTGCTGTTGAGTGTGTTGGCTCTGCCTGCCACAACATACACCCTGACCCCTGGCAGACAGCGCCATGCCCAGCACAAAGTCCTGCAACTGGGTGAGCCAGAAACACACATACTCATCTTAACAGCGACTCTCTCTCTCTCTGTCACTCTCTCACTCTCACATTTAATCAGTCTGATCTCAACCATTCCTACTTGGGCCAATAACTAAAATCGAAATCAAACATTTTTCTTGTATCATTCTAATTGTTTTGACCTGTGATAGTCACAAAGGTTATGTTTACACAGGCAGCCCAATTCTGATATTTTGCCCAATTATGAGCAAAAGAGCTGATCTGATTGGTCAATAGACCAATTAGTGGAAAAGGTATCAGAATTGGGGTCCTGTGTAAACGCAGCATCTCTTATCTTTGTAACTGACTGTGATGATTCTTAAACTGGTCCACAGACTGTGACATGGTTGATCTAGGATCAGTATTAGTCTGACTGTACTGATAGTTCCTGTGTATTTTCTCTCCTATAGACTGGCCTAAGGACTGTGGCATGGCCCACTATAAACCCAACATGGCTGAACGGATCGTCTCTGGCAACGAGGCCAGACCTCACTCCTGGCCATGGCAGGTCTCCCTACAGGTAATCAATCAACCAATAAACATACTTCTACCTGCTAACTTCAGGGCATTACATTTTTACTTAGAGACGAAGTGAAAATGTGACTTAAAAATAACTGTCCAGTGAATATGATACTTTTAAAAGTTATTATTCTGTTAACTCATATCCAAATAATGTTGTTGACTCGTCCTATACTCGTATTTGTGGCCAAAGCATAAATTGGAGAAAAAACACTTAAAAACCCCACCTCAAACTTTTATCTCTAGTTTGGCTCCTGGATGCTGATTGGCTGAAAGCCGTGGGTTCTTAAGCACGACGCAACATGGAGTGCCTGGATACAACCCTTAGCCATCAGTGGTCTACTCGCTTGAATATTTTAAATGACCGGTAAAAGGCCACATCATGGCCAATAAACTGGTTACCAACGTAATTAGAGCAGTTCATATACATGTTTTGTCATACCCGTGGTATACGGTCTGATACACCAATGCTGTCAGCCAATCAGCATTCAGGGATCGAAACACCCAGTTTATGTAAACTGGGTGGTATAAACTGGGTGCTTAGAGCTTTGAATGCTGATTGGCTGACAGCCGTGGTATATCAGACCGTATACCATGGGTAAGACAAAACATTTTTACTGCTCTAATTACATTGGTAACCAGTTTATAATTGCAATAAGGCACCTCAGAGGTTTGTTGTATATGGCCAATATACCACGGCTACGGGCTGTATCCAGGCACTCCGCATTGCTTCATGACTAAGAACAGCCCTTCGCCGTGGTATATTGGCCATATACCACACCCACTTGGGCCTTATTGCTTAAATATATCATGGGTATGACACAAAACTACTTGCTTACTGTTATATTTATGTTGGTAACTGGTTTATAATAGCAATAAGGCACCACACCTCCACGGGCCATATTGCTTAAATAGAACATGATGTCATGTTAGCTCATTAGCTGAGCTGGCCAATCAGCAGTCTACTCGCATGAAGATTTTTAATGACCGGTATACGGCCACACCATTCTGTTGTTGGGGTACGCCCACACCATTCCAACACAGAAAAGCTGCTTTTTAACATACTTAATTGCCATTTTTTGGAAGGACAATTATTTCACTCATATTGTAATTAAATGCAGGTCATATTTCATAGAAATCTGGAAACACTGGACAGTTACTTTAAAAGGGAGGTCTTGCTTGTGGGTTAATGGTACCTGTGTGTTTCAGGTTCGTCCCAGAGGCAGTAAGCACTACATCCACGTCTGTGGAGGAACTCTCATCCACAAGAACTGGGTCCTCACTGCTGCCCACTGCTTCCAGAAGTAAGACCAGTCAGACAATACAAACACACAGACACACTGCCTCCAGAAGTAAGATTTGCCATTTCAATAATGTTGTGTGATACCACTCATGAACTGAACTAGAAATAAACCCTAGGAGTGCTCTAATCTCTAACCCATACACCATAACTCGGTTAAGAGTAGAGAGAGTCAATAAAACTTATGAGAAAACATAAAGGACTAGTCGATGACCTGTGTGTAATGTGACAGTTTGAGTCTGAACCCTGTGTGAACTCAGTTACCCACCATGCTGTGTGTCTCAGGGGTAAAGCCGAGGATGCTGGGAGTTGGAGGATCGTCCTGGGGAAGCACCGGCTGAAACGTTCCGAGAAGCCTGAGAGGACTATCCCGGTGAAGAGGATCTACCGTCACGAGCACTTCCGTTACCCCACACACAGCGAGCTGGACTACGACATCGCCCTGGTCAAGGCTGCCACCGATATCGTGCCCAACAACCACATACGCTACGCATGCCTGCCGCGCAAACAGATCAACCTGAAGCCTGGACAATACTGCTGGGTGACCGGCTGGGGAGACACTCGGGGTAAGGAGGTGGGAGGAGAGGGGGAGGAGAGGGGAGGACAGGGGGTAGGGAGGGGGAGGAACAAGGGTTGAGGGGAGTTGATGGTGGAGGGAAGCACACGGGTTGAGGGGGAGGCTGGAGGGAGACTATAACCACTTATGTGAACTAAAATTGAGGACAAGAGAGCATTGACCAGGGTTGTGTTCAGTAGTAACAAGAATGTTACGTAAAGGTAATCCTGTAGTGTTTCCCTGTCTGTGTACCAGGTGGGAAGGAGAATGTGTCTTTGGCTGAGGCTCTGAACCAGGCCCGTCTGCCCATCATCGACTTCAAGACCTGCCGTCAGAAAAAGTTCTGGGGAGAACGTGTCAGGGACTCCATGATCTGTGCCGGCTTCAGAGACACAGAAGGACCACCTGCTGCCTGCCAGGTAGAAAGGGAGGGAGGAGAGGAGGGAGATGGGGACAGAGAGGGAGGGTGGGAGGAAGGGACACAGAAGGACCACCTGCTGCCTGCCAGATAGAAAGGGAGGGAGGAGATGAGGGAGATGGGGACAGAGAGGGAGGGTGGGAGGAAGGGACACAGAAGGACCACCTGCTGCCTGCCAGGTAGAAAGGGAGGGAGGAGAGGAGGGAGATGGGGACAGAGAGGGAGGGTGGGAGGAAGGGACACAGAAGGACCACCTGCTGCCTGCCAGGTAGAGAGGGAGGGAGGAGAGGAGGGAGATGGGGACAGAGAGGGAGGGTGGGAGGAAGGGACACAGAAGGACCACCTGCTGCCTGCCAGGTAGAAAGGGAGGGAGGAGAGGAGGGAGATGGGGACAGAGAGGGAGGGTGGGAGGAAGGGACACAGAAGGACCACCTGCTGCCTGCCAGGTAGAAAGGGAGGGAGGAGAGGAGGGAGATGGGGACAGAGAGGGAGGGTGGGAGGAAGGGACACAGAAGGACCACCTGTTGCCTGCCAGGTAGAAAGGGAGGGAGGAGAGGAGGGAGATGGGGACAGAGAGGGAGGGTGGGAGGAAGGGACACAGAAGGACCACCTGCTGCCTGCCAGGTAGAGAGGGAGGGCGGAGAGGAGGGAGATGGGGACAGAGAGGGAGGGTGGGAGGAAGGGAGAAGTGGGAAAGACAGAGAGGAGGAAGAGAGGAGAAAGAAATACATACTTGTACTTTGTATTAACATTGGAATGTGATCTAACAATGTCCCCCCCCCCCCCCCCCCTTTCAGGGTGACTCAGGGGGTCCTCTGCTCTGTCAGCTGGGGCGTGACAGGTGGGAGGTGCACGGTGTGGTGAGCTTCGGCCCAATTGGCTGCACCGTGGAGAACAAGCCCAGCGTGTTCACCCGCACCGCCAACTACATCCCCTGGATCGAGGCTACCCGCATCAGAGACTTCTTCCTGCATTAGACCACACACACACACAGAACCTAACAACCCCTCTGCACCCACCAAACTACAGCATTGTTTTTTGGGGAGAGGTACCATATTAACCCCGCCCCCTTCAACCTCTCCCCCTCCCCGCTGTGACCATGACCTGTGAGTCACTACAGTGACATCAGACAATATTTGAATAAATCAATAAATGGTGCTTTCAAAACAACAAGGTAAAATCGTGACGTCAGCGATCTTCAAGGTGGAAAGTCAGAGCTCTAGGATGATTCCCGAGTTTCCGACTTGGATGACAGTTAAAAAAACTATTTTTCCCAGTCTGAGCTGGTTTTTTCCAACTTCCCAGTTGTCTTAAAAGCACTGAGGTCGGAGCTTTCCGAGTAGCCCAGTCGTCTTCAACGTGGCAAAAGACTAAAACATTTTACATGCACCAATGTACGCTGATCAGCATTTCATTAATCAAGCCATCTGTCATTATGTTGTCATCTGTGTTGAGTTGTGTGTTCATCTGTTATTCAGAACTCTCTATCCACTGAATGTGAATGTCAGTGGAGGCTGGTGGGAGGAGCTACAGGACGGGCTCATTGTAATGGCTGAAATGGAACGGAGTCAAACGTGCTTTCCATATGTTTGATACCGTGCCATGTATTCCATTCCAACGAGCCCGTCCTCCTATAGCTCCTCCCACCAGCCTCCACTGGTGTATGTTAAGGACAGTTTGTTTCGTAATCACACTCATGTCAATGATTCAATGTTGTTCTATGTCCATAACCTATCCATTTTGTCCTGTTAAATGTAAACATTCAGAATCAAGTTCTCCCATTTTAATGGTGCATGCAAAGGAACAGATTTGCAATTTATATGGCACTGATGACACCTTTACCTTCACCCCGTCCCCAACCACCATTCCACTTCCTGGTTGTACTCTTTCCTGACTACAACTCCCATCATGCAGTATGTCACCCAATAAAGTCAGCAGAAAAAGCAGAACATTGTGAAGCTCTTCTTCCTAATCTAGAACACTACTGTTGTTAGTTTAGCTTACTGACCGATAAGTGTGTAGCTGAGTTTGTGGCAGTTCAAACCCTGTCAGTCACAATAGCATATCACCCCCCTACAGGCTTTCACCATATAAACAGCATGAGCACAACTGACAAAGACCCAGGGCAACATATTCTTATTTCCAATGTTTGTTGTATTGTTCTTACAGTGAATTTAACAGGCAAGGCGACACAAAGATAATACATACACTTCCAGTACTGTTTGAAGGTAACTTTTACACAGGCCAGCGTCAAGTCCAACTAACAGGAAAACAGTACTCACTATGAATATATGCATTACAACAGTCTCTTTGCTCTTCCGTTTGATGAGAAGAGTCGTGGTTCCGTATCTGAAGGACTACAACCCAAATCGTCACGAGACAAATGACTACAATCATGGTTTCCAGCAGCTCTCTGATTGGGTCTGAGCCCAGTGTGGCGGGGGTGGTTCAATGGACCATGCTTAGATGATGAATAACCTTGCCTGAGAAGACTTGTTTTAGCACCCTGTACTAACCCCTTGGCTTTACCTCAGGGAGCTGACAGTCTTTAGGGTAGGGGAGGGAATGGCTGGCAGGGATGTAGCTCAGTTGGTAGAGCATGGCGTTTGCAACGCCAGGGTTGTGGGTTCGATTCCCACGGGGGGGCCAGTATGAAAAATAATGTATGACCTCAATATATAATTACTATTATATTATTATAAAAATAAAAAAAATGGTGTATGACCTCACTAACTATAAGTCGCTCTGGATAAGAGCGTCTGCTAAATTACTTAAAATGTAAAGTGGGCTACATCTTAAAAGGGCAATTGCCACCACTTTTCAACCTCCTATTCATCATGTCAAGCACCAAACCAGTGTCTACATGTGAAAACAGTGTGTTTCTATGATCTGTGGTTAAAAACATCAGGTCCTAAAAAAAAACATCACAGGGTAAAACAGTGATTTTCCAAAACAGGCAACGAGTTTCTAGACCAAGGGCGGTATTTTCTTGCTTCCCACATCACCGCGAACCTCAGTGTTTGAAAATCACTTTTGATGATGTCGAGTAGAACTTTTAAACTTAATTCCCCCCCCTACAAGACTTAGAAATGTGCCGTTTTCACATAATGTAAACGCTGGTATTGTGCTGGAGATAATGAAAATGAGGTTGAAGAGTGGAGGGGTTGCCCTTTAAATACCCAGTCGGTAACACCAGCAGAGGTCTTCAAATGCATCATTCCTTCACCCCTCCCCTCTTTTAATTAATCACTGATCGGACCTGACTGGATCGGTGTAAACAGATTTCCACTGCATTGTTTCCATCACTCCAGTCATGTCAGATCAGTGATTACTTCGCAGGGAGAGAGGAGGCATGTGAAAAGTATTACAACAGGACCCCAGTCGCCCTCTGCTTAGTACATACTCTTAACATGACTTTTTCTCTCTCTTCCAGGCTACTGGACGCAGCATTGAATAATATAAACACAAGATACATTTCTAAAAACAGTTCCCAATACAATAACACATGAACCCCTTGGAAATAGCTTTTCAGATGGGTGGGGGTGAGAGGGGAGGTACCCCAAAGGGACAGGGCTCTGTCACAGGGTGGGGGCAGCAGGGGCAGTTGTGTGTAGACAGAGGAGTGTTTCCTGGAGGTCATTTAGTCCATGGTTTAATGACATCTCAGTCATTCCTCCAATATCCCAGAACCCCTTCAAATTAGGAAGTGAACAGATGGGAGAGGCTGATATTTGTGGGAGGGGTTTAAGTATTGGCACCCTATTCCCTGAGGATCTGACCATAAGTAGTGCACCAAGTAGGGAATAAGGTGCCATTTTGGATGGAACCAAATAGACGGGGGCGTGTTCAGTAGAGACTTGAAGAGGAGGAGCCACGTCTGATATGGTCCCAGTTGCTGTAGAGAGCGTAGGCACCGGACAAGGTTAACCCCACCAGACCCCCACGCGCCACTCCCTTCAGCCCTCCTGAAACACAACACACACAATAAGATTTGAATGAGACAGACGATGGTGTTTATATGGCTCCATCTCAGCATGTACATTTCTCTAACACACGATGCACAGACAGGCCACACACACCTACCTGTGGATTTGAAGAGCATGCCTGTGAGAGTCCCAGCAGCCACAGTGTTGATGTCATCTTCTGCTCCTCTAGCCTTCTCTATGGCCACGCCAAATACACTGTACAACAACGCTGTACACACACACACACACACACACACACACACACCATGGTTAATACAATAATACTAGGGATAGCAGACCCTGACACCTGGTTGGCATGGTGATGAAGAAGCGATGAGGAGAGAGGAAGACGTGAGTGCTCACCAACAGAGCCCAGTGTGTTGGCCCACGATGCACCTTGTCTGGTCACCATGTTGAGAATCCTGAGGGCAAGTTCAGAGGTCAGATAAGCGAGCCAATCAGAGAGCAGTATATAGAGCACCATACCATAGAACATTTCTATTAGCATGACTAAGACCTGTCTCCAACGCGATAACACCAAAGACACATACTACTGGAGGAACATAGTGGGCTTACTGGACGTTGCGAGGTTTAGTCCAGCCCATTTCTCTCGTATCCTTCAACCCCATCCTCAGACCATTCACTGTCCCAAACGCAGCTCCTAGAGGCAGAGAGAATCAGATACAAGCAGACAACATCATTTCATCTGGGAGAGGGGGAGTGAAAGGGATAGACAGATGAGAGAGGGAGAGGCAGAGAAACTGAGGGAGGGAGGGAGTATGTGTCACCTGTGATACAGCAGCCCCCGATGGTGAAGAACGCTAGTTCAAACCGCCCTCTGGTTTTGTTGGCCCCTGTGGGCAGGATGAACTCATCTGTGTCCTGGAACACACACACACACACTGGTTAACATCTGTGATCTTAGTCGACTTGTTAGTGGGAATGTCACAAATCAATTCTACATTCATTGATTGGGGTCAAATGTATACTACTAGCTAGCTAGCTAGAATCTCTTACCTGTACAAGGTAGCGGGGGTCGACATTGAGATAAGGTGACAGGGGGCTCATTCCAGTCACTGTGTAGAAAATTGGACAAGACAACAGTTGTCACATTCAACATAAACCTTAGCCACCTTAGTGATGTCAACTGATGTCAACTTTTCTAGCTAACGCTAGTTAGCATGCTAGCTAAGTACATACATCAAGTTGCAGAGACACTTACATGGGACACCGGCGAGCTCTGTGTTAGAGTATTCGCCGCCTCCAAAGAGACTCCCGAAGCCGCCTTTCCCTCCCGATCCGGGGGCGTTGTTGTCCATTTCTGGGGAATATCTGGAGACTCACCCGGCAAATGCTTCGGACTGGAGATCCTGTTTGGGTGAACTAGCTAGCTAGCCTAGCAGACCAAACGTTATGATGCAATCCGAGGGACCGACAGTTCTCGTTGGAAAAGCTATACCGATATTTCCTGGTATCTACAACGCAGTAATATGTTTACGTTTCAATATGTTTGTACACTGTCTTACTGTAAGTAGTCAGGTATTGAACTGATCAGCTTTTTGTAATGGATGGTTGGGTTCGCTTTTTATCATGCTTCTCTGACCTCCACGCTCTGCCGTAAAGCGACCACACGGGTGATTACGTAAAAAAAAGGTAAACACAGCATTAAGGTGAATGACTCAACGTAAAAAGGGTGAAATAAAGCAATGTTTGAATTTGATACGGGACTATAACCATATAAAAATATATTTTAGATGACTGAAATTACAAACGCCACACATTCAGATATAAATGAAACGTAAAGGGTCCGATATTTTCTTTTGCGACAGTTCATGACATCACAGGGTCAGTTAAAGTACTGATCAATTACGCTAGATGGCAGCAAAGTAACATTAAATCGCTCAACGCCAGTTCATCTATTACCGAAAGACCAGACCAAATATTATAATAACTAACTCCTTTCATCTTCCCTTTAATTCCCCTTTCATCTGTGACCAGACTGTGGAGACCACCAGTACTATCTTTGATTAGACATTAATGTGTGTTAGGTGTCAGGTCTTTGTTCACTCTTAATCTGTTTTGCTTTGCATACACACACAAATCTTTTGGCTTGCGCCCTCCTTAGTGTGTGTGGGCCTGGCCTACACAGTCCGGCCATCTGTTGCGGGTCAGAGGGATGCTGAATACATTTATTGTGATTTTAAAAAACGCCCCACAAATAACAAAAAACGTCATATTTAGATGCAGCCACTGTAGCAGCCTTGTGTTATTGTGTATTGTGTTATTGTGTATTCAGCCCAGTCCAAGTGGACAAGTGGAGCGATGAAGATTGTCATTGTTGCTGTGTGTGTGTGTGTGTGTGTGTGTTCAAGCTGCCTGGCACAGTCGGTGAGTAACTGTTGTCTCTGTATGGGAGATACGTGAACCCGCTGGCCTCATACAATACCCTATTCAGTCTCGCACACACACTCACACACGGACTGGCCAAGAGGCTCGCTCATCCTTAGCCAATCACCAGGAGGGAGGAGGGGGCACAACCCAAAAAATGGTGTATGTGAGAAAAATAGCTGTGACGTCATCTTCAATCTTCTTCTTCTTCTCTTTCCCACATGCACACTTGTTGCTAGATCTCCCTCCCTCTCTCTCTGTCTTTGCTATCTCGGCCCTCTCTCTTTTCTCTCAGCTGAACTAAAGCTGAACTAAGCCAGTACAGAAAGGGGCCTCAACAGGACCCTGGTGTTTATGCTTGCTGTCACAGAGACAAGAAGAGAACGTTGTGGCTCTATAAACAGGCTCAGTGTTGTGTGTTTTACAATTGTATTTTATTTAGCCTTTATATATCCAGGTTAGTCTCATTGAGATAAAAATCTATTTTTCAAGTGAGACCTGGTCCAACCAAGACAGGGGGGAACCATGTTTCAGACAAATATCAGGCATAATAATTCAGACACACCATAAACAACATTTAAACATAGACACACATACATTACAATTACAGAAACATTCAAACGTCGTAGATAAAAAATCAATCATATGTACCACCACATCAAGTCCTAATGACAATCACATTCCTCAGTAACATGTGAGTCAACCAAACTTTTAAACTCCTCCAAGGAAACAAGATCCTGGTGTTTCAAGCTATGGTATGGTAGTAGGTGCCAGGCGCACCTGTTTGTGTCAAGAACTGCAACACTGCTGGGTTTTGCATGCTCAACAGTTTCCTGTGCGTATTAAGAATGGTCCACCACCCAAAGGACATCCAGCCAACTTGACAACTGTGGGAAGCGTTGGAGTCAACATGGACCCGTATACCTGTGGAACGCTTTCGACACCTTGTAGATTCCATGCCCTGACGAATTGAGGCTGTTCTGAGGGCAAAAGTGTAGGGGTGCAACCCAATATTAGGAAGGTGTTCGTAATGTTTGTACACTCAGTGTAGATCACAGTATACCAATGTTTAAGCCTAGAGTCAACGAAGACCAGCCAACAGCACTATAGATATCACAGTGATGTGTCAGACACTTTTGGTTGGTAACAAACTTAAGGGCTGCATGATACACAGAAGGAAGTGCTTGAGGTCTGCATATAAATTAGATCACTGTAGTCCAACACAGACAGGAATGTACACCGTATCAGCTCTTTTCTGGCCTCTAAGAAAAACAAGCCTTATGAAGGTAATAAAAACCTATTTTCAACATGAGCTTCCTTTAATTTTTTGTACATTTACCCCTTTTTCTCCCCAATTGGTAGTTACAGTCTTGTCCCATCGCTGCAACTCCCCTACGGACTCGGGAGAGGCGAAGGTCAAGAGCCATGCGTCCTCCGAAACACGACCCTGCCAAGCCGCAGTGCTTCTTGACACACTGCTCGCTTAACCCGGAAGCCAGCCGCACCAACGTGTTGGAGGAAACACCGTCCAGCTGGCGACTGAAGTCAGCTTGCAGGCGCCCGGCCCGCTACAAGGAGTCGCTAGAGCGCGATGGGACAAGGAAATCCCAGCCGGCCAAACCCTCCCCTAACCCGGACGACGCTGAGCCAATAGTGCGCCGCCTCTTGGGTCTCGGCCGGCTGTGACACAGCCTGGGATCGAACCTGCGTCTGTAGTGACACCTCAAGCACTGCCACTCGGGAGGCCCAACTTGAGCTTCTTTACCAGGTTCTCAAGATGATTAGTGAAGCTCTGCTTCTCATCCACTCAAACTCCCAGATATTTGTAAATTTTGACTTGCTCTATGGAATTTCCTTCCAAGGTAGCAATGACATGGTTATCCGAGTGTTGGAAGCTATGGGCTAGTATTGGCTGTAGGCTAGATTAGACAGAGAGGAAAGTCGTTTACCATATGGTCTGGCGATGGTCTGAGAGATCCTGGCAGTGGTTTAAAATACTTGTACTATTTATATTTTTTCAAAACGTTTACTTCACTACATTCCTAAAGAATATAATGTACTTTTTACTCCATACATTTTCCCTGACACCCAAAAGTACTCGTTACATTTTGAATGCTTAGCAGGACAGGAAAATGGTCCAATTCACACATGTATCAAGAGAACATCCCTGGTAATCTCTACTGTCTCTGATCTGACTGACTAACTAAACACAAATGCATCGTTTGTAAATTATGTCCGAGTGTAGGTGTATCCTGGCTATCCGTAAACAAAAAAAACAAAAAAATTGTGCCATCTGGTTTGCTTAATATAAGGAATTTGAAATGATTTATACTTTTACTTTTGATACCTAAGTATATTTTAGCAAGTAAATTTACTTTTGCCACTTCTGTTTTTTTAGAAACCAAATACTTTGACTTTTTCTCAAGTAGTATTTTACTGGGTTATTTTCACTTGAGTCATTTTCTATTAAGGTATCTTTACTTTTACTCAAGTATGACAATTGGGTACTTTTTCCCACCACTGGATCCTGGACTAAACATCATACAACTACAGACAAAACAGGAACAGCTGAATTCAAGAGAGCACACACACACAGCGTTCTAGATGCTTCTGACAAGTGCCTCTGCCTCAAGCCCCAAAATGGAAAAATGACGCAGTATTTCTTCTTCTCCCGCTCACTCATTCTGGATCTTTCTCTTTTAGCCCTCTCTCCTTCCGTAGGAATGTCATGTTGATGTTCTTGCTCCCACACTCTAGTCCAGTGGATTGCCAGATCATGCTCCTTCTCCCCCAACAGCTGCAGGGGCAGTATCCGGAACACAGGCCCAGAGCCAAGCCTGGGGCTCAATTACCTCGCTACACCCAGAGAGGGTGCAGGAAGGGCAGGGAGAGGGAGAGAACAACCCACTGACAGCCCTGTCAAAGCAATATTTTATAGGTCTAGCTCTTTCAGTGCAGTTTTAGAGAATGTACAGCAGTTAAAATATGACACATGGCTGTAGTTAACGGTGGAATGAGAGAGATACTGTACGTTAGGGAGAGCCACAGTGATCCAGTAAAGTTCGCTCAGCAGATTTGACATTTTTAGTCATTTAGCAGACGCTCTTATCCAGAGCAACTTACAGTTAGTGAGTGCATACATTTTCATACTGGCCCCCTGTGGGTAACGAACCCACAACCCTGGCGTCGCAAGCGCCATGCTCTACCAACTGAGCTACAGGGGATGTGTTTGCATATTTGTGTGTGTGTAGGTAGGTGTGAGTGAGTGAGTGAGTGTAGGTTGCACAATCGATTTGCTTCAGATTCCTCATCCTGGAATCTCCTTTTTAAAATCTGTCTAGCTGTTTGAGTGGGAAAGAGCCATAGAGAGGACGGGAAAGGGGGAACAAGTGTATGTCTAGTGTACTTTATTTCTAAAGTATTTAAGTGTATTCCAATAGTATCTGCAGTGTGTCAAAGATTAGTACGCAGAAAGGAAGCTCTGAGGAAACTTTAGAAGCTACAGAGAAAAAGTGACGAGGTTTGTTAGTTGTTTTTAAACTACCAGTTTAATAATATGCTATCGTTTTCCAGTACAAATAGTTATTTTTTTTTACCAGCTTTTAAAAAGTTAAAACAACAACAACACACTTTTTAATTCTCAGATTCACACAGTTTTATATTTTAAAGAAACCAAAGCAGAGACAGATATGAGTAGAGGTTAAAAGTACAGGACTGGTCAGTTAGTACAAAGAGTAGATTAATATACACTACTACAGAGTTAATAATCCTTCTTTACATACGGAAGTTACAGAAGGTAAGCAACACTGAGATTAACTTGATAGACAAGAATTTTCCAGAATATTTGAACGTTTTCAGTATTTACAGGACTTTAAAAACTCTCCGGACACTTGGTGAATGGCACATTGGTTGGAGGCAATGTTAGCTCTTAAACTGAATCAAAAAATATATTCATAGTAAGGTATACTGTTCTTATCTGAAAACATAATTTAATGTTATTTCTCACATAAAAAATATAAAATTGCATTATAAAGAGATGTTACAGATGTTATACATGTACAGTATTGTCCATGTTTTGTCTTGAAGGAGACGGTTTGTGTGGAGTGAAAACAGGCGAGGCGAGTTTGGAGCAAGGACATGTAACACTCAACGCACACATCTAATAACACAACACTATGCGATGGAGTGCGTTCTCAAAGGCAGACACGCACACAAATACATAAACATCACTCCCCAAAATAAAAATAAACACACAACATTAATACTGTTCTGGGGAGGTCCTACTGTTCTAACGGAAGAAACTGACCGTTTTGGCACTTCACTATCAACCCATACATAAACGTGTGGGTTTAAGTTCAACCGCAACATTGAGATGGTTTCTGTAAAATACACCACATCTCTTTCACTGAGTTGAGATATATAGAAACGATGGCGTCAGGTTATTTCATGGAGATTATAAACCCTTCATAAAAAGGCTGGTCTGTAACAGATCTCTCTATTAGAATAAATTAAGGCACTTTGTTCTCCGGATTTATATAATACTGTAATGTTATGGTTGAGACTTCCTGGAGAACGCAGATCTTTCCCATTAGATAGGCTCAGCTCACTGTAGAAAGGCAGGCATGGTGCAACAGTCGAGACTCGTCTTAGAGAGGACATAATGTGAAATTGGTGTGACCTGGTAAACCCCATTTAAGTAACATTTTGTGTGACAGTGACGTTTTGAGAACAGGGACAGACAGACAAGTGGGCGTGGAGGTTCAGTGTTCTCGATAAGTATAATTATGATCACAAAAATGACTGTTATTATTAGGATTATTGAATTATTATAATATTATAGTTCCACATCGACTCAGTGCAGGGCAAGGTATAGAGCCAGGCTATCTGACCAGTGCAGATTGGGGAGTTGTGGTTTGGTTAAAGGGGATTGTGGTTGGGTGGTTTGGCTGTGGGGTTCCCTATAGAAGGGGCACATGGCTTGATAGTGTGGTGTTTGGGTGGGCATGGCTGGTGACTGGGTCCTGATTGGGTCCTGAAGGTTCGTTACCATGGCCGCTGGTCTCTGGTTGGTTAGGCAGAGGTGACTCTGGGGGAGGGGCGTGGCTGCTGTCCAGAGCATGGCAACGAGCGAGCCACGGGCGGAGACGGGCGAGTCATCAGTGGGCACAGAGGTCAGGGGTTAGTTGCCGTGGCAGCTGAGGGGTGGGGAGGGGTTAGACGGACAGACGGACAGACACAAAGAAATGAAGAGAACAGAAAAAAAAGACACACAGAAAAAGATAGAAAGAGATTAGTGTCAGCTAGTGGTGTCAAGATGACAACATGAAAGATCTACTGCAGTCACACACCTTCATAAGCACTACATTGAGAGTTATAAGTCAGTAGCCGCAGGTTGACATAAGGTCTGGCATCTGCAGTAAGTGACACGATGTGAGATGCCAACCAGTGACTGCTGACATAGGCACTTATGAATGCTTATGTACTGCTAATGAAGGCATTGTAAAGGAGCCTTTGTAGAAGGTTTGAGCACTTTTACAGGGAGGCTAGCTGCATTACAGACTGAGAAACCATGGAGACAGCAGAGGGTATGGTTTCTTGTGAGGGTGTGACAGTGTCACTGACGTCTAAAGCTGTTTTGACTAACACAGTTTTTCTCAACCCAGTCCTTCTGGACCACAAGTCGTCTCACAGAATCTAGTCCTAATCATCAATGCCTTGACGGACTAGATCAGACATGTGAAACGGCTGGTAGGTCCTGAGGGTTGGGTTCAGCAGTGGTTAGCAGTAGTCAGGGTGTACGTTATGGTGTCTTCACAGAAAATACCAAATGCAATGATGACCAATTAATTTATTAAAAATGATCTGGCGATGGTTTCCAGACTGCTGTTAAGCATTAGAGATGTGTGTTCCACTGGAGATGAGGCCTGCAGTTACAGAGAGCCATGAGATGTTAAGAGATGTGGTTTTAGAAGCAATTAAGAACAGATATTTTTAACAGATATTGTCTAATTATAATAATTTACATTTGTTTTCAGATTTTTTTTTATCTCAATCTTTGGTTCTCTATGTACACCAGTTAAACTATAGCTGACACACAGCAAGGCAAGACCAGTCCTACAGTTAACATAGTGACACAGAGAAAACACTAACATCACTTCAACATAATATACCGAAACATCCCTTGGACCGTTTGCTTCAAAAATATAAATTAGAGCTTCAAGTCTGTAGTCTAAACTCTAAAGAAAACATCCCCAAGAATACAAAAACACGTCCTGCTCATAGCTTAAAAGTATATTCAAACATGTTTACACTCAATTATATTTATTTTTTGGAAAGCACGAGCAAAAACTACAAATTGTCTAAAAAGAATAGGCTACGCATAATTACATTCTCTCTCATGTAAACCTATCAGCACCCGGAAGGTCCAGTGATGGTTACTTTACACACAAGATCTCATAATAGAGACTTCCGTAGTATTTTAGAAGTATAGGGTCATATACTATACAGTATATAGGATCATATGGATTATGGTTATGAGGAGGCTGTTTCAGCTTCAAGTACTGTATGTCTCTGATCCATGAGATACAAAACAATCCTTTATAAAAACATATCAATAAATAAAAGAGTAGATAAAAAGGTAGTGTTCACTTTGACAAAATAAAATGAAAGGAATGGTGTAATTTAAGACGGTATAAAAGAGATGACTGCTTGTCTCTAAGGTTGAACAGTAGTGAAATAACCAGGAAAGAGAGAGAGAGAGAGAGGGAGAGAGGGAGAGAGGGAGAGAGGGAGAGAGGGAGAGAGGGAGAGAGAGAGAGAGAGAGAGAGAGAGAGAGAGAGAGAGAGAGAGAGAGAGAGAGAGAGAGAGAGAGAGAGAGAGAGAGAGAGAGAGAAACATAGTATTTGAAGAGAGATCTCAGAACTCTAAAGAGAGTCACAAGGTCACAGTCACATGGAGGAACAGTCCATTCTAAAAGAAGGGGACAACCTCACATGCCTCCCTCTATCTGACAGAGGGGCTATGAGCGCCCTGGAATTATCACCCCCGGGACGGACTCATCCATTCCTATCACCACCCTCTCTCTGCTCTGTGACAGACTGTTGTTAGACCTTTACACACAGCCCACTGTTTGACTTTCCCCTCACATTCTGGTCTCATTCCTCTCTTAGCATGCGGCACACACACTCAAAATCACTCACACGTGTGTATTCCCACTCACACTGTCTGGTGATCTAACTGACCTCTGTCGGTGTTCACTACTCTTTGGTAAGGATGGGCCCTCATATTGTGGCGTTGCACCTTAGCCGTCATCGCTCCTGCTCACCGCGCAACCACATCACCAAAACACAGGAGGTTGACAGTGACATTATCAAACAGTGACATCATCAAACAGTGACAGAATCATTAAGAAGACAGTCAAGAGGCCCATTTCAGATAAGCCTGTCCAGTGTGTGTGTGTGTGTGTGTGTGTGTGTGTGTGTGTGTGTGTGTGTGTGTGTGTGTGTGTGTGTATGTGAGGTCCATGTGTAGGAGGGAGTTTATCTCTCAGCCTTTGGTTTGGAAAGACATACCTGGAGACAGAGAGAGAAATACAACCATGTTACAACACAACACAACCCTCATGCCCAAATCAACTTGATCTGTGTGTGATTACCTAGTACGCCAGTAGTGTCCATGGGGTATTCTAGTATAGATGGGGTCAGGGTGTAGGGGGAATATTCGTAGGGAGCGTAGAAGAACCCTCCTGATTCAGGTGATTGCTGCATCAGCGCAGCGTGCTGATTGGCTCCTTGCATGAGGGCCTGCTGACTCTGGATCTGACGAATCAGGTGAGGCATGAGGTTGGGCTGTTGACCAGGGGCGGGGCTTCGCATAGCCTGCTGCATGACAGGGGAGGGGCTGGAGATGAGCCGCGGCTGCTGAGAGGAGGCTAGGGAGAAGGCCATAGTGGCTACACACATCAGGCAAACACACACACACACACACACACACGCACCCACACACACACCCACACACACAGAGAGAGAGAGAGAGAGAGAAAAAAAATAGACAATACATTACTAGATGGAAAAGAAAACATCTCCCTCAAAAAGTCAGTTTCAGGACAGGCGCTTTCTGATGATGTCATCCTTACGTTGCTTGATGTTGGCGTCTCTGTAGGTTCCGTTGAGAATGGCCAGCTCCATTAGCTGCATCTTTTTTAGACTGTCCTCTCCATCAGCCTAAACACACACACACACACACACACACACACACACACACACACACACACACTATCTGTCCAGTTGGCTGAAGGTTGGATTACGTTACTCTCTGGCCAACAGATTGTGAGTGATGTCCAGCTAGGCCAGGTTAAACTAACATATATCATTATCCCCTACCCACACACTGGGTTTATGGGTTGTTAAAGGCCCAGTGCAGTCAACAACGTGATTTTCCTGTGTTTTATATTTCTACACTATGAGGTTGGAATAATACTGTGAAATTGTGAAAATGATGATAATGCCGTTATAGTGTAAGAGCTGTTTGAAAAGACCGCCTGAAAGGTGGGATGGAGTTTGGCCTTCAATGGCCTTCCATGCAGTAAATTAGTTAATAGACCAAAAGAGTTCCAAACCTCTCCGCCAATAACAGCTAGTTTTCCCCTGCCCACTCAGACCACTCCCAGACAGTCCTAGCTCAATTCTAGCTTGAGAAATTGCTCTTTGCTAAGAAGTTATTTTTGTTTCTTTTTTTACCATTTTAATTTTAAACAATCACAGTAAGGTACTTAATAGTTACCCATAAATAATTTGATATTGAGATAAAAACAGCTGCACTGGACATTTAACATGTATAATTATAGTACCTGTACTTCACAGCTTAGCCCCCTCCTACCCTATAACCTCTCTGGTGTTGATACTTCACACTGATTGGACATTAAGAGACAGGGGCGGGACAGCATAAGAGCGTCTGCTAAATGACTAAAATGTAAAATAACGCTTGAACACACCGACTGCGTCATTGCGCAAAATAGTACGCAGCATCATCTAGATATGTGTGCAACAAAAGTTCAACATTCTCCTTCTGCTACCATTTCTGTCAACCCGTCTACGCATAGAATTTGACGCATACGTTCGATAAATCCAAAGTATGCACCACACAGAACGCACTGCAACTGCCTCTGCAACGCAACGCTGCAAGGCAAACGCAGCGTTCCATTGGAAATGAATGTACTTCTGGTGTACCAAAACGCAAAAACGCAGTCGGTGTGTTCAAAGCGCAAGTTATTTTACTGCAAGTCACTGCAGTGCGATTTGAGAGTTCACAACTTCTCTATTCAATGTTGAATTTCAGGAGAGCAACAGTGTTAGCAAGGTGTCTGTGTGAGGTGTGGGGGACAGAGGGTAGGAGGCTAAGAGAACGGCAGAAATGTTGAGGGACCAAAAAAAACAAGTGAGAAAATAGAGAGGAAGAGGGAATTAATTAAGGAGTGAAAGGAGTGATAGTGAAGAGAATGTGTGAACAGTCTCTTCATTCATCCCCTTCCTCCTTTCACATGCATTACCATGGATACGCCTTTATACATGCTGCCTGGCGAATTACCCAACTCCCTGACACACACACACACACACAGACAATTATAGCATGAAACTCATGGTACTCACAGCTGGTACGAGTAGTTTCTTGACCTCTGCGGTAGCTCTTTGTAGTTTGATCTGAGCTCTGTTGCGTGAGTCTTCCACTGTGATAAGAACATGAAGTTCCTCACTCAAGTGTTCCCAGTTAGGTTTCCCTCTGTTCAGCTCTTCCTGATACACAAACAAAACATGAATATTACGGCATGTGTATTTATGTTTGAGTGTGTATGTGAGCGTCTTCCTTCATCCATACAACTGTTGTAGTTCCCAGAAGACTGTCCACATTGACTTCAGTTCTGTAACGACACGGTACACTCTAAGACCATGAAACGTGACACATTTATAACCTAAATGTCAGTGTTTAAAACTTAAACATTAGGCATTTAGATTTTCCAATAAGGCTAGAGTAAACATGAGTCAGCTTTTTTCCAGTCAGTTTCCAACCAGGAGACACCTATATCTCCTAAGTGTTCCGATTTTAAACAATAGTGTTTACTTTCCTACCGTCCTGTTTACAGTGACTTTAGTCATAAAAAATGTATGTGACTTTCCATGCCTTTTAATCAGATCAGTGTTAGGAATGTCTGTCACCTTATCTATAACTGAACAGGACATTTGCTTCAAGAATTATTTTCAAATCATCGCGTGCTGTTGTTGTTATTCGACTGTGTTGAGTTCATTTCCATTAATTCTCTCAGAGTGAGAAAGATGTGGTAGTGGCCTCATTATCATATTTCCCAGCATGCGTTGTTTCAGGTTGATTTTTTAGAATAGTTGGTTTTAATATCTATGTTTCCTCATGCACATTGCTTGATTCATTGATCTTAACTATACAAAGCTAAATAACTAAAACATTTCTAAACTAATCCAATCTGTAAGGGGTTGGACTTATTGCAACCGTTACTGAGATGGTTGTTCCAGTTTAGATCATTTAGGTAGTCTTGTTTTTGATCAAATATTCAAATTCTTGGATATCCTTCCTCTGGCTGGATTCTGATAGGAATTATTAAATCACTTCACAAACCAGCATACTGTGACTTGCAAGTCTGTTGTGGCCCATGAGCCAGGATTTTCAAACCACAATGTTAAGGATAACTAGGCCATAGATAAACGCCTTATTAAATGTATAAATATGTTGTCATAAAGGGTTCAAACATTCACTTAAGCAGTCACTTGGTGAAGGCTTCAAGAATTTAAGAAATTGAATGCAACAACCATGTCTCTGTCACTAACAAACAGTCATGAGTGGGTATCTCTTACAGTCACTCGAAAGGCATGCTGGGAAACATGCAATTTCAGCTTTCCACCCAGTGTTCAGTGTTTAACACCTGAACGCCTTGTGCTAAATAAATGTGTTTGTGTGTTTAAAAAGTGTTACAGCGAATAAACATGTTCTGGTGTTTACAATCTAAACACTGTGATGCGTTTTCATTGAAATTCTAAATGCCTTGAGGCGTTTAAAAAATGTTACAGAAAAGTGTTTAGTTATGTGTTCAGATCCTAAACACTTGGTTTTACAGTGTAGCCATTTAACTGAATAATCCCCACTCATGAAGAAGGTCAGAATGTCTACCCACTCTTTCTATCCATTTCAACATCTCTCCCCCTCCTTCCTCCCTCCCTCTTTCTTTCTTTCTTTCTTTCTTTCTTTCTTTCTTTCTTTCTTTCTTTCTTTCTTTCTCTGAGGTGTGGGATGGGTGTATTCTCATGAGAGGTGGATGGAATGCTGGCTGCGCTCCACCTGCCGTTAGCTGCTCCACTGGAAGGCTGGATGGCTGACACTCTAGCCAGAACCAGAGAACCTAAGCCAGCAGAGAAACATATGGACCCAGCTCTATTTCCCCTCCACTCCACTCTTTAGAATCTACTATCAAAATAAATACACCATGCTGTGAGTGTGTGTTGGTGTGTGTTTTGCGGGCTTGCGTCTGTTTGTGAGCATACCTTATTCTTGTCTCTCATGGATCCTTTTCCTCGTACCATGATCTTACAGCCTGTCTCTGCCTCCAGCTGTTTGGCTGTTAAACCCCTTGGACCCAGGATCCTACCTACAAAGTTAAACTGAACACACAGAGAGAGAGAGAGACAGACAGAGAGAGAGAGACAGAGAGAAGAGACAGAGAGAGAGAGAGAGAGAGAGAGAGAGAGAGAGAGAGAGAGAGAGAGAGAGACAGAGAGACAGAGAGACACAGAGAGAGACACAGAGAGAGAGACAGAGAGAGAGAGAGAGAGAGAGAGAGAGAGAGAGAGAGAGAGAGAGAGAGAGACATTCTAAGAAGATGTAGGGCCATGAAATACTCCAGGACCTGGTTGGTAACTTGGTCTAATTTGGCCTGGCCATGAAATAACCCATTACATTTTTTTAGCACTGGTGCTCCCAATTTTAAAAAGTTAGGAGCACCACATGAAATGTAAGAGCACCAGAAAATATGATTTTTTTAAAATTGATTGAGATACATCCTATATTGGGCCTATATTCTAGCTACTTTTGCAGCACATGTTGTGCTCTAAAAAAACACTGCTCTATGAAACACTGCAAACTTTAGTTTATTATAAAAGCTAAAATGTTGATATGAATACCTGTCATTGAAATTACAAAGTCATTTGTGTAATATTAGGTTTCTACATTGTGTAAAAGCACTATTTTCCTATTGAGACGCATTATATTGAAAATGGTACACTCTTAAAAAATGTCAGGCTTGTGATGACACGCAAGAGAGCAGTCATCCATTCATTGCTATGATCATTGATCTTCTAAAGAAGTTATCCCTTTTCCAGTGGTGGAAAAAGTACCCAATTGTCATACTTTAGTCAAAGAAAAGATACCTTAATAGAAAATTACTCAAGTAAAAGTGAAGGTCACCCAGTAAAATACTGCTCGAGTAAAAGTCTAAAAGTATTTGGTTTTAAATATACTTAAGTATCAAAAGTAAATGTAATTGCTAAAATATACTTAAGGTTAAAAAGTAAAAGTATGCAGATTTTTTACGCACGTGAACACGCTGGAATTAGAATGCACAGGAGTGAACGGGAGAAAACAGATGCGTCACAGCGTGTCAAATTACAATGCAAGTCAAAGGGAACACACAATAATTAACAAGCGCTAAATAACGAACATAAAATACAACTCTTTATTATGGATTCTCATTACAATTAAATTGGCATACGCTACGCAGTGTATATGTATTTACGCTCTCTAATCTCATGCGCAAATTTTGACACGGTCTCTCCATGTGATTTCGGCTTTAGAAGAGAGACGTTTTCACTGTAGTAATGGCGCAACCCATGACGCCAATTAAACCGCACTCGCTTTTTTCTCTAAGGCACTCGGAAACAACGGTACAGCGAAGCCTTATCATTACAACAATTATTATCTGGGAGCTATTTTTCATAGTGCCACAGTGCTCCCAAAATAAAACGTGTGGTGGCACAACAAAATATTTTGTCGCACTTTAGAGCCCTGTGTGTGCGTGTGAGTCAGGAATAGGTCATTGTTTGTTTTGGCTGGGGGTGAGGCCAGACTCTCTTAACCTTATCTGTCACTGGAGCTGAGAGATTAACAAGACAGCTGCCTCCCTCTCTCTCTCTCTCTCTATCGCGCAGTCACCCGTTGTGTCTGTTTTTACGTGTTTTTCTGATCCCCCCACTTCTCTACAGGTGTCAACGCATTCTCTTCCTTTCTAAAACAACCGCTTTAACACGCAACCCACACGGGGAACATTAGAATGTATTTTTAGCCCTGATCTCATCTGTTCCATCGGTGTGTGAGTTTGTGTGAGTGCTTCTGCGTGTGTCTGCATGTGTTACCATTGGTTACACGGTCCATGCTATTTGGAATCCTTAGGACGTCCCAACTCAGACATTACCCCCTTGAAGTTGTCATTTAAAATGGTAAAAGTTAAGGTCGAGACTTCCCAACGATACCAGATAGCACTAACCGTGGTTATATTGCCATTTTATCATGTGAATGAAGAGAAGCTTCTGTCATTGAAGTTTGGAGCAACTTCAACATTTGCCTTTGGAGAAAAGGAATGATACTGAGCAGGAGTAGTCAACCCAGGGTGTCAAAACACTTCGAAATTTGATGTTTGGAGCAACTTTGACATTTAACGTTGGAGAAACGTGGATAAACGTCTTATTCTGCAATGAGACCGTGAGAGCTTGTAGGTCGTCACCCCTATCTGATGTCCTCTGCCATACATTCTAACCCCCTTTAATAAGGTCTGGGAGCTTAGAAAGCAACCCTTTACCGCTACCCCATCTATGTTAACAAATCTGAATAGACCAGACAGGAGTAAGCAACATGGTGATGGCTCTACCATAGAAATATAATTAATAGAACGGCCGTCTCCATTCAAGTCAAATCAAATCAAATGTATTGGTCACATACACATGGTTAGCAGATGCTTGTGCTTCTAGTTCCGACAGTGCAGCAATATCTATCAAGTAATATCTAACAGTTCCACAACAAAATCCTAATACACACAAATCTAATGTTGGCATAATGGGTGGACTGGTGGCCATTGCGAGTGTACCCATAGGAGCAAAGCTACATTGAAGATGACAAAGTTTAAGACAACTCTTTGCAACAATGGTACCAGCTATGCTAGTTAGGAGCAAAGTTAAGTCAAAAATATACAGGTCAAGACAACGTCGTCACAAATCTGGGACCAGAGCCGTTGCTAACTACCAGCGCCGTTGCTAACTAGTATTGCTGGTCCCATTACATGAGCCACATCAGTTAGCATCATTTGAACGAACATTCTACCTTCCCATGGAAATTATTGCATCACAATACCAGGAAGCCATTGTGAGTGTACCCATGAGTTTACTAGTGAAATTGCAAGGGTTAAAAGGTTCCAAGCCTGTTCTATTCATTCCATTTATATGGGCTCTACCTTACCCTCCTATGGACTGGACGTTTCTGTTATGGATAGGGATAGATATTCTGTCACTCTGGATAGACACTAAAATAAAGACGTCTATAAAAAGGTTGAAAAAAGGTTTGTCCACTCACGTCGGGGAACTCTTTGACGGGCACGTAGAGCTTCTCCTGCAGCTGAGCCACTGGACCAATCCCATCAGGCAGCTCCTCGGAGTCACGCCCCTCGGCAGCGACACCTCCATTCATTGAGTCGTTATACATGTCCTTGCGCACTCTACCTATCTCTGATGGAGGGAGATTGGGAGAAGTGAAGAGAGAGAGCGAGAGACATAATTTAAAACGTCATTTGAAGCTTTAAAATCAAGATTTTAATGTCAAGCACTACAAAATAAAAGACAGAGACAGTGTGTGTTTGTTTAAAGCTGTCTGACTCAGACTTCCAATGTTGCATGATGCATTACTAATAGCATGGCAACCACTATAATAACCTGCTAAGCCACACACACCCACACCCACACACACACAAACACACGTGAAATAACTATGGCCTGACGGAAGCAGAGTGATAACTAAGTGTGAACATAGTTATAATAACTGGAACTATAATTATCTAAAGCTATTTTCACAACAGCTATACGCCTCTAATAACACATCTGACCTCACACGTAAACCTGATTATTACACACACACACACCTAGAAGTACACATACACTCAGGGCTCCAAAGTGCGACCAATTTGGGAAAGGGGAAGGGGACACCTAGTCAGTTGCACAACTGAATGCATTCAACTGAAATGTGTCCGCCGCATTTAACCCAACCCCTCTGAATCAGAGAGGTGCGAGGGGCTGCCTTAATCGATGTCCACATCATCAGCGCCAGGGGAGCAATTGTTGTTGGGGGCACTGTGCGACTAGGAAACATATCTCCAAGATAATTATTGTTTAAATGATTAGGCTACGCTGTACCGTTGATTCCGAGTGCCCTAGAGAAAAAAGCGAGTGCAGATTCGATAGCGTCATGGTTGCAACATTACTACATTTGAGTCATTTAGCAGACGCTCTTATCCAAAGCGACTTACAGTTAGTGAGTGCATACATTATTTTTTATTTTTCATACTGGCCCCCCGTGGGAATCGAACCCACAACCCTGGCGTTGCAAACGCCATGCTCTACCAACTGAGCTACATCCCTGCCGGCCATTCCCTCCCCTACCCTGGACAACGCTGGGCCAATTGTGCGCCGCCCCATGGGTCTCCCGGTCGCGGCCGGCTACGACAAAGCCTGGATTCGAAACCAGGATCTCTAGTGACCACTGCGCCACTCGAGAGATCCCATGTTACCGCCGCAAAATATATTCCTCGCCGGGACTGCATTATACATTCATAAACCATATCGTGGGCAGTTCTAGTGTAGTTCAGTTGGTAGAGCATGGTAAATGAATAAAATGTAAATGTAAAACTACTCGCGCGTCGTTACACATTGTTAAGTCATGTTACCTCATTGGCTAGCTAACAACCTGGTAACTTTATATCCAAACATTTTGGGGAACAGAAAAAAAGTAAAAGGGATAGCTTCTTCAGGAGATCAACAACAGAGAACAAGAAGCGAGAGGGATAACTGGGCCCAAAATCTGTCTTCTCTAGCACATGGCGTTTCTTTCCGCTCACCAAGCGAGGAGTGTGGTCAGAGAGTGAGTCGAATTTGGTTAACAAAAAAAAAAATTAATGGCTTATTTGCTACGTGTGGCTTATTTGTTCAAATAGAAATTTCGTAATGATTAGGTTGCTACGAGTGAGAAAAAAACACTATATCGTCACAAAGTCATAAACCCTGTCTATTTCTACAATTGATCTTCTTAAAATGTGATTTTAAACCTAACCTTAACCACACTGCTAACCTTATGCCTAACACTAACCTTAACCACACTGCTAACCTTATGCCTAGCCCTAAAATGTAATTGAGACCAAAAAGCAACAAAAAAAATCATGCATTTTTACGATATAGCCAATTTAGACATTGTGGCTGTGGTAACTATTGGAAACCGTTGTGCCTGTTGTTCACGAGCGTATCTGCCCTCTCATTGGCTAGACTGGTCCCACCTAGGGCTGTTATGGTGACCGTATTGCCGCCACACCGGCAGTCACTAGTCATGACCGCAGTCATATTCCATGTGACCGTTTAGTCATAGTAACTAGGCTTCTGCAAGCTCTGATGCTGCTGATGGTCATTAGTAGCCTACCAAACTTGCTAACTGCCTGCCACTCAGCTCTCTGTTGTCCCTTTAATCACTCTGACGTCAATGCAAATGTAATCGAAAATCAGGTCAAACACTTGAGACCCCATGAGCTCATGTTGCGCAACATTTCTATAGGCTATGCAATTGCATGAGAAAACAGTGTTTTGATGGCCTCTATTAAAAAGAGGAGGATCCCATCAGCTTTCTATAGGCTAGGCCTACTATATTTACTTATCAACTTTGCTAATATTTAGCACATTGCTTCGCTTTTCAACAGTTGTATAGCTTACCTGGCTGGCATGAAAAGCGTCCTCCATTTGCTATTTAAGTGCATAGATTACATGTATTTTTTCCCGCTGCCCCTGTTTCGAGACAGGTGCATGATAATCGTCCATTCTAAATCAAAACAAATTTCACACATATATGATTTAGTATATGTAAAGACAAGATTAAATCAAGAATAGTCTGATGGGTGACAATATTAGCCTATCACTTGTGAATTATATATTAGCACTTATGAATGACGCCCAGCTTGTGTGCAGTAAAGCAAGAAACAGCACATGCCTTTTTTTGGCAACTTTTTCAAATCATAGTCGCACACCTCATGTAGCCTAGCCCATAGGCCTATATGTTTTGATAAGGTTTGTGTCACAACTTAAGTTCTTCAATTGAAGCACATTCATCCGCTTTACATAACTTTTTTTTTTTTTACATTTTAGTCATTTAGCAGACGCTCTTATCCAGAGCGACTTACAGTTAGTGAGTGCATACATTATTTTAGTTATTTTTTCATACTGACCCCCGTGGGAATTGAACCCACAACCCTGGCGTTGCAAACGCCATGCTCTACCAACTGCAGCTTTACAACCGGTGTAGAGACTAACTGGAAGATCATTTTCACCATAAAAATGCACCTATATAATAAAGCATTACATGCATAATCGCATTTGCGGTCACTTTTGAGAATGGTGTTTTCCCGCTAATTGATTGCATATTGGAACAGTCTCGCTTATAGCCTACTGCCGTGTGCACATTGCTGCGCTTATAATGTGAAGAAATAGCCTAATAGTTTACCAATATTTTAAGCTAAACGTTCTGATCTGTTGCATCAGCCTCATTGCTTTTAAAAGTTTTTTTGATGCGAGTGGTTGTATTAATTTGGGATCTATCGCATCCCACAACTGTCCCGGAGTATATTTCGAATATTTCTTTCTCGCACAGAAGGACAAGTTGACCAATAGAATAGGTCAACTTTTGTACTATGGGGGATAGTAGATTGACATAGGCTAGTGCTTTTCCTGTTCGTTAGGTTTACTCATCTTGTTGGCTGACGAAAAGTAAATGAAGAAGTTAAAAGAACTGTCCACAATATGTGCCTCGGAATTCGATAAGAAGGACACACGCAGTTGCGTCCCGATGTGTCTGTCTTCACTTGTAGCCTACTTCGGAGCTGAGATGCCTGTGAAAAGGACTCGATCATGTGACGGGCATTGGCTAATAAGAATTGAGATATCTGAGAGAGCCATGTGAGTGAGAGGTGATTCGGAGCACGGTGATTGGCAGCCGGGAGAAGGGAATTATATTTATTATATTCAGCCCAAGGGCACAACGGGCCACTTTGGCCGCAAAAGGCATGGAATTTTTTTATGGGGCTTTACAGCCACACAAGGGGGATGCCGCCGGGAAATTCGAGGCCTGGTGAGAATATTATCAAGTGCTTGTCAAATTGTGAATGAGAGACTGATGAAGTGTGTGGAGCCTGCACAAGAAACAAAGCAGAGCTCATGCCTTTCATGTGACTTTTTACAAATCATAATTAAAGTCGCATCATACAGCCTTAGAATGTTTTAAAAATCAAAACATGTAGCCCAACGTATGAATCACAACTAAAGTTGCATAAATAACTCTAAAATTAAGCATATAGGAGGAACTGTTTCTTTGTTAACCGCTCAACACAGAATAGCCGGATGTGCACACTCCCTCATAAATAATTTGGGGAAAATATCCTTTCTATTTTATTAAGCTATGTTCTATTGTATTCTTCATATTATAAAATAATATAAAATAATGCCACGGAATTCTAAGCAAATATTGTCTGCTAAATGAACTAGTGTAGCCCACAGCCATATGGCACAGCCAGATCAGGGCCTAACATAAGGACAACTCAGAGTATGTTATTCTGTTCTACTGAAATAGACTACATTTTTCTTCAAATCATGTTTCTTTAGACCTGTCTGAAATAAATAATGGATTTATTGTGATGGTGTAGGCTATATTAAATGGATTTATTAGACTTTTTTTTTAAATGTAGATGTTCCACAGGTCTGCATCAGTGGCTTGTAGGCTATACGAGGAAGCTAATCGTAATTATGTTAATTAATGGTCAATTACCATGAGACCGGCAGTTATTTGCTTGACAATCACCGGCTGACAAAATTTCACGACCACCACAGCCCTGGTCCCACCTGATTTTGCCTCCTCCCGACTGCCTTCCATTTTTGAAGACATTTATTTTCATTGTTAGAGCAGCCACTGGAGTATCTGGTCAATATAATGGGTGATCTGTGTCAATGATCATAGCAATGAATGAATACAGCTCTCTTGCATGTTGTCATCACAAACCTGACATTCTTAAAAAGAGTGTAAAATGTTCAATGCAATGCATCTCAATAGGAAAATAGTGACGAGCATGCACATACTGATAGGACGCATGGGGTGTGAGTGGCTCCGTTTTGTACCGACAAAACTGTGGTTATATGTAGAAACCAGACAACAATCAAGCCTCTAAACTTGATAAAATCAACATATTCCCAAGCAACTGGGAGAGGGTGAGAGATCAGTATTGTACAACAGTGAACCACTCAGTTTGTAAACAGTGCAGCAACATGAACCCAACAGATCATGGCCTCCGTCAAAGGAAAGGACAATTTGGAAACGCAAAACGAGAGTAATGAACAGTTAAATGCTATCCAGGAAAACATAACTAAAATGCCCTCAATGCACACCAAAACTAACGAACTGCTACAATCTGTTGTTAAAAAAGTAGATTCACAAAGTACTGAGTAAAGGGTCTGAAATGTGATATTTCCGGTTTTTATTTTTAATAAATTTGTTACAATTTCTAAAAACCTGTTTTTCCTTAGTCATTATGGTTTATTGTGTGTAGATTGATGAGGGGAAAAAACAATTCAATCCATTTTAGAATACGGCTGTAACGTCACAAAATGTGGAAAAAGTCAAGGGGTCTGAATACTTTCTGAACGTGTGCCTTCAGAAAGTATTCAGACCCCGTGACTTTTTCCACATTTTGTTAAGTTACAGCCTTATTCTAAAATTGATTTATTTTTTTTATCCTCAGCAACCTACACACAATACCTCATAATGACAAAGTGAAAACAGGTTTTTAGAAATTTTTGCAAATATATTAACAATAAAAAGCGGAAATACCTTATTTACATAAGTATTCAGAACCTTTGCTATTAGCCTCGAAATTGACCTCAGGTGCATCCTGTTTCCATTGATCATCCTTGAGATGTTTCTACAACTTGATTAGAGTCCACCTGTAGTGAATTCAATTGGTTGGACATGATTTGGAAACGCACACACCTGTCTATATAAGGTCCCACAGTTGACAGTGCATGTCAGAGCAAAAACCAAGCCATGAGGTCGAAGGAATTGTCTGTAGAGCTCCAAGACAGTATTGTGTCGAGGCACAGATCTGGGGAAGGGTACCAAAAATGTCTGCAGCATTGAAGATTACTCATACAATGGAAATGTGTCTTGGATGAGACAGCCACCGTAGTTAAACTGCCACAATAAGAATAATGTGGCTGCAGGAGAGAATGAGAGTGCATGAGTGCAGTCTATATATACACAGAGAGAACTCTAGATAGTGTACTGGCAGGTTGAAGTGTTGGAGAAAAAAAAACAAATACCTCCCCGGCCACTTCCCCTCATCTTCCTCCTCTCTTGTCTTCCTCAGTCATTTTTTGGTTATTTCTCCCCCTCTCCTTGTCCTTTGTCAGAATCAATATCATCTGATCAATAAGTCCACATTACATCTCATTCCTTGTTACCTTGTTGTTTGACCTGCTTGCTGTGTGTTTGTTGTGGTGGGGGTCCTCTTCAAAGAATACAAATCAATCAATCAATCAATCAGCCATACTGTACACACACTTTACTGGCTCTCTAGCCACCTGCATGGCTAAGTCTGTGTGTCTCTGTATTCACATACATACAGTCTAAGCACGCCCTCCAAAGTCAAATATTTTCATGTTGACATCCCGTTGACCGTGTACTGAGCCCCGTGACTAACCGCGATGGGCCGCCACATTCACACCGCCTTGCACATTAGGTCACCGGCCCAGACTAACAACTGTCCGTTTGTTCACAGCACCCACTGCCTGGTTGTCTCTCTCTCTGTGTCTCTCTTAATGTCTATGGCGTGTGTCACAGTATCTCACCAAACAACATCGTTGAAATATCAACCAACTAATTATAGACCTACCATATTTTTGGTCAATCTTTAAAAAATATGCATTGTAGCCTACGCACTTACCTTCGTCTAAGAGCCGCTCCAGGTGAGTGAAGATGCCAGTGAAGTTGGGCAGCGAGCTCATCACCTTCCGATCTGTCATCAGCTGCATCAGGTAGTCCGGGCTGGGCCTTGGTCTGGGTCTTTCCCGGACCTGTTCACTCATCTCACCGACCATTGTCACACTCACAACTCAAGTTTACCAGACAAAATCAGGGCCGACGCTCTAGAGTGATGCTTAACCCAAAATGTATACTTTTGTTTTAAAGTTGTCCAAACTGCTGCCTCAAGCCCCAGCCTCCTCCGATTCTGAGATTTGGCACGCACGGCTCTGAAAAGGGGAAAGCAATAACTCGACACGATTTGTAAATAAACAAATGTTTAACTTCGCTTGATTGGCTAGACATAAACTCTTGTAAAAGTTAGTTAGTGTCCCCCGTTGCTTTATAGGAGTTTTCTTCTCCGCAGTTTCACAGTCAGATAGGCGTTCCCCAGTGCCCGTTCACGCTCTCTCAGGGTCCGCGACACACACTTTGCCACTTGTTTTCTCCGGATTACGCCTCCTCGCTCATGTCCAGAGTGTGTTGGTATTCAGACCCTGTCATATGACCACACATCACACTGCATGAGAGAGAGAGGACGAAATGTTGTAGGGGGTGGTACCAGAGACCGCTGCGCGTCCCCGAAGATTGGATTCAGACTCAGAAAATCTATGGCTGTCATCTCCCGTCTGTCTCTCCTCCCCCACCACACACACAGCTAAAGTGCCTTCAGAAAGTATTCACACCACTTGATTTTTTCCACATTTTGTTAGGTTACAGCCTGAATTTAAAGCTGATTAAATTGAGATTTTATGTCACTGGCCTACACACAATACCCAATCATGTCAAAGTGGAATAATGTTTTCCGAAATGTTTACAGATTTATAACAAATTTAAAGCTGAAATGTCTTGAATCAATAAGTATTCAACCCCTTTGTTATGGCAAGCCTACATATGTTCAGGAGTAACATTTTGCTAAACAAGTCACAAAATAAGTTGCATGGACTCACTCTGTGTGCAATAATAGTGTTTAACATGCATTTTAAATGACTACCTCATCTCTGTACCCCACACATACAATTATCTGTATGGTCACTCAGTCGAGCAGTGAATTTCAAACACAGATTCAACCACAAAGACCAGGGAGGTTTTCCAATGCCTCACAAAGAAGGGCACCTATTGGTAGATGGGTAAAAAAAAGCATGGTGAAATGAATAATTACACCTTGGATGGTGTATCAATACACCCAGTCACTACAAAGATACAGACGTCCTTCCTAACTCAGTTGCCAGAGAGGAAGGAAACCGCTCAGGGATTTCACCATGAGGTGACTTAAAAACGGTTAGAGTTTAATGGCTGTGATAGGAGAAAACTGAGGAAGGATCAACAAACTTGTAGTTACTCCACCATACTAACCTAAATGACAGAGTGAAAAGAAGGAAGCCTGTACAGGCTGTTAGCAACAAGGCACTAAAGTAATACTGCAAAAAGCAATTAACATTTTGTCCTGAATACAAAGTGTTATGTTTGGGACAAATCCAATACAACACATTACTGAGTACCACTCTCCTTATTTTCAAACATAGTGGTGGCTGCATAATGTTATGGGTATGCTTGTAATCATTAAGGACTGGGGAGTTTTTCAGGATAAAAAAGAAACGGAATGGAGCTAAGCACAGGCAAAATCGTAGAAGAAAACCTGGTTCAGTCTGCTTTCCACCAGACACTGGGAGATTAATTCATCTTTCAGCAGGACAATAACCTAAAACACAATGCCAAATCTACACTGGAGTTGCTTACCAAGAAGACAGTGAATGTTCCTGATTGGCCAAGTTACAGTTTTGACTTAAATCTGCTTGACCTGAAAATGGTTGTATAGCAATGATCAACAACCAATTTGACAGAGCTTGAAGAATTTTGAAAATAATAATGGGCAAATGTTGCACAATCCAGGTGTGGAAAGCTCTTAGAGACTTACCCAGAATAACTCACAGCTGTAATCACTGCCAGAAAAGCTTCTACAAATTATTGACTCAGGGGTGTGAATACTTATGTGCATTTAATATTTCTGTATTTCATTTTCAATAAAAACATTTATTTTTCTAAAAACATGTTTTCACTTTGTTATTATGGGGTATTGTGTGTAGATGGGTGAGAGAAAAAATACATTTAATCCATTTTGAAATCAGGCTGTAACACAACAAAATGTGGAATAAGTCAAGTGGTATGAATACTTTTTGAAGGCACTGTATGTTTTACTATACTTGTGAGGATTTTTGGGGGGACAATTGATTCCCTTTCAAAATCCTATTTTTCCTAAGCCCTAACCCTAACCTTAACCCTAACCTTAACCCCTAAACCTAACCACTAATCCTTAACCCTAATTCTAACCCTTACCCTAAACCTAAAATAGCCTTTTTACAAGTGAGGACTGGCAAAATGTCCTCACTTCTCTGAATTTTAGTTGGTTTACTATTCTTCTGAGGACTTCTGGTACTCACAAGTATAGTAAAACATGTACACACACAAACACACAAATACACACACAGACTTAGAGGACGAGCTGTGCACAAACTTTGTTTAGATTTGTTTGGGGACTATCTGTTGTTGCATGTAGTGAATCGGTTATTCAATGCGTTTGTATGGGCTAATAGCAGTAAGGCCAACAATGTCAACAATGCTGTTTGTCCATTTGCCTTCAGAGGTATGCACACCTGTTTTACCTCACTCTCCGTCACTCTGGGGGATCTCTGAATGTGCGTGTGGCATGCAAGTGGTCTCTCTCTCCTCTCTCTCACACACTTTTCTTTGAATAAAATGCTAAATGAATGTATAGTTTGAATAATAATGCCTTGTTATTGGCAAGGCTGTACGTGTGTGTGTGTGTTCTGTCTCTGTGGACTAGCTGTTCTGACTCCAGTCTTTGTCCGCCACAGCTGTCTCACACTGTCGTTCCTCTGTCCACTCCAACACAGACATGGAGCAGAGAGAATATTCATCTGACACAAGCACACACTACACAGATAGAATATTCATGTCTTCAATCCCTTTCTTGCCCTCCCCCCTCCTCCTCCCCCATCTCCACCCACCAGGCACCACATCTAATTTCTCCTAACAATCAGATGTGTGTATTTAACATTCAAAACAATGACGGTCTTATACGTCTGATGGGGTAGGGGAGAATGTGTATGTGTGTGTGCATGTGTTTGTGCGCCTGTGTGTGTGTGTATACAGTATATGTGTGTGTTATTGGGTGATGTCGTTGGTCCAGCCTGGTATGGTATGATGGGTATTCAGGGCGGGGCCCAAACAATACCCCCTCTCATTAGGACACAAGACACTGACTAGCTACTAAAACATACTCACAGCAGACATCTCTCTCTCTCTCTCTCGATAAACATAGTTCAGAAAATGTTTATCTGTGTCTTTGATGGTTACGTGTTTGACCCCAGAGCTCTGCATTATGACATCACTAAACAAAGGACAAAAGTCCAGGGGAATACCAAAGGAGACATTGGGATAGTGATATCTGCTGTAGAATGACAAGATGAGGGAGCAGAGCAATACTTATCAGCACCAGCAGACTGCAGCAGAGGACAGCTTCTTTGAGTGACATCGGAAGTGACTTTTTTTGCTTACCCAAACCCTTTTCCTAACCTTAACCCAATTCTCCTACCTTAATTCTCCTAACCATCTGTGTAAGTTCTCCTAACCTGCTACGTAAAAAATAACTTCTGGTCGTAGCTGTATTGAAGTGGCGTGTTTTTAGGAATCTCACATCATATAGTACAAAGGGGAAAATTTTAACATCCATTTATGTCAAATTTTCACTTTAGTCTCCCACTGACATCAATGTATGACTAAGTGAAAAATTGCCTTAAATGGAAGATAGGATTTGTCCAAGTGAATCTGACAATACCTGGTGGTCTTTTACAAGCAACTCCTCTGTCAGATGTTATAAAGAGGATCTATGTAGGGTTGTGTAGGCTTCACAAAGAGATCGCATTCACCCCTAAAATAACAAAGGCCAAATACAGGTGCTTGATGTTGTACAGTTATTTGGATGTCAATCACAGCCATAGCCATAACCCTGTAGATTCCAGCATCTCCATTTTACTGGCCCGGGGAATTTCAGCAGCCCGTCCACTTCCACTGTAGTTCACTCCATGAAGGTTTAACCCCCTGAGAGATACTGACTGTACACATAGACCTACTATAAAGCTTTCATACCTACCCTTCTACTGACCCTAAAGCCACCTGATCCATTATGGAGCGATTTCATTAAATTCCATAATTTTGCATTTGTAACACACGAATGGTGAACGTGCATGAAGATTTTAGACATGACGTCATTGTTTTAGCACTATCCACTGAGTTTTTTAAACTACGGCATGCGACATGGTTCAATGTGCCAATAAATCAGCACAATCTACCATTTTGGTTTTTCAACTTGCCAGCATCTTGAAGCATGTATACTGTGCTAAAGACCATACAAAAATATAGTGATGGAGAGCAATGTTCAATAGGGCGAACTTAGCAAAATGAGGAATTTGTGGTAAGTGCATCTTTATGCGCCTCCGCTATTTAACCATTTAATTCACATATTGTATTTTTAAAAAACATGATTTTAAACTGAATCTTATGAATATTGCATACAGTTTTTACATTAAATTTCAATTGAATTCATTTACATTTTAGTCATTTAGCAGACGCTCTTATCCAGAACGACTTACAGTTAGTGCATTCATCTTAAAATAGCTAGGTGGGACAACCACACATAGATTTTTACTCAATAAAGGGGGGAAAGGGGTGAGGAGGGGGTGCGAAGGGGAGAGGCTGTGGGATTATTTAAGATACTCTTTAAAGAGGTAGGGTTTCAGATGTTTTCAGAAGATGGGCAGGGACTCTGCTGTCCTAGCATCAGGGGGAAGCTGGTTACACCATTGGGGTGCCAGGACAGAGAAGAGCTTGGACTGGGCTGAGCGGGAGCTGCCCTCCCGTAGGGGTGGGAGGTTCAAGAGACCAGAGGTGGCCTGCTGGTTTTCTGTTCTACCTGATAATGAATTGCATCCACCTGGTGTCCCAGGTCTAAATCAGTCCCTGATTAAAAGGGGAACAATGACAAAAAGCAGTGGAACTGGCTTTGAGGTCCAGAGTTGAGTTTGAGGGTTGTAGAGCATGAACCTGCAAGAGCCAGTCACTGCTTTGATGTTTGCAGAGAACGACAGGGTATTGTCCAGGGTCATGCCAAGGTTCTTTGCACACTGGGATGGGGACACTGTGGAGTTATCAACTGTGATGGAGAGGTCTTGGAGCGGGAAGCCCTTGCCTGGGAGGAAGAGCAGCTCTGTCTTGTCAAGGTTGAGCTTGAGGTGGTGGGCAAGTTGACCAAAGTTTAATATATTCAATTTCTCAGATGCATTCAGATTAAGTTTTAAAATTCAGTTATCTAAATTGAGGTTCATAACTTCAAAACAACATCCTGGTACTTTGCCAGCTAGGAAAGGTAGAAGAGAACAGATAGAATCTAACACTCTCTGTGGTAAACAGAAGGTATTGTAATAGACGTCATGCTGCTTGCTTAGCGGGTACCACTTTCCCCTGATTCAGCTCATAGCATCCCCACTTAGTGACGTAATTCCAGGGCTGTATAGTTGTTCTCAAGGCTGTCTTATGATGCTAATCCAAAGCCTCTTTAGGCCTCTTATCTGGTCAGACCTGCTGGTTAACCACAATACCACCTACTGTTGGCCTCTTTACCGCTGCCTGCAGCTACCCCACACACCCACTAACTACCCCTCAGGCCCCCACTCACTAGCTAACTACCCCACACACCTGCTAACTACCCCTCAGGCCCCCACTCACTAGCTAACTACCCCACACACCCACTAACTACCCCTCAGGCCCCCACTCACTAGCTAACTACCCCACACACCCACTAACTATCCCTCAGGCCCCCACGCACTAGCTAACTACCCCACACACCCACTAACTATCCCTCAGGCCCCCACTCACTAGCTAACTACCCCACACACCCACTAACTATCCCTCAGGCCCCCACTCACTAGCTAACTACCCCACACACCTGCTAACTACCCCTCAGGCCCCAACTCACTAGCTAACTACCCCACACACCCACTAACTACCCCTCAGGCCCCAACTCACAAGCTAACTACCCCACACACCCACTAACTATCCATCAGGCCCCCACTAACTAGCTAACTACCCCACACACCCGCTAACTACCCCTCAGGCCCCAACTCACAAGCTAACTACCCCACACACCCACTAACTATCCCTCAGGCCCCCACTCACTAGCTAACTACCCCACACACCCGCTAACTACCCCTCAGGCCCCAACTCACTAGCTAACTAACCCACACACCCGCTAACTACCCCTCAGGCCCCCACTCACTAGCTAACTACCCCACACACCCACTAACTACCCCTTAAGCCCCCACTCACTAGCTAACTACCCCACACACCCGCTAACTACCCCTCAGGCCCCCACTCACTAGCTAACTACCCCACACACCCGCTAACTACCCCTCAGGCCCCCACGCACTAGCTAACTACCCCACACACCCACTAACTACCCCTCAGGCCCCCACTCACTAGCTAACTACCCCACACACCCACTAACTACCCCTCAGGCCCCAACTCACTAGCTAACTACCCCACACACCCGCTAACTACCCCTCAGGCCCCCACGCACTAGCTAGCTACCTCATTATACCTGGTCCTTACATTACCATAATAACAACTACTGCTGTTCTGCTCTCTATAGGTCTCCCCTCTGACTTAATATGCCGATTATAAATATTACGGCCAAGGCTGCATTTAGACAGGAAACCCAAATCTGATATTTTTTTCCACTAAACTGAAAAAGATCTGATGTGATTGGTCAAAAGACCAATTAGTTGAACAAATATCAGAATTGGGCTGCCTGTGTAAGCGCAGCCTAAGTGAAACAGAATTTGGCCCTATGGAGTTGGTTGGCGACTTACTTGACAAAATATGTGATGATCGCCTATAGGTGAATAACGTTGTTGTATCTCTGTTGGTCATTGGATGCTCAGATGAATGACTGGCGTTGTCTGATTTATAGGATTTACTGCTTACCACTGGACACAGACAATCACATAATGTCATTGACAATTAGACAATAAATGTCACAATTAAATTAGTATATTTATCAAGGAAGTCTTGCAAAGGTGCTTGAATGACGACATTGGAATTGGTAATGTAGTTAATGGCGGATACTTTGTTCGCTTAACAACTAGAAACACATAGAACGTTGGAGATATGAAGTTGTGATTTTTTTTTTTTACATCTAAAGTCACAGAACACACATGCACACACACACACCCTTGTCCTTCAGTCTCCATGTGCAGGGTTGTCCTGTGTCCATGTGAATGCGATAATCTGATGATTACCCTGATCCAATTGGCTAAATCAGGCACCCCGCTGAGTTCCCAGAAGGCATTGCCGTTTGATCTTTGATCAGTCTTAAATAGAAACAACACAAAACCAATATGTCCAACTCTACTTCACAGGGCTAGCTTCCTTTATTAACATTTTAATTTACACAATGGCCTCATCATCTTTCTACACAACATACAGAAAATAAAAACAGATGGATTTCTCATGGCAAAACATTTTCTTTACAGTAAATAAAATAATTTAGATGAATTACATTGTTTAAAAAAGTAATGTATCAATACTAGACTATTTACAAAGACAACAGTAGCCTGGGCGTTGGTCTGTAAATGTGTTGGTATATACCGTAGCTCTTGATAGTCCAATAAGAGAATGCTGATTGGACCTGCTGAGTGACCTCACAGAGCAGGGGGCTGGGGTCAGAGTTCAGGGGTCAGAGGTCAGGGGTTTAGCTGCCAATCTCAAATGTCCTCCTCAACTTTGGGGTCACCCCTGGTTCACCCCCGCCACGTCTCCTTTAGCCCCTCCCCCCCAAACTTCAACAACATCGGGTTAGTGTAAAATGGTTCCACCTCTTCCAGCCCAGGAGTCTCCAGCCCTCCCCCCAAACTTCAACAACATTGGGTTAGTGTAAAATGGTTCCACCTCTTCCAGCCCAGGAGTCTCCAGCCCCCCTCCATCTCTCAAATTAACAGTAAGAAATGAAGGATTTTAAAGAGGTGATGTCTGGGGTGTTACAGTCCTTTTCTTTGGAATTTGCTATGAATTATTTAATAAGAAAAGTGCACTACAGGTGGATCAAAAATATATATAAAACTCACTCTTCCTTGGGCTATGAATTAACCTTTAACCTTTCCACTTTAACCTCCTCTCTGGGAGGGGGAGCGGGTTGCATCACAACCACCAGCCCCACACCATCCATAAAACACAACATACCTGCTTCCCTGACCTTACTCTTAACCTGTTAAAATTACATAGGAAACATAAATGTTCTCAGTACAATGCAAAACATCTGACATGACAGTGGGGGGTGTTTTGTTTCTCACCCTCGTTTGATTAATAATGGGATAAAAATAAAGTTATAAAATATGAAATTGAGCAGAATTATGCAGAATGTAAGAAAACACACAGAGAAAGCCTCCCATCAAACGGGAACTGAAGCAGAGTAGCAAAGTTGGGGTTGGAGGAAGTCTGTGTGTGTGTGTGTGTGTGTGTGTGAGTGGAAAAAGTATGAGTGTTAGAAAAAGTGTGTATTGTGTTTGAGTCTGTGTGTATTGGATTGGGGGAGGGCATATTGGAAATTGGTTATAATGTAACTTATACATACATTCATGCATTCGTACATTCAAAATGTCGTAAGTGCTGACATGTACTAAAGAGTCCATTTGTGTCCATTTCAGTTTTCCCTTCAGATGGACAGAATTGTGTGTGTTGTGCATGTATGTGTGTATTATGTGTGTATTTTGTGTGTATTATGTGTGCATTAAGTGTGTAATATGTGTGAATTATGTGTGTATCATGTGTGTATTTTGTGTAATAAATGCAAAGGAGGTGGCCAATCTGCCTTTCTTCCCTTCGGTGGGAGTGGTCTCAATTTGTGTCAACGTGTCTTGTTCAGCTCACCGTGGCGACACCATCCACTCCGGCCTCGTCCACTACATTACCCTTGCTCATGGCTTTCATCTTGTCCATAATATCAGTAAATGTCTCCTTCACCGTCTTCTCCAGGATCCAGCCTTCGCTCTCACTTTCTGGGTCCTCTGGGTTGGCCAGGTTGGACAGGGAGGTGTTCACGTACTGTAGGCCGATCGTCACAATAACCTACAGGGTATGGAGAGAGACATGTATTAGTTACAGCTAGCCTGGGTGTAGAGCTACAGTACATCTGGCTTGGGTGAAGAGCTACACCTGGCCTGAGGTAGAAGCTAGCTTCAGCGACATGCTCATGTACTGGAAGTGAAAACCCACCATAACTAAACCTTATCCCACATTAACCAACCTACAGGGGTAGACACTGAAAGAGATAGCTATAGCTGTTAGCGCAGGCTGACGCGTCTAACGGAGCACACCAGTTAACATTCAGCAACTGAAATATAGCTTTGCTTATGTTCCAAGTCAACGCATCAAACCCGTCTGAAGCAAAGAGTTAGCTAAAAACAGAGAATCACACTGACAGGGAACAGGCAACAGCAATCATAAGTTCGCTACACCGGCTAATGTAGTAGCATCTGTGTAGGCCTACAGGACCGAATAAAAGACACATACCCCATTCCACTACTTTGACCCTATTTGCTCCTGCACCATGCCGAGGGCCTGGGAGGACTGGACACCACCACTCAACACACCCTGTAACTCTTCTGAAGTCAAATCTCGTATGCCCAAATACTTCTCTGCAGCTGCCACCACAACATCTCTTTTCTGTGATTTACATTCCACTTCTGCGGTAGAGTTGATAACCATTGCTATGAACGCTAAGAAGCCAGCCTTACTGAAGCCCGAAACACCCTCTGACACAAACTACTACTCACAGGGATCCTCTCAAGACCCCTCACCATTGACCCATCCTCCTCTACTTTCTTCACTGCCTCAGTATACGACACCTTCTGCACTACTCTGACTCTGGCCACCTCAACCTCCCTCTCTTGCACCGGACACTTCCGAACCCCAGCAACATGAGCACCCCTACAGTTGACACACACAACTTTATCCACCAAAACTACACATCCCTCTGTCCCATGCCCTCCTGCACACTTCCCACATCTCAGAATCTCCCTCCTACACACTGCGGTGACATGACCATAAACGTTGCACCTAAAGCATTAAAGCTCTAACAGGATAACTGATAACATGACTTTGTCAGTAGAGACTGACTCAAAAGGACAGACAATGACTCCTCTGTTTCACCACACTCCCCATCAGGTCTGCGTCGCACCAAACGGCGGGCATCACAAACACCAGGAATTTTCAACTTCAATTGCTCCACCTCCACACTTAACGCTACCCCAGAAATCACTCCTTTCAATGGTGATCCTGTTCCTGATAGCAAAGCACGAAACAGATCTTGACCCAAATTACGTGACACGGAGCGCCTGCTCCCTCTGGTCAGAAGAAACACAAACAAATATTACAAGTCCACTACAGGTTACCTTCACTGATTCCCACCCTGAAACCACAAATGGATCCGCCAAAAGACAAGGGTCCACTTTCTCCAAAAATGTCACTCCTATTGGACCAGATAATTTTTTTATCATGTCCAACGATGCCAAGCTCAGGTTCCTAGAGCTTCACGACACCTTCCACCAACCTACCCTCATTTACTTCAATTTCTCCTCCAGAACTCGGACTGGAACACGGCTCACTCTTTTTGCACTTGACACCAATCTTCTTCGACACCCCATCTCCATTTTTATCACCATCTTCCTCAGATTCAAATCCAACCTCTGCTTTCCTTATTCTCTTCCACCTCCTCTTCCTCTTTTTACGCCTCAGAAATCCCCCTTTCTGTGTCCCTGTCCCAATATTCCTGTTCTTGTTCCATGATTCCTCTTCAAAGCCATATGGCCGTTGCAAACTCCTCCATTTTTTTTGTTTCTTCTTCCGGTATCACTCCAAACGATCTGTGTTTTTGATTGGTCATCTTATAACCCCCAGCATTAGATCTAGAGTCTGATTTCTACTCCTACTGCTCTTTCCTCGTCTAACCATGTGTTCTCGCATACCCCGAGTGCATCTGGTTAGCGCGGCGGTGGCACATGATTCCTCATCTCTCCCAAGTGGACATGCTCTCTTTTTCCCCTGACCCATCTGTCTATCTCCTCATTTGAATTCCATGCTGTCACAGTCACTAGCCCATTCAAGCTTAACATTCTTGTCATTTATCGCCCTCCAGGTTCCCTTGGAGAGTTCATCAATGAGCTTGACGCCTTGATAAGTTCCTTTCCTGAGGATGGCTCACCCCTTACAATTCTGGGTGACTTTAACCTCCCTACGTCTGCCTTTGACTCATTTCTCTCTGCCTCCTTCTTTCCACTCCTTTCCTCTTTTGACCTCACCCTCTCACCGTCCCCCCCTACTCACAAGGCAGGCAATACGCTTGACCTCATCTTTACTAGATGCTGTTCTTCTACTAATCTCACTGCAACTCCCCTCCAAGTCTCCGACCACTACTTTGTATCCTTTTCTCTCTCGCTCTCCTCCAACACTACTCACTCTGCCCCTACTCAGATGGTAATGTGCCGTCGCAACCTTCGCTCTCTCTCTCCCGCTACTCTCTCCTCTTCCATCCTATCATCTCTTCCCTCTGCTAAATCCTTCTCCTTCCGATCTCCTGATTCTGCCTCCTCAACCCTCCTCTCCTCCCTTTCTGCATCTTTTGACTCTCTACGTCCCCTATCCTCCCGGCCGGCTCGGTCCTCCCTTCCTGCTCCGTGGCTTGACGACTCATTGCAAGCTCACAGAAGAGGGCTCCGGGCAGCCGAGCGGAAATGGAGGAAAACTAGACTCCCTGCGGACCTGTCATCTTTTCACTCCCTCCTCTCTACATTCTCTTCCTCTGTTTCCGCTGCCAAAGCCACTTTCTACCACTCTAAATTTCAAGCCTCTGCCTCTAACCCTAGGAAGCTCTTTGCCACCTTCTCCTCCCTGCTGAATCCTCCTCCTCCCCCTCCCTCCTCCCTGTCTGTGGATGACTTTGTCAACCATTTTGAAAAGAAGGTTGACGACATCCGATCCTCATTTATTAAGTCAAATGACACCGCTGGTCCTGCTCACACTGCCCTACCCTATGCTTTGACTTCTTTCTCCCCTCTCTCTCCAGATGAAATCTTGCGACTTGTGATGGCCGGCCGCCCAACAACCTGCCCGCTTGACCCTATCCCCTCCTCTCTTCTCCAGACCATTTCCGGAGACCTTCTCCCTTACCTCACCTCGCTCATCAACTCATCCTTGACCGCTGGCCATGTCCCTTCCATCTTCAAGAGAGCGAGAGTTGCACCCCTCCTCAAAAAACCTACACTCGATCCCTCCGATGTCAACAACTACAGACCAGTATCCCTTCTTTCTTTTCTCTCCAAAACTCTTGAGCGTGCCGTCTCTTGCCAACTCTCCTGCTATCTCTCTCAGAATTACCTTCTTGATCCAAACCAGTCAGGTTTCAAGACTGGTCATTCAACTGAGACTGCTCTTCTCTGTGTCACAGAGGCTCTCCGCACTGCTAAAGCTAACTCTCTCTCCTCTGCTCTTATCCTTCTAGACCTATCCGCTGCCTTTGATACTGTGAACCATCAGATCCTCCTCTCCACCCTCTCCGAGTTGGGCATCTCCGGCGCTGCTCACTCTTGGATTGTGTCCTACCTGACAGGTCGCTCCTACCAGGTGGCGTGGCAAGAATCTGTCTCCGCACCACGTGCTCTCACCACTGGTGTCCCCCAGGGCTCAGTTCTAGGCCCTCTCCTATTCTCTCTATACACCAAGTCACTTGGCTCTGTCATATCCTCACATGGTCTCTCCTATCATTGCTACGCAGACGACACACAATTAATTTTCTCCTTTCCCCCTTCTGATAACCAGGTGGCGAATCGCATCTCTGCATGTCTGGCAGACATATCAGTGTGGATGTCGGGTCACCACCTCAAGCTGAATCTCGGCAAGACGGAGCTGCTCTTCCTCCCGGGGAAGGACTACCCGCTCCATGAGCTCACCATCACGGTTGACAACTCCATTGTGTCCTCCTCCCAGAGTGCAAAGAAACTTGGCGTGACCCTGGACAACACCCTGTCGTTCTCTGCTAACATCAAAGCGGTGACCCGATCCTGCAGGTTCATGCTCTACAACATTCGCAGAGTACGACCCTACCTCACACAGAAAGCGGCACAGGTCCTAATCCAGGCACTTGTCATCTCCCGTCTGGATTACTGCAACTCGCTGTTGGCTGGGCTCCCTGCCTGTGCCATTAAACCCCTACAACTTATCCAGAACGCTGCAGCCTGTCTGGTGTTCGACCTTCCCAAGTTCTCTCATGTCACCCCGCTCCTCCGCACACTCCACTGGCTTCCAGTTGAGGCTTGCATCTACTACAAGACCATGGTGCTTGCCTACGGAGCTGTGAGGGGAACGGCACCTCCTTACCTTCAGGCTCTGATCAGACCCTACACCCAAACGAGGGCACTGCGTTCATCCACCTCTGGCCTGCTAGCTCCCCTACCTCTACAGAAGCACAGTTCCCGCTCAGCCCAGTCAAAGCTATTTGCTGCTCTGGCACCCCAATGGTGGAACAAGCTCCCCCATGACGCCAGGACAGCGGAGTCACTGACCACCTTCCGGAGACACTTGAAACCCTACCTCTTTAAGGAATACCTGGAATAGTATAAAGTAATCCTTCTACCCCCCCTCCCCCTCCCCACCCCCCCATTAAAAAAACTACAACAAATAAATAAAAGTGGTTGTCCCACTGGCTATCATAAGTTGAATGCACCAATTTATAAGTCGCTCTGGATAAGAGCGTCTGCTAAATGATGTAAATGTACATGTAAATGTAGTTGGTCCCTCCCCCAACGTAAGACATCCCTCCACCTCTGACAGGTAATGGCTAGAAGGGATCCAGCTTTTGTCAAAAGTTGATTTTTTGGCATTTGATCCCTTTTCCTAACCTTAACCTAATTCCCCTAACCTGCTACATTAATTCTCCAAACCTGCTACGAAAAGTCAAATCTGACATTAATTTGACAAAAGCTGGATCCCTTCTAGCATGACCCCTCTGACAAAGCTACAGGTAAGGTAAAACCATGGAGACAGTTGCGTAACCATGGCTATTCCAGGTAGGAGATCTCTCCGGTTGTTTTTATCCCTGATAAGCTTCAGCAGATTGAGTCCAAGTCCAGGTTTTCAGGACAAGTTAAAGAGCAACTGAAGGCAATAAACAACTTCTCTGGTAGAAAACGGCCTATGTGGCATCCATATTAGTCAGAAACATTTATTCTCGTGTCAAAATTGACTACTACGAAGTGTAAATAGGAGAGATTTGGTCATTGAGTCATTCTCGTCCAAAACAGAGATTTGCATGATAATTAGGAAAAAATGGTATGTCACAGAATGAAGGGTACCATAACAGTTTTCCTTGGGTTGGTCCTGCCCACAGCTGGCAGCACCCAAGTATTTATCAATTCAGAGTGCAGCTGCACATGGCCCTATCCTAATGACCATGGTCAATTTGAAATGTTTGATATTTGATATCCATATGGGACTCTTTAGGGACCATCAGTAAATTACACAATGTACACGGGACAATATTTTTAAATGTCAATAGCTCCAAATTTCAATGACTTAAAAACCTCAAACCAGCTATAAATTGTAGAAATTCATATACAAATATTGAAAGCATTTAATGAGACAACAAAAACATGTGCAACATGAAAATATTATCTCATTTACATAGTGTAATTTATTGATGTACCTAACTAGCCTAGCTATCCAAAGCCAAAACAATTTTGACAGTTCCAGACACAAGACCTGAGCCCTGTACATGGTTTGAGGAGTTAGTGAAGTAACTTTGGTCAACTGAGTTCAACTCGAGATAACTGGTACCACGAAAGTTGCTCACCTTTCAGCCAGGTAACAAATCCTTCATCCCGCTATTCTGAATGAAGTGTCCGAGCTGCGAGTTAAGGACCAATGAAATCAGATTCCCTCCCTCTCGCAAAGATTGCGTCATCATCCCTTTCATTTGACGAAGATGATTGATTAAATATGTTATTAATAATAAATAAAACGTTTTTAAAAAAGTAACGTTAAAATACCTATCACGTTACACATTTAGTAATGACAGAATGCATTTGAAACTTTGCACAGAAACTTTTGCTTTTATTGATAGGTGTGGGGGAAAGAGTGCTTGTGCATTGAAAAGCACGCCAAAGATGGCATTAACGATAACTAAAGACGGCCCTTCTAAAAGCCTAATTCACACCACAGCCTGGTGAATTTGTAAGATAACTTTCCTTTCATTTTGATTTCGGCACAATTTAAAATGTGGCACTGACTTGCCCATGCATTGAAGAGTTCGGCGTTCGACTAGCCACGTGCGACATGCGCTCACAATTATAAGCCTGCTATAGTTAGCGGCAGGCGGACAAGCAATATCCACCGTCGTAGGACGAATGAAGCCTGAGCTGGAATGTGAAGCTAACTGAAGCTGGCTAGCATTAGAAAACCCTGAGTAGATCTAGCTTAAATCATAGTATACACCTCTGGTCAGATTGTTTCAAGTTATCTGGAAGGGTGAGTGAATGTAGCTGTGTACTGTTTTGGCAGAGTGAAAGTACAAACGCTTCCTATGTTCGAACACACACACACCAGAGACACCCACATCAAAGCCTCCAATACCCAAGTCTCGCTCTCAGTTGCGCTTCCTAATGAGGTGAATTGAAACCAAAGCTAAATCAGGAAGTTCAGCCCTCTTTAAATACTGCAAGTTTTCTAGAACAGAGATTTTCCATCAGTATTAATACATGTATTACAAATACCAATAAAATACAAAAAAAACAGCAAAGATGCCAATTTTGCCATTTTACAGTAACACTTTTCTCATACCTTTTAAGTGAATTTATTCTGAAAAGAGAGCGTTGCACCACGAAATACACAGCGTATGTTCAAGGGCCGCCATTTAGCTGCGTAGGACGGTGGGGGTTGCAGACTAGTGCCAGTCGAAAGCAGTAACACACCTGCCAAAAGCAGTAACACACCTGCCAAAAGCAGTAACACACCTGAATCAACTAATCATCCAAGCATCGTCTTCAATATAGACTTAATTAGTCAGGCATGTTATTGCTTTGGTTGGAGTGAAAGCCTGCATCCACACGGCCCACAGGATTACCAGTAAAGCGTTACCAGTCCTGTGTACTACCACTGTAAGCCTGCCTCTGCATGTGTGTCTGTGTTTACCATTGTAAACCTGGCAGGTGTGTGTCTGTGTTTACCATTGTAAACCTGGCAGGTGTGTGTCTGTGTGTACCGTTGTAAACCTGATAGGTGATGCCGCCCCTACGGCAGAGAGCAGGAGGTGAGGGAGGTGGAGGTGGAGGGAGATGGTGGAGGGAGGTGGAGGTGGTGGGAGGTGGTGGGGGAAGTGGAGGGAGGTGGTGGGGGAGGTGAGGGAGGTGGAGGTAGGTGGTGGAGGTGGAGGGAGGTGGTGGAGGGAGGTGGAGGTGGTGGGGGGAGGTGGAGGGAGGTGAGGAGGTGGATGGAGGTGGTGGGGGAGGTGAGGGAAGTGGAGGGAGGAGGTGGAGGGAGGTGGAGGTAGGTGGAAGTGGTGGAGGGAGGTGGAGGAGGTGAGGGAGGTGGAGGGAGGAGGTGGAGGAGGTGAGGGAGGTGGAGGTGGTGGGGGGAGGTGGAGGGAGATGAGGGAAGTGGAGGGAGGTGGAGTAGGTGAGGGAGGTGGAGTGAGGAGGTGGAGGGAGGTGAGGAGGTGGATGGAGGTGGTGGGGGAGGTGAGGGAAGTGGAGGGAGGAGGTGGAGGGAGGTGGAGGTAGGTGGAAGTGGTGGAGGGAGGTGGAGGGAGGTGTGGAAATGAACATTGAGAGTACAGGAGGACCCTATGCCAGGAATTCTGGATCTAGCCAGGCATCTGGGGCATCTTTGTCAACTCTCAGTGACAAACTTCATCACAAAAAACACCCCACGCCTTTTAACAAGCGAGTGAGAGGGAGTATTTAGTGCCACTTCATTTGGATAGTCCATCTGTAGATGCTCTACAGACTATATTTTCTTACCTCCAGAATAGTGACCAGCAGCACCAGGGCTCCTATGGTGTTCATCATGCCGCCGTAGTAGGAAATCAGAGCGTCGCGGCAGCCCCGTTTCCAGATGTTCAGGTCCTCAGTGTGGTGGTCATAGGAGTAGTGGGCCGTGTTGTTGGTCACCTGGTACTGGATGCAGGGCCGCGGGGAGCTGGGGTTACAGCAGCTGAATGGAACGGCATCCATCAGGTACTTCCCATCCACGTTGCTGCCGATACGACTGGGGGGTGAAAGGGCAAAGGGCAGAGGTTAAGGTGTTATGGCTTAGGGTCAGTGTGTTGTGTGTTAGGCTCAAGGTCTTATGAGGTAGCCATTCATCAAGTACTTCCCATTCTCATTACTGCTTAAGCGACTGGGGGTCAGAGGGCAAAGGGCAGATTTTAGGGTCAATATATATAAAAAGCACTACCCAATCCATCCATCCATCATAATGTACTGTAAGCGTGATGAAGTCCTAGTGAACTATCGGTATTTAGAAAGGTAGTATTAGGCTGAAAGACCTGACACAACCCTGACACAACCTAACACTGCTTTTTCGTGCAGTTTCCATGATAGAGGGTTTGCAGTGCTTGCATTGTTTCTGACAGAGCTGAAATCAGTTCACAGTGTACCTGGTAAAGAGAGGATTATGAAGGTCTATCAGTCTCTCACATGCTGTTTGAATGGAATTAACCGCATTAGCCCCTCTCTACTGGGAATACTCTGCTCTCCTCACATTGGATTTGGGAAGAAACAGTGCAAACGATTACTGTCACATGCTTTCCAACAAAGGTGCACGAGCCAACTGAGAATGAAGAATGTACTCTGCTCACATTGGGAAGGAGCGATGATACTTTCACTAAATCTCGGTCTCCAACACAAACAGATGAGCACACTGAAGATGAGAAAAACATTCAGCAACTCTCATTGGACACACGTCTTCATTGGAAAGACATCTATCTGCCACGGACTCAGAAATGACAACCAAAGATTATGGAAGATCAAGATGCACACCACTTACGAAGGATCTCTCTCAGAGTGACTTTCCTCTCCTACACTGAGAGGGCATTTCAGAGGATGTATTGAAATTAAATTCATAAATTGATGGTTGATCCATTACTTCGAATGAGGATGAATTGCCTAAATGGAATTAGTCTGCATACTAACTAATCGATGGCTGGATATACAGTAGTAGCTAGTTAACCTAGTTGTGGCTTGTCAACATAGTTGTAGTTGACAGGTAATCAATCAAGCAGTTTGTTGATCGTCTGAGTAGATAGGGATTATCCCCATAAAGTGAGACTGACTGGACTGACCGTGACAGCGGTAATCTCTCTGATTATGTAGCAGGAAGTGTGCATTTGGCCTTTGGGTGGTCTGGCAGTGGGGTTTCAACTGTGATTGACAGTTGTAGGGTAGTTCTAAATCAGAGTCATGCAAAGAATAGTCTGATGGGATCAGAGATGAGAGAGAGTGACAGGGATATGAATAATTTCCAGTTATTCCCAACAACACAGACATAGAATAACACTCCGTTGGGAATACTGAAAATGCATGATAACGCTGACACAGACCAGGGATGGGCAACTCTAGACAGGACCGATTTGCTGAATGAGGTGTATTAAAGTAGGGCTGGAGCCACTAAGAACTCACAGGATCACACACACACACACATTCACGCAAACACATGGGTGGGTGCATGTACACCTTACACCACTTATGATGAAAACTGCCCCCTTTGACAACCACAAATACACACTTGGTATGACTTACACTGAAAACCAACACTTGAAACACCTGCATCCAAACACACCTTACACCTGACACACTGCAAAACAGACCCCTGCATCATTCCCCTTCAACTCTCATAGAAAGCTGACCCCTTTCCCCCCCACCATTATCGCTATTACTGCACACTAATGACTGAATCCCCTTCCCCCACCTCCCATAAGCCCAACACTGTTCAGTAACCCTTTAAACAAACCCACATGCACACACCACCATCACCACCTCTAACACTAAAATCTCAAATCCACTGACCCTGTAACCCTCCTTAACCTTATAACAGAAAGTGACCCTTTATCTTCCTTAGCCTCCCCCTCCTCGCACCTGCAATCCATTTACACTGAACACCCATTAAGAACAGTGAACCCCCCATAAACTAACTCTGCAATCTCCATTCATAACATTTGTTGGTGTGGGCCTATGATAGAGGCATCTTATTTAAAATAAAACTTACATCACTATGTTTAACACTGATCTAAGGTCAGTTTTGCATGATAACCACCTAATGGTTAGGGATAGGGTAGGGTTAGCTTTAGAACTGATCCTAGATCTGTTGGTAATATCATGACTCACTCTTTTACTTCCTTGGCACCAAAGTCCAGGTAGCGGTTGCTGACCCACTGGATCTCGAACCAGTCCCTGAAGTTGTTGTTGCCGCAGCAACGGAACTCCATCTGCATCTGGTCCAGGGTTCTCTTCATGTAGCAGTGTCCCGGCGTGTCCGTGTCCTTGTAGAACTTCAGGGCGTTCTTCAGGCCCTCAGCCAGTGTGAACTGGAGAGGGATCCTCATTAGGAAGCAGAGCAGAGCCGTCAGCACCAGGAGACAATTGAAAGCCACACAGGAGACAAGGAAGGATTTGAGCATGGGCTTCCACCTTGAGAACTTGCTGGGGTCCAGGGAGTCATAGCAGATCTTGCCTCCCATGGCATTGATCCCACAGGCCAGCAGCCCCACGCCGATTAGTAAGTTAGGGACAAAGTGGCTCTCGTTGTTGTCCATCATCTCTGAGCGCTTACGCAGCTCGATCTTAAAGAACAGCCCCATGCTGAAGACCAGCACGCCTGCCATCACTGAGAACCAGTACATCAGCCATAGCAACTGGGCTAGCTTCACCCGCTTCTTCAGGTCAAACTTGACCTTCATTAGTGCCATGGTGGCAATTTAGGGAGACTCCTAAAAGGAAAATACACTACTGAGAGTTTCAGCTGTTCCCGTTAGGTGGTTTCAGCTGTTGATTCCCCGTTAGGTGGTTTCAGACGTTCTCTCGGTCTCTCAGTCTCTCCTGCAGCTCGTCCAGCAGGGCAGGAGTGTCAGCACAGCCAATGATCTGTAATCCATCCCAGAGAGAAGGAGCAGAGGTAAGGAAAGAGGAGTGCTGTTATTACTTCACGGCCCTTTCCTCTCCCATAGCAGCAGGACCCTGAAAAAGAAAACTCACTAAACTCACCCAGACGGATGACAGAACACAGTATCGCACTTTCCCCGGTTTTCCCCCTTGCCTCGGTCCCAAACTTTCCCTCCAAAAATGTCCAAATCAACAGGTGAGGCTAATTGTGATGTCCCTTTCACTGGCTGGAGGAGGATTGAGGAAGATCCTCCAGATTCCAGGCGGAGGGGAGGTGCGTCATGTTAATCCCCTGTGAGCAGCCTGATCCCATTTACAGAAATCCCTCTCCAGAAGATGAGCCTGGCCGTAAACTGCTGCCAGGATACATAATTGGTTTGAACGTTCACATGGTCATGGTCGCCCCGATTGAATGCACCGGGGGCCGGAAACGAGGACAGTTAATGGTTAACGGTTAACGGAGAGCAGGGAGGTGTAAATAAGATGTGCTGCGATGTTGACATGGGTCCCTGGGTTCAGACGAGGCAGGTTTTTTGCAGTAGAGTCACTGAGACGATTCAATAAAACCAACCAAAAAACCTGTAAGCACCTCACAGACAGGCTCTGGAAGAATGGATCCTTAGAGTTGCTCCTACAAGTTTCCCCATGACCCACTTAGCTCCACCTGCATTCAGCAGCCAACATCAACAATCTGGCAGTCTCTCACCAGAGGGGTCTACTACAAAGCAGGATCAACGAGTTAGACAGATAAATTTGATCAACAACCAGAAATAACTATTGATTTTCTGGTTCATTAAGAAAGCTAAACTGAGATATGTTTTGGGCTGTTAAGACAATTAAACCATGCCCATTTCAAGCTTATATTTCTAAAAAAAGAAAGTTATTTTAGTTGGCTAACTCATCGATCCTGCATTGTAATATACCCTGCTGTAGTAAGGAAGCAGGCAGATTTAGCTATGTAGGTGTTTATGTGTCTGCACTGAATGAACTATCTGTGTAATGCTGATGGCAGTTTGGTGGACCAACAACAAACTTCTAAAGGGGGCCTCTTCACTGCACAGCAAAGCTAGGATTGTGATGTGTACACTTCATAAGAGAAGGTAGATGTGTGTGGTTATGTGAGTGTCAGTGCATTCAATTAACTACATGATGGCAGGTGTACATGTGAGCTGCACAGGGACGCACAACAGGCCGGCAGACCTGATATGACATCTTCAGTAGTTGGCAGAACTTGTGACAGAGAGAAACCAGAGGAGCATACTGGTATTAGAGTACCTGAGGGCAGAGATCAGCTCTGTCACTGCTGCAGTACCTCTAATACATGTTAGCTTTCTCATGGGAAGAGTGGTGACAGGATGTGGAAAGGGGAAGAAACAGTTAGTGGCGGTTTCCCATACACAGATTAGGCCCGGTCCTGGATTAAAAAGCACTTTCAATGGAGAGTCCCTATTGAACTTGCTTTTTAGTCCAGGACTAGGCTTAATATGCGTCCAGGAAACCACTCCAAACTGTTTTATTAAAATATTTCATGTAGATTTGTCATTTAGCAGACGCTCTTACCCAGAGCGACTTACAGTTAGTGAGTGCATACATTTTTCATACTGGCCCCCTGTGGGAATCGAACCCACAACCCTGGCGTTGCAAACGCCATGCTCTACCAACTGAGCTACACGGGGCCCACCATTAAAGACAAACATAAGAAACTGACAGATTAGTTGGTGTCATCCAAACCCTTTATTTACATTTTTAGTAACACTCACCAAGACCACTTCGTCAGATAAATAATAATATGCCATTTAGCAGACGCTTTTATCCAAAGCGACTTACAGTCATGCGTGCATTATTATTATTATTTTTTGTGTATGGGTGGTCCCGGGGATCGAACCCACTACCTTAGCGTTACAAGCGCCGTGCTCTACCAGCTGAGCTACAGAGGACCAGAGAACAGTGACAGAAATGCTGTTTGTAAACATATTAAGGTGCTGCATTTTTTTCCTAAGGACTAAGGTGGTCCTTTCTGATTAAATGAACGTGTAACAAACGGTGTTAGTGACATTACCTGTTGTTAACATTCTAATTGAACTGCTCAGAGTAAGGTTGTGAGAAATCAGTAATGCGTAAACCTTTTCTCCCTGTGAGTAAATATTAAAAAGCTTTCAGGCAGCATGAACGACATGACAATATTACCCTGTCAAGACATTATGAAATAACCCATCAGCATTAAATCATATGAAAAGCAAAGTAGCATAAGGCTTTGTCACCATCAGGGCTGAGTGATTGTTGTTGTGAAGTCAACTGCATAAAATCTAGAAAATAAGAAAACACTATTCATTTGTTTGACTGAAAGGCTCTTCCTTTCTTTATGTCTCTAGGAGTCCCATTCAGTTCTTCTCTCAGCTTCTGGGATGACAGACCAGTTAGGTGATTGGGTCCCTATGGCCAGCCAGTTAAAATCATCCACCTGGTTCCAGTTGTTCCTGTCCCGGTCCAGACCAGACACCTTAAAGTCCTGGTCCAGACCTGTGTAGGACCAGGCAAAAGGGGCGAAGCGCACCCCTTGACAGTCTTCTATGATGGCGCGGCTGGTGACGTGCAGATAGACCTGTGTGTCGGTGGTGTGGTGCGTCCGTAGCTGCTGACAGGGGAAGGAGAGGGTGCTGCCAGTGCAGTGGTCCACGAATACAGAGCTGGAGACCGGCCCTGAGAAGATCTCACAGTTCTGGACGTGTTTGATGTGGACGGTGCTGGGGGAGCCCAGGAGTCTGACCTTGCAATTGGTCAGGTGGGTCAGGAGAACATCCTGTTGTTTGATCTCCTCACCTGACTTGGTCAGCACCTGCCAAAAACAAAAAGTGGTCATCAGACATTTAAACTACACACCTGCAAATGGTATAATCTACACCACAATTGACTAGAGACAAACATTCTCATGAGAAATGACTTAATTAAACTTGTTATGTTAGGGACTTTTACCTGGCACTCAAAGTGGGAGAAGCCGCACTGCTCTGGGGGGCTTATGGCTCCGTCCACTTTAGTTCGGCCAGAATCCTTAGGCGTTACAGGTGGCGCTGGGTTCGCGACAGGTGGATCTACTTTGGGTGCATTTGCTGCGCGCGACCTAAAGGAGAACTTCTTCTTGGGGATAATCTCGTCTCTCTTCTCGGCAAGAGAGTTCTGTAGTTTCTGGAGCGCCATCTGTGCCTGTCTCAGCTCGTACTGCGGTAAAAACACCATGCTATCGTTAAGAAACTTCTGGAGCTGTTGTGCTTTAGTAGTCACCTCCTCTAAGGTTTGGGTGGCAAGGGCGCGGTCAGTAGCCCCGGAGCAGCCAGCCAGTAATTTCTCGATAGCCGCCCTTTCGCTGCCGAACGTCGCGGTGAATAACCCACTCTTCTCCTCCGTGACAGACTGGCTCTTTTTCTCCTCTTTCTTTCTCTCCACGTCCTCGAGCCTATCCTGTTCCCGTTTCAGCATCCTCTCGGGGATCTTAACGCCGAACTCACTAGGACCAGAGTCCCCGTTTCGCTGACAAATACCACTCTCCACATCCATGTTTTTGCTTATGTTGTTTGTACCGGCAAATGCGGAAGAGATGATGTCGCTTCGTAACAAACGGCCTTCTCATTGGATAAGTCCCTCCCCTCTTGTGACTATACTGTCATTTAATTGGTGGATTATGGAACGCTGTTGACTACGTTCTCCCCACGCCCACGAGAGCTAGTGTCAGCCAGACCACACAGGTTCATACATGATTGTTTCTGCAGCCCATAACAAATATCCATCTATAATGATTCCCATGTTGCCTTACTGCGAAAACAAATGGAAGGATTCCTGGGTTTTAATCTAGGCGAATAGAAGACGAATCTCAGAATAGTAAAATAGTATATCAAGTGCCACCTTCACAGTAGATGTAGAAGAGTATATTGATTCCTCAATGTCACACCCACCTCACTTTCATATACAGTAACTTTGTATTATTATGCAGGGAGGAATAACTGCACTCTTCCAAAGTAGACAGCTGTAACTGTTTGATGCATGCAACTGTTTGATGCAAGTATATGAAATGGGTCTATATTATGTGGAATAGAATAGGCCTACATGAATTCACACAATGTACACCAGAATAGATTGAATTACAGTATATGTAGATGACCCCAATCTCTGACTGAAACATGGTGTACAGAGCAGCACTATGAATAGGATGAATAGGATTACTTATAAAATCTGTTGCCGCCCTCCTATATGCCCCTGGAGGGTATATGAGTGGAATAACGCCCTCGTTTTGATCTCTTTATAGTCACAATGTGCAGGCAATCCTCCTCAATTACTTTATCAGCCACATCAAGGTGTGGCATCTATTAGTGACCTGCCCCCTACCGTTCATAATAGCCAAGTCTACAGTAAAACAATTTCCTATTCATATGGGAGAATTATGATGTAACTGTTATGAAAGTAAAAAAAAAAATAATGAACGGTAGAACATAGTTTTTCAGTATTTATAGTTTAGTGGCTATTTGGTTGTCCTATGTGAGTACTATAGAATATTGCAATGCTATCTGTAGAATGCTCTGATGTTGCTGCCTTCTGCTGGAGCGGCACTACCCCGACTACCCGTGCTGTGATGGCGAGGAAACCCCGTTGACAAGGCACTGCTTTTTCATGACGGTGAGTTTCCCTTTGAGTGTATTATAATTTTGTGATAAAATTTCATGGAAAAAACACACACAACCTCCTTCCTCCCTTCCTTCTGGGGGGGAATAGAGTGAGAGAGGAGAGAAATATATCTGAGAGAACAGGGACAGTGAGAAAAATGTATGAGTGGGAGAGGAGGGAGGAGGAGGAGGAGGAGGAGGGGGGAGCAAATTAAAAGTTGCCAAATGGAGATATTGGGTTTCAAGAAGAGTGAGACAGGAGTAATGGTTTGCCTTCTTTCAGTCGTCTTTATGTTATGCTAATCTAAATAAATATTTATGTCTCGACACTGTTTAGTCTGTTAGCCGTGTCAACGAATTCTATCCGACGATTCTAAATAGGCGACAACGGAGCTAACCTAGAACAGGCCGAAGTTTACCATCCCAAAAAAATCCGCGGTCAAATAAGTAGCCGGAAGAGCTGCTTGATGAAGAAGACTCCGCGCTCTCGTAAATTCCACGAATGAAATACGTCTGTTCAGCAAATCGAGAGAAATGTGACGTTTTGCATTGCATGCTGGCAGACGAGCTAAATACTGTAGAAGTCAAATGGTAGCCTCCCTCGTCTACCCCAACAGAGAACGAGCACGTCAGCTAGAGGCTGGGAGGACAGGCTTTTTGTGCTCGAATGCGATTCAGTCTATTTTTGGACATAAAATCGCAAGCTGTACATTAACTGGCTTTCTAAACCACGCCAAAGGTTGTGCGCTGTGCCACGACTGTCGTTGCTAGCTAGCGGTTCGACTCAGCACAATGCTAAGATTTGGGAGGGTGTTATTGCGATGTCGGAATTCAATTGGAGCAAAATGTTTCGACTATTCTTCGGATGAGCTGGTTTAGCTATCTCTTCTTCTTATACGCCTACTCTGACCACTGGGCGAGGTGTAGGAGGGGGAGAGGAAATGCTATATTTTGTGTTTCTTTTTGCATTTATTGGCCAGCTAGCTAACTGACAACGTTTTGGCTAGCTGCTTGTTTTCCCACATTCTGTCAACTTTAACTAGTCAAATCTTCGATATTTCAAAGGCAACTGTCAGGCCTTTTTGACACTGCGTGTACATTTGGACAGTTAACGTTTTTTGACACGTATATCTTTTATTTTTAGTGGTGCTAGCTTGCCGCTATGGCATAAAATAACCCCAATGTTGAAATGGGAAGAGGGACATTATAAAGCTAGCTAAGGTTAGCCAGTCGAGTAGCCAACGTTTACTACGACGCCATCAGGTTCTTTTCAACTAAAATTCTTTAAAACGGTAACAACAGACTTGAAGGGACCATCCAAGAATGCGTGTATCGGTTTAATTTGTGAAATAAAATCTATTGATTTTGTTTCCTTTTTTGGGGGGTGGAAAGCTGCATATAAAGTGCCACGCTTATCTGCGTATGCTAGCTAGCTAGATGTCATGTGAAGGACAAAAACAGGCTAGCAGACCAGATATTGAAAATGCTACAAGTTTCACAATTTCAAAACGGCCAGTTAGATTTTCGGATCAACTATAGTCATGCAATTCCCTACATCGAACTACTAAATTGTAGCTGAGACTTTGTCGCATTGCTTTTTGAACCTCATCAGGCTATTCTTTCTCAAACAAAGATGGTGGTGGAGTCGCCATTTTGTTTCAAAGACTTGCTACATTTTTGCACAGACTGAAACGAGAAAACGAGGCTACATCACGGACTTGATACAACGTATCAGACTTGTAATTCGACATGTCGTCGAATGAATTATACAAATAAGTCAGAAAAATTCATGTTGCTGCAATTGGACACATCACAGTATATTAGGCCCCCTACACTGGCATTCCATTTTTCAAAGCCCCACCTTGTTTAACCCTTGCATTGCAGCTCTATGAATGAACCAAATAACAGGTTCGCCTTGAGAATAGTCCCAATACTATTGCTATTCACTGTTTTATGTCCCCTTCCGCCATGATAGAAGGTCAACATCATAGGACTTAGTTCTGTGGAATGTTGGCTATAAAACAAAGCAAATGCTTTCTAAACGTTCAACTCTCAAACAACCTTTAAATTGAACAGGGTGGAGTTATTTACACCGATGGCCATCTTCATTCTATGGGAGGTGACAGGAGAGACGACCAATGTGCAGGAGGAGGGTAGTGTTCGGGACCGTCACTTTATCGCGGTCTGCTGTAGCTCAATTGCTAGAGAATGGTGCTTGCAACGCCAGAATAGTGGGTTGTATGCACACGACTGTAAGTCGCTTTGGATAAGAGCATCTGCTAAAATGCCATATATTATTACTCTCAGGGAATCTGGATACTAGGTGGAGGGATAGGGGCAACACTGCACATACTGTTCTCTTAACCTCTCTCTTTTCCTGTATCTCTCCCATCTTTCTCCCATCTCTCTCTCACCCTGCCCCCCTCCACTCCAGCACAGAAAATAAAGGGTGGTGGTTAATTAATGATTCCATGCTGGCTGTCAGAAGGCTGTGAGTGTTTTATTGAGTCCTCACAAACTGTCACCACACACCACTTCCTCTGTATTGGCCCACTGCCTATGTTTCTACATTACTTTCCTTAACTCTTTAGTGCTCAGTAGCATTCATAAGAATTGTTGCAGCAATCTAGAATAGTAAGAGGGGTTTAAATAAGAACACTTATATTGCATTTGAGATTTTTAGCATAGTAACAGAATGTATACAGTTAAAATCCTAATAGTATATCTCCCCCTTCCACTTATCCTTCCTCCCATTACACATATTTTTTGTCACTTCATCCCTCTCTCTGCCCTCATCCCACCCTCCTCCCACCCTCATCCCTCTCTCTGCCCTCATCCCACCTCATCCTCTCTCCTCGCTCTCCTATCCCACCCTCCTCCCCCACTCCTCCCCCTCTCCCTCTCGTCTGCCTCATCCCACTCATCCTCTCTCTGCTCTCATCCCACCCTCCTCCACTCAATCCCTCTCTCTGCCCTCATCCCCCCTCCTCCCACTCACCCTCTCTCTGCCCTCATCCCACCCTCACATCCCCTCTCTCTGTTCTCATCCCATCCTCCTCTCACCCTCATCCCTCTCTCTGCTCTCATCCCACCTCATCCCCCTTCTCTCTTGCTCTCAATCCCACCCCGCCTCTCACTTCATCCCTCCTCTCATGCTCTCACCCACCCTCATCCCTCTCTCTGCTCTCATCCCACCTCATCCCTCTCTCTGCTCTCATCCCACCTCATCCCTCTCTCTGCTCTCATCCCACCCTCCTCTCACTTCATCCCTCTCTCTGTTCTCATCCCACCCTCCTCTCACTCATCCCTCTCTCTCTCTCATCCCCACCTCCTCCCACCTCATCCCTCTCTCTGCTCTCATCCCACCCTCCTCCCACCTCATCCCTCTCTCTGCCCTCATCCCACCTCATCCCTCTCTCTGCTCATCCCACCTCATCCCTCTCTCTGCTCTCCACCTCTCCCACCTCATCCACTCTCTCTGCTATCCCACCTCATCCCTCTCTCTGCTCTCATCCCACCCTCCTCTCACTTCATCCCTCTCTCTGCTCTCATCCCACCCTCCTCCCATCTCATCCCTCTCTCTGCTCCCACCTCTCCTCTTCCTCCCAGGTGTCATGGATGATGAGGACGATCGCCGTCTTCTGGATATTATAGGGTAAATCTATCTAGAACAAATAAATCACAAACACTGTCTATAACACATCTACAAACATCTAACACTAAGGCATTCATAATGGCAGGTGGAACAGAGAAGTATGTTGCCCAGGGGCTACGAATGTTAACTAAATTGCATTAACAAACAAAAAAAGTCTGATGGTCCCTGACTCGAGCTCCCTCCCTCTCTCCTTCAGAGATGTGCAGGCATTGAACGACTACCTCCACGGCTCCACCAACAAGTCTGTGAGTGTTTCCCCCTCTGGTCTACTAGTTCAACTATGCCCATTTCAAGTAATTTAATATTTAATTAAGTTAGCAGGCTGCTTTGTGATACAGGTGAAGTGACAGTGTGTTTTCTCCCTCAGATTGGGGAGGATGACGTGACGAACGCAGCGTACGGTTCTGCTGGAACCTTCTTCACTAGTAACACTGTGAGTTGTAGTAAACCTTTACTTACCTGCTGCCAGTGGGTTTATATACTGACGGAGCCTGCATAGTTGCTAGCAGCATACCACTCTGCATCCCACTGCTGGCTTGCCTATGAAACTAAGCAGGGTTGGTCCTGGTAGTGGTCTTGGAGGGCCAGTAGTGGGCACTGTTCCCTCTGGGCTAAGGAGATCCCAATGCCCCAGGGCAGTGAAGGGGACTTTGCCCTGTGTATCGTGCCGTCTTTCGGATGGGATGTTAAACGTGTCCTGACTGTCTGTGGTCATAAAAAATCCCATGGCACTTATCATAAGAGTAGGGGTGTTAACCCCGGTGTAATGGGTAAATTCCCTACCTGGCCCCATTCCATCATGACCTCCTAATCATCCTCCTAATTTGCATATATCACTCCTCACCTTTCTAGCTGATGTGTGGTGAGTGTTCTGGTACAAAAATGGTCAGCGTGCATCACCCAGGTGGGTGCTACACACTGATGATGGATGAGGTGAACTTCCCACTACTATGTAAAGCACTTTGAGTACCTCAGTTGGTAGAAAAGTGCTATTTAAATCCAATCAATTATAGTTATAAAGTGTTTTTTTTCTTCTCTCTCTCAGGCTGGCTCTAACTCCGGCCTCAAAGATGGAGAGTTTGAGGATTCAGCGGGGGCGGGCCTCCAGCTTTCCAGCAGCCTATCGTTCATTGAGGATGAGCTGGGGGGAGGAGCCTCTCCAGGAGGAATGGATCTTGGTGGAGGAGAGGACCAGCCCTTTGACATCCTGCAGAAGTCTCTCATGGAGGCAGACATCACTGAACAGACTCTGGAACAGGAGGCCATGCTAGACTCCCAACGACCACCCCCTCCGGCCCTCTCCCCATTCCCCGCCCAGCTGGTCTCGGGGGGGTACAGCGGCGGGGTCACCACGGCGACAGCAGCGTTTCCCAGTGGTCAGTTCCTCCAGGGCGTATCCCAGGTGTCCCAGCTGCCCAATGGCCAGGCAGGGGGGCACATCCAGGTGTTGGGGTCCTTCGGCGGGGGAGGGGTCCAACAGATCCTCCTCCGGCAGGGTGGGGGGATAGGGGGGGTGGTGGGGGGAGTATCAGCAGGGGGGCAGGTGTTCGCCGCCTCCTCCCCAGGGGGCCAGGTGAACCAGGTGGGCATGCCCTTTAAAAACATCCCCCTGCAGAACATCATAATCCAGAGAGGACCAGGGGGTGCCCAGGCCCTGGTCAGACCTATCCAGCCCAAACCCCTTCAAGCTGGGGCTCAGACAGTCTACAGCCTTGGACTCCAGACCACGACCACCACCATGGTTAACACTGCGGCCCAGGGACACTACACAGCTAACGGCTCCATCCTGGTCCACTCTCCGCTAGGGCAGCAGAACCAGGGACAACAAGGCCAGGCCAACCTGCCCCCAGGGCAGTATCTGGTCCACCACAATGGCTCCTCAGATCCATCCCAATCAACCATGCTAGCCAATCAGAACACAGTGCAGCTTGTCACCGGGCAGAACTTCACGGCGACGGCGGGAGGTCAGCTAATCCAGGTGGGAGGCGGTCAGGTGGGAGTAGGAGCAGCCATGACCCAAACATGGCCCCCCCTTTTTCTTTTCCCCTTTCTGGAGGGCCCCCCAACGGAAAGGCCCGGGGGAAAAGCCCCCCCCCCCTAAAAACCCCCTTCCTCGGCCCCCCCAAAAGCCCCCCCCAAAGGGCCCCCGGGGGCTAAAAACCCCCCAAGGCGGCGGGGGGACAGGGGGGCCCCCGGGGAAACCAGGTCCCCCCCAGGGGGGAAAGGGGGGGGGGGCCCCCCCGGGGGGGGGAAAAGGGGGGGGCCCCCCCCGGGGGGGGGGGCCAAAAGACCCCCTTCCCCCGGGGGGGGGGAAAGTAGGGGGGGGGGGGGCCCCCGGGGGGGTGAAACCCCTTCCGGGGGCCGGGCCCGTTCCCCCCAAAAAAAAGGGGAAAAAAAACCCCCCGGGGAAAAACCCCCCAAAAGGGCCAAAAGGGGAAAAGCCACCCCCCCCCGGGGGGGCCCCACGGGCCCCCCCCCCAAACCCCAGCCCCCAAACCCAAAAACCCCTTACCCGGGGGAAAAGGGGAAAAAGGGAAGGGGGAAAGGGGCCCCAGTTTTCCCCCAAAAAAGGGAAAAAAACCCCAGAAAACCCCCCAAAAAACCCCCTGTGGGGCCAACCGGCCCCCAAACTTCAAAATTGGCCCCGGGAGGGGGGTTTTGGGGGCGGGCCCCGGGCCCCCCGGGGTTTCCCCAAAAGGCCCCCCCGGGGGGGTGGGAGCGGGGGGGGGGGGAGGGGGGGGGAAAAGGGGGGGGGAAAAGGGGGTTTTGTTCGGGGGGGAGGGGGGGCAGGGGGGAGGAAACCGGGGTAAAAAAAACCCCGGGCCCCCCCCAAAAAGGAAAAAAAAATTTTAAAAAAACCCCCCGGGGGAAAGGGAATCTTAATCCCCTAATCCCCCCAACCCCTTCCTAACACCTACATAAACCCAAATTCGCCCCCAAATTTAAAAACCCACCCCCCCGGGCCCGAACCCCGCCCAGCCCAAAAGGGTAAAAACCCCGGGGAAAGGGGGGGGGGGAGGGGGGGGGGGGGCAGGGGGGGGGGGGGCCCAAAAAAACCCCCCCCCCGGGGGGGGGGGGGGGGGGGGGGGGGAAAAAGGGGGGGGGGGGGGGAAAAAAAAAGGGGAACCCCCCAAAAAGGGGGGGGGAAAAAAATCACCCCCCCTAATTCCCAAAACCCCCCATTAATTTCCCTTTTTCCCTTTTCCCCCTTTTTTTCCCCAAATTTTTCCTTTTTCCCCTTTCTCCCTCTTTTTTTCCCTTTTTTTTCCCCTTTCTCCTCTTTTCTCTCTTTTTTTTCTCTTTTTCCCCCTTTCCTCTTTCCTTTTTTAAAACAAGTGGTTGGTGGCTTGTATGTGTGTTGCTGTCTGGGTGTGTGTGTATAGCTCGTTATTATTAGGAAACCCCCTTTCCTGACTCCTGTTTCCTTTTTTGTCTCCTAGCTGTGAAAACAATGACCTCCATGAGCCAAGACTCCCTGCTAAACACACAGGTAGTCTACATGTGACACACACGTTTGTGTGTGTGTGTTAGTGTGTGTGTGTGTGTGTGTGTGATGATAAAAATGATGTGCCTCTTGTAGGTCAGCGCTCTGAAGAGGCCGGCACCTCAGCAGCTCACCAGAGGAGGAATGTAAGTAGTGTGTGTGTGTGTGTGTGTGCGTATAAATCAGTGGAGGCTGCTGAGGGGAGGACGGCTCATAGTAATGGCTGGAATGGAGTGTAATGGAGTGAATGGAATGGTATCAAATACATAACAGGCGTTTGATACCATTCCATTTACTCCATTCCGGCCATTATTTTGAGCCGTCCTCCCCACAGCAGCCTCCAGTGGTATAGGTGTGTGTGTGTGTGTGTATATCCACATATGCATATATACTGTATGTGTGTGACAAGTGCACAATGTGTATGTCTCCAGGATGCTACAGCAGTTGACGATGGATCGTTCAGGGGTTCTGTCACCTGACATCGCCCGCTTCACCTCATTGGACGACGCACTGCACAGACTCCTCCCCTACCACATTTTCCACGGAGCTCCGCCCAACAAAGAAGAGTTTTCTCAAGGTCAGAAACCTCCCGTACTCCCTACACCGTGTGTGTGTGTGTGTGTGTGTGTGTGTAACACTGTGTTCTGTCTGTACCAGTGGATGATGAGTTTGAGTCGATGGCGACTCAGGTGTTGAAGAGAACCCAGGTTATGATCAACAAATACAGACGACTGCTGATGGTGGAGGCTGAGGTGAGTACACACACACACACACACGGACACACACACACGCACACAAATCATTGTTTATCTTCAAAAAGTGTAAGGATGTTGCTAAGTCCCTCTCTTCCTGCAGCGCTCCAGCCCTTCCTCAGAGATGGTGATGATTGACAGGACCTTTAACCAAGAGGAGCACCAGAACCTGACACAGGACAAACGTATGGTACTGGTGGACCCAGGTGAGAAGGAGGGAAATGGCAGGGGTGTGGATCATTCAAAAGGTGTGGACCATTATTTTTCATAATGTTTCTCTCTCTCTCTCTCTCTCTCTCTCTCTCTCTCTCTCCCTCCATAGATGGCTTCTTGGAAGATTTCTGTTGTGGGGTGAAGCCGTCTCCCCTCTCTCCCCCCTGCCTCCCCTTGGACCCTCTATCCTCCCCCTCGTCCAGCCACGGCTGTAGACAGACAGTGAGGGGGGTGACCACAGACACCCCTTACAGGACAGACCCCCAGTCGGGCTATGGAGGCCCGGGTGGAGGTGGGAGAGGTAGTGGGGGAGGAGGGGGAGGAGGAATAGACTCTTATAAGAGTATCATTGACCTGAAGAGGACTCAACAAAGCAACTATGGAAACAAAGCTGCCTCGAGCAACAACAACAACAGCAGCAACTATCACCTTGGAAACGTTGCTGCTACAGCCACAGCGGCAGTGTCGACAGGGATGGAACAGACTCAGTACCTGTCCTCCTCTCACCCCCAGGCCCCCCTTCCCCTCCCTCCCACCCCGCCCGACACAGACTCGGTTCTAGAGGCAGCCGTCAACAGCATTCTAGAATGTTAGACAGACTGACAGACAGACGTGCCCATCACTCTATCGTTCCATTTCTCCATCTCTCGCATCCTCCCATCCTTTCCCCCCAGCTCGCTCCAGGGATGACATGTTTGTTCTTTATTTTCTCCTTCTCTCTCTCATTGTCAGTCCAGTTCAACCAGCTCTGAATTAGTTACAGCCATAGAAATATAATCTAGATTGTATTTCTATGGTTACAGTATTATGTTTACTGTAGGACAGCCAGGGGTCATGACCTCTGTGACATCATATCCTGTTGGGTGTGAGTGGGGAGAGGATGCAAAGATTGTCTATTATATTGACAAGATAGTCGATTGACCTCTAACAATGGAAGTACATGTCCTCAAAGATGGAAGGCAGGTGGGAGGAGGCGAGATCAGGTACGACTATTTTAGCCAATGAGAGGGCAGATACGTGTGTGAACAACAGGCGATAGAGATGGATGGAGGACTCATCTTTGTGTCTGTGACAGCACAGGCAGCGCCATTGAGGCTACCTCCATTTTAAAGTAGTACATTTTCTTCTTCTTCATTGGCTGATTGCTCCCAACTCAGGAATCCCCACTGAGTTGACTACTTTAAAATGGTGGAAGCCCCAATGGCCACTTTAAAACGAGTTATATCCATGATGAGTCTGCTATATATCTCTATGACAACAGGTACAACTCGGATATAAAGTCGTTTTTTTCCAAAGTTGCCGAAATGCCACGTCCACGTCCACTTATATCAGTGCATTCGTAACAACCTAACCATTTCAAAACGTATATTGGATCAAATAAGCCTCATGTAGCAAATTAGCAATTACATTTTTTGTTGACCAAATTCGACACCGTCTCTCATTGACCTCTATACAAAAATTCCTCAATTCCTGAACCCCAATGTTAGGCCACGTCCCACAATGCTGAAGTTCAGGGAGGAGGAAGATGATGATTCTGTGCCTGAGAAATTCTATGTTGTCCTTGAAATGTTTACATTTTTAGTCATTTAGCAGACGCTCTTATCCAGAGCGACTTAGTGAGTGCATACATGAAGAAGCCTTGTAAGAAATGGCCTTTAATTTTTGCACTTGACATTACACACCTACACATAAAATACAATAGTAATTGATGGTTTTTGTGTTCTCTACTTTTCATAGTAAAGTCAAGCCAGAGAGACTCACTCCCACTCAAGAGTGTCTATATAACGACTAAACAAGCAGCTTTTGATTTTCTGTCAGTTTTGTCATTTTATCTTATTTGGCATTTTTATTTTGTACCTTAAAGGTATGTGACGCCCCTCCGCACTCACATTCACTCTCGTCGGCGTGTATTGGTGTTGGGGGGGAGCTAACTCCTCAGATTGAGGGAGAAATGTTTTCGACATGTTTATCTTTTTTTATTTTTTATAAATCACTATTTGTGTGGTTAGGGATGTGTGTCCCAGCGAAGTCAACACGCAACCATGGTAACACGTTTCATGAGATTTAACGACCCTGGAAGGTCATGGGTTGTACGTGTATGTCTCTGCGTACGTGTGCTGGACGAATGTTACTCATTACTTCGCCCACTTAAGTTTCCTCTCCTTCATTCTGTCCATCACTTCACTCAATCCTCCTCTCCCTCCCAACAGTTAAACCCCAATCAACAGGAGAGAGGGAGGAGAGAAGTGTCTGTAAACTATGCTCATAAATTGACTGAATGAACAGACTGAAGGCCTTAGAGAGAACACAGCTGTCTGTTCTACAGTTTGTCTTGTGTCTTGTGAGTGAGGCCTTCTCAACCCTCTGTATTTCAGCCCTGGTCCTGAGGACCCGTATGTCTCTAATGACACCCTATGCCTGTGATAGTGCACTACTTTTGACGAGCTTATGTGGCTCTGATCAAAAGTAGTGCACTTTATGGGGAACAGTCATTTCACTCAGGAGTGCCTAAGGACTTGGGTTGATATACTAGGCTCTTTCTGCCAAGGAGTGACACATTTTTACTTCATTACCCTCATTTTCACTGTTGACTTTTGTTTGTCTCACTCTGTACATGATTTGTATAGTTTTTTTTTATATATATATATATATAAAAAATGAAACAATATTGATACTTTTTTGTAAAGGAAAAAAAAGAATGTAAAACATGAGAATTAAGTTGTTTTTTTGTATTCTGTTGGCAATGAAGTGTTCCAAAAGAAATCGTTACAAAAATACTGTCAGTTCAGTTTTAGTTTGTGTGTTCACTACAACAGAAAGAGAAAAGTCAATAATAAATTCATTTGGAATACAATCATAAACAGGCACAGCTTGATTCATTTGAAACTTAACCTTTCTCCAAAACATTTAGTATTGGTAAAACATTCACAGTCCGTTAAATACTGCATGCACACACACCGTAATACTTGTTATAATAATACTTGGGGCAAGTTTGTCTCATGGCTGGTCAGGATTTTACATTCAATCATTTGAGTCATTGCTACACACATTAACGCATTGTCAGTTTAAACAAAAACAGTCCAACAGTGACACTTGCTGGACCGGCTGGGAGTCCTTAAGGAGTGCTGGTTTAGCTTTGGTGCTGTTCTCACTAGTTTAGAGAGAACACACAATTCATTTTAACTTGTCCTAGAAAAAGTGCTGTAACCTTGAGGTATCCTTCCCTTTCATAAACAGTTAACGAAACAACAGAAAATGCAACATAAATACTTTCGATAAATAAAGAGTTGTACACAAGGTCTACAAGATATTAAAACTTCAAACTGAAATGAGACCATTTCCCTCAGCACCTCAGTGTTGCTTCTGTATACATCTCATCTCCTTTCACACAGAAGAATATATGTATAGAGCCAAAGCGTTTTTCACCATAGCTGCAGCTCGTCAAATATGTCTCCTGTTGGAAAGGGTTTCTCCACCACACCACTAGGGGCGCGCTCCCAGAGTGAGAGGTTTCGCCTTAGTTTGACCCCTACTGCTGGGGCTCAGTGGTACTTCCTCCAGCGGTCATGCTCTATTGAGGGAAAAACACACAATAAAGTCAGTAAGCATAGAAAGATAAAGAAAGTCAGTCAATATTTTCTGAAGAAAGTGACACACACACACTTACTGATGTGTGGGTAGTGCCAGGTGTAGCCCAGGATGCAGTATCCTGCTAGCAGCATGGCCACTCCTCCCACTCCACCTTTCCTCACATCTATATACCTCCTGTAGTACCACTGCCATCCTAGAGAAAGAGACAGAAAGAAAGAGAGAGAGATGGTAGATGAGAGTTGGACCTAAAAAAGATATAATGGGATACCCCGTTCAAAGGTGCTTACATTTTGTCTTGCCCACTCGCCCTCAATGGCACACATACACAATCCATGTCTCAATTGTCTCAAGGCTTAAAAATCCTTCTTTAACTCGTCTCCTCCCCTTCATCTACACTGATGACTGAAGTGGATTTAACAGGTGACATCAATAAGGGTTAATAGATTTCACCTAGATTCATCTGGTCAGTCTGTCATGGAAAGCGCAGGTGTTCCTAATGTTTTGTACACTCAGTGTACATTAAAAGTTGTTTCCACCATTTTCACCTCAACTCAGTAGCCGGTAACTTCTTAATGTTTTGTATACTCAGTGTATGTGATCGTATACAGATGTAAGAAGGTTTGAAATGATTATGTTTTAGTCAAATATATCTGGGGTTCTTGCGGCCCCCTGACCATCCGCTCAAGAAACAAAAATCCTCCTGCGGCTGAATCTAGTTGATGATCCCTGGTGTAAGGTGTCCTCCTACCACTGTTCAGGGCTTGCACTCCATTTCTGGGGTTGCGGGGAGCTCTGGTAGCGATCCAGCCAGGCAGTTCCTTCAGCCTCACCTCCCCTAGAGACAGCGTACCTACAACACAACATGCCAGTCAGTTAGTGATGGTCTCATCATCTACATGGAGTAGAGATGCCAATGGTTAACCAGTTAGTTAGTGATGGCCTCATCTACATGGAGTAGAGATGCCAATGGTTAACGGGCTAGCCAGCCATAATACAGTAGGACCAGAGAAACACTACAGACCCATTATCCTCTGCTCAGTGCCATACTTCATGGTGTCGAATGGCGCTTTCTCCCTTGTCACGCTCTGATTGGCAGTTGCTGACTCCGTTCTCGCGGAGGTTTGACCGAGGTCAACCGTGAGCAGTCTTCTGGTCTTGTTACACAGATAGTCTTTGTTACGATCAGCAGTTGTGGTCTGAACACGGTCCAGCACTGATGAAACATGGTTGACCGTGAGTAGTCCCCTGTTGCTTGTCTTGCTGCGTAGACTGTCTTTATTGAGGTCAGCGGTTATGGTTGGATTATGGTCCAGTGCGGTTGTCTTGCTGTACAGCCAGTCAGGTTTGAGGGTGGTGTGGTCCTGGATGCTGGGTCTGGGCTGACCACTCCCTGAACACTGCAGCTTCTCTTCTCCTTCCACCTCCTCTCTACTGCTCCCCACCTCCACCTTCCAGAAGGGTCTTGCTTCACTCTGTGCCCCTGATAAAGATTCCTGGGATAGTGTGGCAGCAGCTATGGCGGCTGTCTGAGTGGATAGTTCAATCTGCTCTCTCAGTGAAACCTTCTTCTTAGAGGCAGCTTTGGCTTTAGTGCTCAATGGGGCTGTAGCAGGGACTGGGGCTGCTTTGAGTTTGGCTATCGCTTTGGGTTTTGTGTGGGTCTTGGCTGGATCTTTTGCCAGACTGTCCTTGGAGAGAACCAAAGTCTCATCAAGGAGCTTCTGCCGTTTCTTTGAAGTCGTTGATGACGAGGAGGAGGAAGGTGACGGTGCTTTCTTACTGTTTTTAGTAGTTGTCAATGATGATGATGTTTTCTTACTCTTGGTTGTAATTGCCAATGGTGATAACGCTGGGGATGGAGACAAAGATGATGTCTTCTTACTCTTAGTAGAAGTTGTTGATGGTGATGAAGAAGACAATGATAACGATGTCTTCTTGCTGTTCTTGTCTGTGATGAGGTCAGGTGGGCCAGGAGGAGTCTGGGAGCTTTGTGTTGTCGTGGCGACCGGAGCCATCTTGCATCTGGGAAGGTGGCTGTTCAGTCTCTTGAAGTTTTTCCCACAGAACGGACATGTTTCGCTGGAGGACGACATCACTGCTGGAAAAGAGAGAAGATTGTAGATTATTTAAATATTATGTTGTTATTATTGTCTGACAGAGTTTGACCATATTGACACAAAGGATTAAATTACCTCCAATAACTTTCTAGCTTTAATATGTTAGAGAGAAAAAAACTCATATAATCTATACATTAATATGTAATACATGCATTACTTTTTTCTCAATCAAAAGGGATAATGAGTTTGATGACCATTATTAGGCTTTTCTAGTCTGCATAGCCAGAGTCCTGCTCCTGACAATGCCATCTTGGTTTACATAACCCGCATGACATGAGTCTTGAGTGAATTTGAGAAAGAATCAGATTCAACTTGACTTGCCCTTTGTTGGTTGCTTGAACGAAACCAGCACCACTGCAACAGCTTCTAATGTTTATCGTCTTCTTGACGAAATGTAAACTTGTGTCAATTTACTGTACGCATGGAACATTGTGCGAACAAGTTGGTTCAACCGTAACATTCTGAGTTTTTTTTGTCTGCTAAATACTTTTGGAAAAGACCCCTTCGGTAGCACAAGTAAACGCCTGAGTAAATTAGCTAGATTATTCCACATCGAAAATATTTTCAGCACAGATAAAGCTTTAGAAATGTCTGATATTACTTTTTCAAAACGAACTGTTATTGCACTCGTTACCGATACAGCAATTGGTTAGAGTTGTAACGATAAAAACGACACAATAATATAGTAGTCTAGAGAAAGTGGGCGTGGTTGTTGAGAAATAGACCTTTGCTGACCCCTAGTGGAAACTACAGCCACAGATAGAACAATGAGACAGATATTTCACCGGATGTATAAATGTGAAACATCCGCTTGGCGTTTCCAATCCCTACCAAATATGTTGATGAGAGGAAGCCCAGTGGCCGGCAGTGGGAAGGCCAAATCAAACGAAACGCGAATAGAATACACGGTAGTGAACGACAGAAAACAGTCGGGCCGCGAGTGTCAACGCAGTCAAAACGCGAAGCAAAGCTCGTTCCGTTTGATTTGGCCTTTAGAAGATGGAACGAGGTGGATTTGGGAGGACATTCTCCAAATGTTCTCATCTATGAAACATTTGATCTCAATACAGTTTTCTGTTCCCAACACTAGAATCTGTTACGAACAGAGTGGAGTAGTGGACTAAGGTTTGTAGACTTTACACTTTGCCAAAAATTGCGTTGTTTAGAAGGAGTGCAAGGGCGAATTTAGTTATTGTACAGGCGCACTTCAAGGTAGGCGTTTTGCTAACGGAAATATGCAAATAACGATAGAACGCCCCCAACAGGATCTCGCTAGCTCTTGCTTGGCTCTGCACACCTCCTTGTTTGTTCTGCCGACTATGATTCATTGTTCCCATTGAAAACCAAAGGCTATGGTCCATTTGGGGTTAGTTATAAACATCCTTGCTACAGCTCCAGTGAACAGAGAGATTGGAACCAAAGATGATCCTTTCTATGCAAGTAAAGTACATAGGATAAAACATGTCATGACAGGCCTGATGGAAACAGAAGATTTGTCTGTAAACTTTCCAAATATCGACAAAACAAAATACGCTAGACAAGGTGGGATCTTTTTGTGTCAGTAAAATTAATTATGCGAGAAACGCTTTTATGCACAAATATGTATATATTATAAACTGGATGGTTCGAGCTCTGAATGCTGATTGGCTGACAGCCGTGGTATATTAGACCGTATACCACGGGTATGACAAAACATTTATTTTTACTACTCTAATTATTGTTGGTAACCAGTTTATAATAGCAATAAGGCACCTCTGGGGTTTGTGGTATATGGCCAATATACCACGGCTAAGGGCTGTATCCAGGCAATTTCCGTTGCGTCACGCTTAAGAACAGACCTTTGCCATGGTATATTGGCCATATACCACACCTCCTCGGGCCTTATTGCTTAAATAACCATCATATCGAAGTCAATTTGGAGTCACGTGATGACATTGTGTGGTTCTCCCACTACGACTTGTCGGGAAAGCATGCAGTTTATTAGGCTACAGATGAAATAAATTATGAGGAACTTCACAGGGCGGTGAAAGTGCAAGGTGATGAGTTTGATACTCCTTTCCAATAAATATCGAGGGTCTTCTTATTCTGGTGACATGATAATCGATGCATGATAATGGTCCATTCTAAATCAAAACAAATTTCACACATATATTATTTAGTATATGTAAAGACAAGATTAAATCAAGAATAGTCTGATGGGTGACAATATTAGCCTATCATTTGTGAATGATATATTAGCACTTATGAATGACGCCCAGCTTGTGTGCAGTAAAGCAAGAAACAGCACATGCCTTTTTTTGGCAACTTTTTCAAATCATAGTCGCACACCTCATGTAGCCTAGCTCATAGGCCTATATTTTTTGATAAGGTTTGTGTCACAACTGAAGTGGCCAAATAACTTCTTAAATTTAAGCACATGAATCCGCTTTACAACGGGTGTAGAGCCTAACTGGCATACATAAGCAGTTTAAAGTTTGGGGAAGACATTTTTCACCATAGAAATGCACCTTCATAATAAAAGCATTACAAGCATAATTGCATTTGCGATTACATGTCATCTATGCACTTAAATAGCGAATGGAGGACTCTTTTCCCGTGGTTCATTTTCATGCCAGCCAGGTAGGCTATACTCCTGTTGTAAAGATAAGCAATGTGCTTAATATTAGGACAGTTGAGAAATAAGTATATTAGGCCTAGCCTATAGAAAGCTGATGGGATCATCCTCTTTTAATAGTTTATCACTCTGTTTTCTCACGCAATTGCATAGCCCATTGAAATGTTGCGCAACATGAGCTCTCATGAAATGTTTGATTAGATTTTCGATTACGTTTGCATTGATGTCAGAGTGATTAGAGGGACAACAGAGAGCTGAGTACCAGGCAGTTAGCAAGTTTGGTAGGCTACTAATGACCATCAACAGCATCAGAGCTTGGAGAATCCTAATTACCTTGGCTAAACGGTCACATGGAATTTGACTGAACTTCATGACTCGTGACCGCCGGTGTGGCAGTAATATGGTCACTGCAACAGCCCTAGACAAGATCAGGTGGGACCATTCTAGCCAATGAGAGGGCAGATACGAATGTGAACAACAGGCAAAACTATTTCCACTAGTTACCACAGCCACAAAATCTAAATCATTAAAATTCATGGGGGGAAAAAACATGCTTTTTGGTCTTAATTTAAGGTTAGGCATAAGGTTAGCAGTGTGGTTAAGGTTAGGGGTTAAAATCACACTTTTGTAAAGAAGATACATTGTAGAAATAGGTGGGGTTGACGACTGTGGCAATGTGTTTTTTCTCAAAGTTTCTGGGATATCACATGTCCTACTCATATCAGTACACTTGTAACAACTTAATCATTACAAAACTTCTATTCGATCAAATATTTTTTTGTTAACTAAAAAACGGCATCTGCTGGAGAAGACAGATTTTGGGCCCAGTTATTCCTGTCGCTTCGCCTCTTACTCTCTGCAACACATTATACCAGGGTTTCTCAAGGTATTGTCAACTACCAGTAATCATCAAGCCCTTGGATAGTTGAATCATGTGTGCTAGTGTTGGGCTGGAGCAAAAAATATGCACCCTGGGGAGGCCTCTGGTCCAGACTTAAGAACCGCTGCTTTATAGTCTATGGGCTGAATGAATGACAAATCACACTTTATTAGAACAATGTGTTTTATTGTGAAAATTAGTGGCATTAAAAAAAGAATGCAGATTGTTAGAGAAAGAAATGACAGATGTCCATAGTCTGTTCATTGACAAGGCCAACAGTGAAACAGCGATCAGCTAATAATCAGCCTTTTTTTTCTCTTTTTTTTTTTTTTTTTACAGCCATTTACACATGGAAGTAAACAGTTTTATATTACAACTAAGGCATCAGGGCCCAGTTTTACAAAACTGTTATGCATAAGAAGCTTCTTAAGATAGTTCGTAAGTGCAATTACTCAAACGTTTCATAATAATTCATGATTTTCTTACAAACTTCTTAACTATCTTCCTGAAATGATTGTCGCTAGGAAACTGAGCTAGCTAGCAAGGGCAATCATGTTAGCATATTTCTTACCGAGATTACTGGTCTAAAATGTTTTATTGGATTTAAAACTATACATGTTCAATTGCTGTCATTAGCTTATTTTCTCACTTCCATGAGTTTAAGACAAGGGTTTAGCTGTCTTGGAATTAAGAACATTTCCAAGAAGAAATCCAATAACTTTATTTTCAAGAATCTAATTTCTTCTTAACTATTTTCTTAGGACGAAACATTGAAAGAAAATTATGAACATTTGCAAGAACCTTATTGAGGAATAGCAACTTTTCATATGTTTATTTTTAAGTATAAAGTTACGGAAAAAATGGCACTTAAGAAATGTCTTCTTACAAGGTTTTGTGAATCCGGGCCCAGGTGTCAGTCTGTACAAGGCCAGAGCCAGAGAGAGGCACAGTGGAAAGACAGACGCGTCATCTCCGTAGCTAGAGAAACTAGGACAGTTGATCCTTACAGATAGAAAAGGCACAGTGCGACTTGGCAGGAGAGAACCGCTAATCTGGAGTCAGTCTCTAGCTGTCTTTCAGCACTATGAGGTGGCGTACCTTACAGTGTCAGCATACCTATAAACACTATGAACATCAACGACAGGTTACAGTATGGAGCGGAAACAAAAAAACATCCGTCATCATGATTTTAAACTAAAAGATACATTTGAGTCAGTCTGTACAACTATAAACATGATCACATTCATTAGACAACCTCACTGACCAACACAACGTCCCTGTACAAGGCCACCAATGGGAAGCGAGGAGAGGGAAGGAGGAGGCGGTACCTTTAACTTGTCGTGGTAACCTGGTCCACGTTCCGTGGGGGCAAAACGTTATAGAACGTTCAGACAGAAATTAACACACATACGTATCTACTTGAAAGTTCTGTATCGTTGCGCCCCAAATGAACGTAGCCCAGGGTCTGAGACACGCCCCCTCTGCTCTTCTGGGTTGTTTTCATTAGGGCACAATGCAGAATTATTTTTCAAAACATTGTGCAATGGAAAAAGAAAACAAGCGTTTCTTATTGGACAAGTTCAGATAGTATCTCCCCGTTTCAGCCTGTTTTATTCCACTTCGTGCTTAATGAATACGTCCCAGAACAGGTTCTCACAGGAAGACATTTAACAAAAAAATCTAACGCTTCAACCTGGGATATACACTATAGAACGGGGGTATTCAAATCTTACCCTACGAGGTACGGAGTGCTGCTGGTTTTCTGTTCTACCTGATAATTAATTGCACCCACCAGGTCTAAATCAGTCCCTGATTAGAGGGGAATAATACAAATAAAAAAGCAGTGGAGGTCCAGATTTGAATTTGAGGGGTAAAGACAATAGATGACAGACCTATGGACAGACTGATTATTACAACACGATAATGACATCCTTTATAGAGTGACCTCCGTACAACCCTGAGATAACAATACTAGCTAATCGCCCAACTGTGTGTGTGTGTTTTGTGTCCTTACAGCAGAATTACATGATAACTACCTGGGAATAGAAAGGTGGAAAATTGTAAACTGCATACACACACATTAAAATGCATAGATTATAAAGGACATGATTGATTACATGATGGCTAACGCCAAGACTTAAGGCTAGAAAGGTACACACACACGCACACAGTGATGAAGGGTTATTAAGACGTTGTATGAAGGCGTTGTGGTTTCTGTCAGTCACACAGCTCTCAGATCAGTGTACAGGAGAGGGGCTATGACAGCATGGCAGGCTTCAAAACTGATCCAGGGCAGTGCTTATTATCCAGCGTTCAATCATGTCCCTGGCTCCTAGAAGGTCAAACTGACCTATAGACCATCCACTCAACACAGTGCAGTAAAAACCAAATAAAACCATCTAAAAACAACAAAAGTGGAATATCAAGGTCCTCCCCAAGGCACTGGTGTCCTCAATCCGGTCCTCTTTTGAAGGTGAGAGCAGTACTCGATCAGGTCCTCTTTCAGGTGGGAGAATAAGTCCTCTCTGGGGTCCTTTTGGAGGCTGGTTCCTCTCAGGTCCTCTCTAGAGGTCATAGGTCACTGGAGCATAAGCTGTTTGAGGTTTTCATGGAGGATGGTATCCTTGACGTCTCTGAACACCAGGCGGATGTTCTCCGTGTTGATGGCTGTGGTGAAGTGGTGGTACAGGGGCTTCTGTGTCGCGTCTCTTCTCTTCCCCCGGAAACAGTCCACTAAGAACTTCTGGACGTCTGGCAGGCTGTGGTCCGGCCCCGTGTACTCTGGAAAGTATTTCTTCAGTGAAATGTTCGAGACCTGCCGGGAACAGGGATCAGATCAACACAAAGTTTAAACGTTTATTCCCCACGGGCACAGAATACAACAGGTGCAAATCAATACAGTGAAATTATTTCCTGAGAGCTCTTTCCCAACACTGCAGTAGATAATAGAAAATAGAATAAAAACACAGAAGACGTACGATATAAGTTCAAGAAACACGAGAACGCAAGTATATACAGGTCAGTGCCAGTCCCTTATTCAATGTGCAGGGCAGGGTTTCCATCAGGTAAATTTGGCACAGGACAACATAACCGGCAAGATTTTAAAATTTACCGGACATTTGAGAAATCTACCGGACATCGGTCTGCATCCAGATCGGCGTCCACCCACGGTGCTCAAAATCACATTTAGATGATTTTAATTCATTTTAACAGAATATAAATTAGCCTGTAAAGTTGTATTACAATCAAGTAGAACGATGTTCTTATACCAACATGACAGGTTTTATTGAAAAGCAAAACATTGTCTGTTGCATATCTTCATCCCTGCTATAAATTATAAATTAACATCATTTAAAAAAAAAGAACAAGTTGCCTACACAGTAATAAAAACAACTTCAAAATATAACATTTGTATAATATATTTTGCGAACGACCTGTCCTATAGGCCATTTGTATGAACACTTTAATTAATAACAAAATACAGCTGTTTTCAAATACAATCTAGGCCTCTAATTTAATTTAGCCTAGGCATGAACATTTTAATTAGGCTTAATAAATAACAAAACATGGCTGTCTACAACACCAGGGCCGGCCCTCCCCACTCCCCATTCCCGCTGCAAATCAGCACCACAGCAGTGGAACGAGGCCACTCTAGGCAGCCACAAAATGAATAAATTATAAAAACTCATATGTAAATAAAACGAAATTCGTTAAGACTGGTTCATTGAGAGAAAGCTCATTTTACAATGCTCCTGTGAAACGAGGCCCGCGCCATGCATTTCTGAAAGCACTTGTTTCCAAAGCTAAAATGATACTCTTTTTACAGTGCTAATGGATGATGTTAATATATGTTGTTTATTGTAATTTGAACTATCGTGGGGTCGTAACTTGTGTCATGTGTGATATACGTGGTTTATTGATAACAACTCTGTTTCCTACTATAGGCAGTTGGCTGCCTAGTGATTGCAACATTTTAACTCTCTGATTTGAATAGTTGGCAACGATGTTTCGTTTCCAAGTGCTACTAAATAAGCTCAACTGATACACACCATTACTCTACTCTATCAATCCATTCCAAATATTTATACTATACATGACACAGGGGTGGCATATTATGATCTTGCCTAGGGCGGCAGCAGAACTGCTAGGAACAGGCCCGACGAACACAATTTGCCTCCAATTTACTAGCGTTTGTGGCGGACCTCGGCCTGCTCAAAGTGAGCCGCTGCTGTTGGGAAGTCAAAACTGTCCAACTCCTTGGAGAAGCTTGCAATGCGCATCAGCCTCGTACTTTGTCCTCAAGAAGGTGCGATCTTGAGGCCGTCTTTACTCTGTTTTGGAGGAAGAATCCCCTCTCGGCGGGCACACTGAAAATGGGGATAATCAACACAATCTTCGCCAATTTTGAGTCGAAAAACACCCGACACTAATGTCCCAGCAGCTTGAGGATTTATTACCCTATGAAGTATATTTGCCTTTGAAGTTGGACCACATCGACTGGTATTTCCATCAATGAATAAAAAGTATTATTTTGCAATGGAATTATTTTTTTTCTGACAATTTGGCCTGCAACAATTGTATTTATTATTTTGGCCAAAAGCCGGCATTTACCGGCTAACGGAAACCCTGGTGAAGGGGAACTGGAGTGGTTGAGGTGGGTTTATACATAAACAGTGACTGGTAGAAAGCTATAGATGTAAACAGGGCTGAAAAGTGACTGATAGCAGGAATATATAAATACATATGGAAATATACTAATGGAAATATATACATGTAAACAGGAGTAATAGTGACCAGTAGCGGGATAAATAGATACTAATGGTAATGGCAAATAATAATCAATGAACAGCAGTGTAAATGGTAGTAAAAAATGTAATCAATAATAATTTTATCAGCAGCGTAGGTGCGAGCATGTGGGTGTAAGTGTGTGGCGTCAGTAATGAGTGTGTGAGTGAGGGTGTGTGTGTAGACAACATGGAACGTCAGTAGGATCCAGGGCTGTCCCCGACTAAAAAAACATCTTGGTCGACTGAAAGTAATCTGTTCTTTTAAATGTGTATTTTTCCATATATAGACACATCAGCTGTATGCATTGAGCTTGTCTGATGCTTTAAGCTTACTGTTTGATGACACAAATGACTCAAACGGGAGCCAGAGATCTAGATAACCAGAAGAAAAAACCTGACCCAACCATTCTCCTCCCTCTCCTGCTGGCTTTCGCAGATTCTGCCATTACTCTCCTGAAGTTGCCGGTAATAGGCTACAGGAGGAGTCGGCAACCTTTCTCATGTGAAATGCCAATTTATCTTACCATTTCTACCAATCTGCGTGCCAGTTATGGTTTTCATATGCACATTTTCGTGGAAAAGTTTAATTTAATTTATATAATAACGTCTTTATATCTCAAAATCATTGTCATGTGGTCAATCAACATTCTATCCAAACCTAAAAAGTAACTTCTATTGCCATTGCCAACTATGTAAAAATAGCCTACATAAAGCCAACAAATAAAAACATTGCAGCCTGCAGGTAGACAATATCCTGATAAAAATAAATATCCTATAAAGCACATTGGCTAAGCATGGCCTGTTTGCAACGAACTTGAAACATTGTATCAACTATTAACTTGGGTCTGCCAGAAGCTTGTGCTAGTGAACTTGCAACATTGTATAAAATATTCTGGGCCCTCAGAGTTTCCAGTGCCAGTAAGCTCAGGACGGACACAGCTCTAGGCTATTTGGGCAAGGGATAAGATGCAGTGCTTGACTTGGGCAGGAGCTCACCGGAGTGGACTACTGACACCTCAAATGTTCTACTGCTTGAGCTCCTGTTCCTCTTATAGAATATTAGCTCAAAAGTAGTGTGGAGCTCCTGCACTTAAATATAAACAGTACCAGCACCCAAAATGAGTACCGGAACCTATTTCAGTCCAAGTCAAGCACTGATATGAAGTAATCAGGTAGGCCTATTTTATGACATTTCCACTGGATTAGAGCATTACATTTTTCCCTTTCACGCCGAGTGGTTATCGAAAGGGAGACAGCTGGAAAGATTTTTCAAATACATTGAGGAACTTTTGTCATTCTCAATGGATGTAAAAACAGACTTTGTTTGCGTGCTGTTTGAGGTGAAGAAAACATTACTTTGAGAAGCTCCACAGGTCATTAGTGTTTGTGCGTTAAGCCAATCAGAAATACTATCAGATCCCCAAATGGGCACATTTATATGCCTCCATTAGCGTTCAGGCCAGGTAGCCTATAGGCCTACTTCAAAGCGGAATCAGGTGTGCGTCCTTGCTCAACATTGACAGGAGCGCTCCAAACAAAAGACAATGACTAAATTGAATAAATGGAATGAAATAAACCAAAACTTGTTTCTCACAAGTGTTGCATAGGTTGTGCACTCTGCAAACAATGCGTCCACTCCGACAATGAGAACGGTAAAAGGAATCATAGTATATTGAATGCATTAACAGAAATTCCCATAACCAAACAAACATTGTAGGTTAGAATTGAGAGGAATTAATGTTAAATGTACTACTGGTGATATATGTAATGGGGAATTGATATCCACTAACAACCAAACGCAAACAATTCACACAATTACGTTATGAAACAAAGAATGTGCACAAATTGACGGGAGAGAGCGCATTCTGGAGAGAGAAGTGCATTGTGCATCTGGGCGCTGCATGGTTAATCCGGCCTCCGCATCGGCCATGCAGCATTTCCAGTGATATGGCCTCTGCAGAAGTCAGGGCATTCATACTTCTTGCGCTTCGCGGAGCAGTGCAGAACTGTTGTGAAGGAAATTGTCAAGGAAGTGAGTTTGTGTTCATACAGAATGTACCGCCCCCACCTACCGTCAACCAATCATGTCAATGCGGAGCTATACAGAGGCCTCGGCATTGTTACAACTTTTTGGGAGGCGCATGGCGATGTGGTATGGAGCTCGATTTGGCCTCTGCGTGCCTCCGAAGGCTACACAATTGCGTCACATCCGCCATATGGAGCCACCGACCACATTTACAAATCAAGCATAAATTGGCTTTTAGTCTAGGCCTCCGCAATGGATTAGTTCACTGAGATGGGCGCATATATTTTTTGCTACTGCTTGACTAAAAAAAATCTTAGTCAACCAACTGCCTATCGACCAAACAATCGACCAGCTGACTAATTGGGGTCAGCCCTAGTATAATCTGAAGGTTGGTGTGGCTTCAATTATAATACTTGGCATCAGTACATTTATCTCTGAAAAGCGAATAGAGCTTATTTTCTTGAGTGTGAACCCTGCTCCCTAGAGTGTTTGTTGGGATTGCGATGTTACTGACCTTCTCCTCTAGGAGGTCAGTCTTGTTGAGGAAGAGAATGATGGAGACGGCGAGGAAGACTCGGTTGTTGACTATCGTCTCAAAGATGTCCAATGACTCTCTCAGACGGTTGGTCTGTCTGTCCTCCATCAAGACCTTGAAAGAATAAATACAAATAAATTAGGGAGAGTGTGTGAGAGAGAGAAACAGAGGGAGTGTGTGTCCACTGTGTGTGTACCTGGTCATACTCAGAAGAAGACACTAGGAACAGTATGGAGGTAACAGAGTCAAAACACTCGAACCACCGTCGTCTCTCTGAGCGCTGTCCTCCCACGTCCACCATCTTGAAGGGAACGCTCTTGATCTCAAAGTCGTACTCATGGATGCCCTTAGTGGGCTTACGGGCTAGCAGGATGTCCTGCTGGGAAGGGATGTAGCTCTGGAGGAGAGAGAAAGAGGGATGAGTGGAGGACATGAGAGGGGGATGGAGAGCGATGGAGGTAGATTGATTGAGGGAAAGAGAGGAAACCTACCTGATCCCCCAGCATCTCCACATTGTCCAAGAAATACTTCACAGACTCGCCCTAAGAGAGAGGAGAAATTTGTTTTAGCTTCATGGACAATCATACTAGCCTAAAAATTTTGCACCTGAGTGAGTGTGTAAGGGTAGTGCATCCATGGATCTCCCTGTGAGTGAGTGTGTAAGGGTAGTGCATCCATGGATCTCCCTGTGAGTGAGTGTGTAAGGGTAGTGCATCCATGGATCTCCCTGTGAGTGAGTGAAGTGAGCATGTATTTGTGTGTATATACAGTACCAGTCAAAGGTTTGGACAAACTATCATTCAAGGGTTTTTCTTTATTTTTACTATTTTCTACATTGTAGAATAATAGTGAAGAAATCAAAACGATGAAATAACACAAAGTGTTATACAAATCAAAATATATATTTTAGATTTTTCAAAGTAGCCACCATTTGCCTTTGCACACGCTTGGCATTCTCTCAACCAGCTTCACCTGGAACATTTTCCAACAGTCTTGAAGGAGTTCCCACATATGCTGAGCACTTGTTGGCTGCTTTTCCTTCACTCTGCGGTCCAACTCATCCCAAACCATCTCAATTGGGTTGAGGTCGGGTGATTGTGGAGGCCAGGTCATCTGATGCAGCACTCCATCACTCTCCTTCTTGGTCAAATAGCCCTTTACACAGCCTGGAGGTGTGTTGGGTCATTGTCCTGTTGAAAAACAAATGATAGTCCCACTAAGCGCAAACCAGATGGGATGGCATATCGCTGCAGAATGCTGTGGTAGCCATGCTTGTTAAGTGTGCCTTGAATTCTAAATAAATCACAGACAGTGTCACCAGCAAAGCACCATCACACCTCCTCCTCCATGCTTCATTGTGGGAACCACACATGCGGAGATTATCTGTTCACCTACAGTCTCACAAAGACACGGTGGGTTGGAAGCAAAAATCTCAAATTTGGACTCATCAGACCAAAGAACAGATTTCCACCAGTCTAATGTCCATTGCTCGTGTTTCTTGGCCCAAGCAAGTCTTTTTCTTGTTGGTGTCCTTTAGTAGTGGTTTCTTCGCAGAAATTCGACCACAAAGGCCTGATTCTTACAGTCTCCTCTGAACAGTTGCTGTTGAGATGTGTCTGTTACTTGAACTCTGTGCAGCAATTACAGCCTTGCAGACCTTTGGCATTCTAGTTGTCAATTTGTTGAGGTAATCTGAAGAGATGCTTCCTGAAGCACCTCCCACAAGTTGGATTGGCTTGATGGGCACTTCTTACGTACCATACGGTCAAGCTGCTCCCACAACAGCTCAATAGGGTTGAGATCCGGTGACTGTGCTGGCCACTCCATTATAGACAGAATACCAGCTGACTGCTTCTTCCCTAGATAGTTATTGCATAGTTTGGAGCTGTGCTTTGGGTCATTGTCCTGTTGTAGGAGGAAATTGGCTCCAATCAAGCGCCGTCCAAAGGGTATGGCATGGCGTTGCAAAATGGAGTGATAGCCTTCCTTCTTCAAGATCCCTTTTACCCTGTACAAATCTCCCACTTTACCACGACCAAAGCAACCCCAGACCATCACATTGCCTCCCCCACGCTTGACAGATGGCATCAAGCATTCCTCCAGCATCTTTTCATTTGGTCTGCGTCTCACAAATGTTATTCTTTGTGAACCCAACACCTCAAACTTCGATTCGTCTTCCTCTGTCCAGTGTCTGTGTTCTTTTGCCCATCTTAATCTTTTATTTTTAGTGGCCAGTCTGAGATATGGCTTTTTCTTTGCAACTCTGCTTAGAGGGTCAGCATCCCGGAGTCGCCTCTTCACTGTTGACGTTGAGACTGGGGTTTTGCGGGTACTATTTAATGAAGCTGCCAGTTGAGGACCTGTGAGGCGTCTGTTTCTCAAACTAGACACTAATGTATTTGTCCTCTTGCTCAGTTGTGCACCGGGGCCTCCCACTCCTCTTTCTATTCTGGTTAGAGCCAGTTTGCGCTGTTCTGTGAAGGGAATAGTACACAATGTTGTACAAGATCTTCAGTTTCTAGGCAATTTCTCGCATGGAATAGCCTTCTTTTCTCAGAACAAGAATAGACTGATGAGTTTCAGAAGAAAGTTATTTGTTTCTGGCCATTTTGATCCTGTAATTGAACCCACAATTGCTGATGCTCCAGATACTCAACTAGTCTCAAGAAGGCCAGTTTTATTGCTTCTTTAAATCAGCACACCAGTTTTCAGCTGTGCTAACATAATTGCAAAAGTGTTTTCTAATGATCAATTATCCTTTTAAAATGATAAACTTGGATTAGCAAACACAACGTGCCATTGGAACACAGGACTGATGGTTGCTGATAATGGGCCTCTGTATGCCTACGTAGATATTCCACTATTGTAGCCGTTTCCAGCTACAATAGCCATTTCCAACATTAACAATGTCTACACTATTTCTGATCAATTTGATGTTATTTTAATGGACAAAAAAATTGCTTTTCTTTAGAAAACAAGGACATTTCTAAGTGACCCCAAACTTTTGAAATTGTTCTTAAATCAGCATCTCTACATGTATGACAGCCATTCCATTCCAGTGTCTGTTGAATTCCAACACAGGCACACCTCATTCTACTGAATTAGGTACTGATTAGGTGATCACCTGAACCAAATCTTATTTAACGAGAAAAAGTATAAAAACCACTGCTATCCTCTTGCAATAGGACCAGCTGGATGGCAAAAACAGTGCTAATAGTACCTCAAAAGTAATATTAATCAAAAGAGAACTATTGACCATGCCAAAAGAGTTGAAAAGGAACGTTTTGAGTGAGGAAAATAAGTGTTCAATTCTGGCTTTACTGGCAGAGGGATACAGTGACCGTCAGGTTGCTTCCATCCTTAAAATGTTAAAGACGGCTGTTCATAAGAACAAGGTCATGCAACAGACATTGGGGACAACAAAGCTACAGACCGGCAGAGGGCGACAACGTCTCTCTACTGACCGGGATGACCGCCAACTAATTAGAATGTCACGCAACAACCGTATGATGACATCAAGTGACCTACAAAAAGAATGGCAAACGGCATCTGGGGTGAAGTGCACGGCTAGGACGGTTCGAAACAGGCTCCTAGGGGCAGGGCTGAAGTCGTGCAAAGCTAGAAAAAAGCCATTCATCAATGAGAAGCAAAGAAGAGCCAGGCTGAGGTTTGCAAAAGACCATAAGGATTGGACCGTAGAGGACTGGAGTAAGGTCATCTTCTCTGATGAGTCCAATTTTCAGCTTTGCCCAACACCTGGTTGTCTAATGGTTAGACGGAGAAACTGGAGAGGCCTACAAGCCACAGTGTCTCGCACCCACTGTGAAATTTGGTGGAGGATCGGTGATGATCTGGGGGTGCTTCCGCAAGGCCGGAATCGGGCAGATTTGTCATTTGTGTTTTTTCCCACTCTTTTTGTCGTCTGGTGGTCAACGCAAGACTGTAAAAACAGTCTGGACCACCCCTCCCTCTCACTCCAGTTAATGGCTCTTACTGACACCTACCCTCGTTCCATTTACTGTCACCAGCATCCTCACCCACTGAGCACCGACCGACACCGGACGTCCACGGACGTTGAAAAGTAGTTTAAATTGTCAGTCCGACCTGGCCGGACCAAATCATAGACATCTATGTTTCACAAGTTTGGACAGTACGGTAGCGTTTTCACGATAACAGAATTTTGACTTCGATACCAGTTTTGGTATCACAATAACGAAACGATACTAATGAATTTAATGAATAGTTGAATTCCAAAACAACACTGCGGCTCATTTCTGAAGCTTCTAGATTGCCCTAGAAGTCTACACACCATACATACACAGGTCTACACAGCGACTCACCATTGCATGTGCAAGCGCATGTAGCCTGGGTAGCTTATTACGGCCCCCTTGAGAAGATTTAGACAAATTAAAAGACGGACTCGATCCTCTCAATCAGTATACGACATGAGACACATTTGACAGAAGTACTAAGTAACAAAAATTCTAGTACCGAACCATTTTCAAGTTCTCGTATTGAAAAAGTACATTAGTTTCGGTGGTCAACGCAAGACTGTAAAAACAGTCTGGACCACCCCTCCCTCTCACTCTCTCTCCAGTTAATGTCACCTCTCCCGGCTCTTACCGACACCTACCCTCTTTCCATCTACTGTAACAAGCATCCTCACCCACTGTACAGTAGAGTTCAGTAGAGCACATTAGAGCAGAGTACAATATAATGTACTGTATTGAACTGTACTGAACAGATCTACTTTACTGTACTCTACTGCGCTCTGCACTCTACTCTTCTGCACTCTACTGTAATGTCTAAACTTGTGATACCGTAATTCTGTTACCAAACTTTGCATCTGCATAGTTCTTCCAGTAAATGTGTTTTTGTGAAATGTTCTGTGTTAATTGTTCAAAGTAGTCCTTATACATAGTTGTAAGGTTTGTTAAACTTTGAAATCAATGGTTTTTGTTTGGCATACACTTTAAGTGTAATTCTATTACCGAGAAATTGCCCGTAGGCTAAGGTTACAGAGGGCAGGGGTGAGCATTTCCACTGTACAGACCAGAGAGCTCAAGTGTCTGTCCATACAGGCAGAAAACACACAATGACAAATATACAGACATGCCCTATTCTACTGGAACCTGGAAATCATTTGAAAGATCAGCTACGGGTATAGGCTGCCAAACCAAAAGTGAAACCTAGGCATATGTTTTGTTATATACTGTAACAGATCCTGCCTCCCTTCTTACTATACACACACACCTCAGACTCTCTGGCATGGTGATATGACTCCTTGACGTCCTCCTGTACATCTGGTTATGTCACTGCTGCATTACTGCTATGTCACTTTTGTGCTAGTGTTTAGTGTTGAATGCAGCCGGGGCAGCAGATGCTGGGTTGACTGAGTTTGTGTGTTCTGTCTGTAAGCAGATCAACATTCCAGCCCGGATCACACTCAATCTCACCAACAAACAGTGTGTTTGTGTGTGTTAGTGATGGGGGTAAAATCGATACAGTAGACTATATTATTAGGCCTATTATTAGGGTGTCCAATCAAAAAGGCATATTTTGACCAATGGGTAAAATAACATGCTAATTGTGTAGATACTCCTCTAAGAACACCAATGGTCCAAACCTCATGTTTCTACCATAATCCTTTCAACATTTATTGGATTTTACCCTTATAGGATGACTAAATCAATGGAGGCAAGAAATCAAAAAAGTGGTCAAGAATCAGGAAAATACAGTGAGCGCCAAAAGTATTGGCACTTTGGATTCTAAACGATACAATGACTATGAGGTTAAAGTGCAGACTAATTTTAGGGTATTTTTCATCCATCAAATCAGTGAACTGTTTAGAAATTACAGCACTTTTTGTACATAGTCCTCCCATTTTAGGGGACCAAAAGTATTGGGACAAATTCTGTTATGTGTATTAAAGTGGTCAAAAGTTAAGTATTTGGTCTAATATTCATAGCATGCAATGATTACGTTAAGCTTGTGACTCTACAAACCTGTTGGATGCATTTGCAGTTTGTTTTGGTTGTGTTTCAGATTATTTTGTGCCCAATAGAAATGAATGGTAAATAATGTATTGTGTCATTTTGGGGTCACTTTTATTGTAACTAACAATAGAATATGTTTATATGAATAATGATGAGTGAGAAAGTTAGAGGCATAAATATCATACCTCCCAGAAAATGCTAACTTCCCCTGTTATTGTAATGGTGAGAGGTTAGCACGTCTTGGCGGACGATATTTGTGCGTCTAACTTTCTCACTCATTATTCACGATTCATTCAGGACTACGCACAATGATGGTAGCATCCACAATGTAGAAGTGTTTAGAAACATATTCAATTCTTATTTACAATAAAAGTGACTCCAAAATGACACAATACATTACTTACTATTCATTTCAATTGGGAACAAAATAATTGAAATCGGCACCCAAGTATCGTGATAATATCGTATTGTGAGGTCCCTGGAAATTCCCAGCCCTAGTGTGTGTGTTTGGAAAGCCCAGGCGTCAAGACAGGAGAGCTGGGGTCTGCACAGGAAACGGACTGATGCACGTTCTTTAGCGTGCGACACACACACCAACCTCACACACACACACACGCAAAGAGAGAGAGAGATTGAGAGATTAGGGAGGAAGCAGTAGCAAGTCAGTTTCACTTTTACTTCAGATCAGCTCTGCCGAGTCTGAATCTGTGTCTGTGTGTGTGTGTCTGTGCATCAGGGTTTCCGTTAGGAAAATGTGGCACCGGACAACGTGACCGGAAGATTTTAATTTACCGGCCATTTGAGAAATTTACCAGACCCATATGCATTGGCTGCATAATATCCATTAGGGTGTCCACGCACAGTGCTCAGAATGACAGAAATAACATTTAGATTATGGTAATGCATCTTAACAGAACATGCAACTCATGTAATGAAGCAGCCAATAAAATTGCATTTTCAAACATTTGCCAACAATGCAATTCGCAGGAAAACACCATTCTAAGCAGTGCACCAAATAGCAGTTCTATATGTGACTTAGATAAAAATCTGACTGGGATTGTTCCTTTGGCTTCTGGACAATGAAAGAAAGTTGATATGAAAACCAATGGAACAGGAGAGAAATGACATAGTGGTGGGTCTAATAGGGGAAGAAATGTTAAGAAATGTGGCTAAATTATATAATTACTCCTGTCTATACAGAAATAAATTAAATACCGTATTTTCCGCACTATAAGGCGCACCGGAGTATAAGCCGCAGCAGCTAAATTGAATGATATTGAATGATGTGTACATATATAAGCCGCACTGGACTATAAGCCGCAGGTGTTTTAATATTTAATTACCATATGTAAGGGTTCGTGCACAGAGGGGATTGTCGGGAAAGAGACAAACTGTCTCGCTCTCGTAATGTCTGTCTGTCTTGCTCTCGTTCTGTCTCTCGTTCGGTCTCTCGTACCACTCTCGGTTCCACTTTTACTTTTGCGCGCTACCCGTCTCACTCTTTTCCGGCCTCCAGCTTTTCCTGCTGGAGCCCGCCGCTTAAAGGTGGGGGGCGCGGACCGGTCATAGAGCCCATAGAGTTAAAGTTGGTGGACTGTAACCTGTAAAATCCATAGATTTAGGAGGTCTTCTAGTGGCCGTTAGCTGTAAAAATCCATAGATTAGCCGCACCGTTATATAAGCCGCAGGGTCGAAAAATTGGAAAAAAGGCGCGGCTTATAGTCCGAAAATTACGGTAATTCTAAATACTTCACCAGAAAGCATGACTTGGCCACAGAGGAATCGAGGATCATTAGCTTCTGTGGATTGTTTCAAATTGTAGGCCTATGCCTATATTGGAAGGCCGCAATTTGGGCAGTGCGCGTGGCAATAGTCCTAGCTGATTATTGAATTGCGGCTGTCAGTGAAAAGCATCTAAAATATGACAAGGGGAGGGGTGTGTGAAAAGATATAGGTGAGTCTCTCTCCAGAATGGCTCAGCTGTCTCCTGCCAATTCCTGCACATTCATTGTTTCATTGTGTGAATTGTTTGCTGTTTGATTTTTTTATTTGGATCAATTCCCCGTTACATATACAGGGTTCGTACAGACAGTGGAAAGTCAAATTCAAGGACTTTCAAGTACTTTTTCAAGCACTAATATTTATTTTCAAGGACCATCAATTTGTAATAGTTCCTATTATGCAATTGTTTCTCCCGAGTGGTGCAGCGGTCTAAGGCACTACATCTCAGTGCTTGAGGCGTCACTACAGACCCCCTGGTTCGATTCCAGGCTGTATCACAACCGGCCGTGATTGGGAGTCCCATAGGGCGGCGCACAATTGGCCCAGTGTCGTTCGGGTTTGGCCGGTGTAGGCCGTCATTGTAAATAAGAATTTGTTCTTAACTGACTTGCCTAGTTAAATAAAGGTAAAATAAATAAAATAAATGGCAGTATATCACCACAACCTCATTAAAGAAAACAACTAACTTACTATTCATCACTACCTACAAGTTCTACTCAATAATACATGTTTCACTAGTTATTTACTACATAGAGGAGTGGTAAGTCAGGACTTATTTACTTATATGAACTAACTCAGTAACATCTTTGAAATTGTTGCATGTTGCATTTATATTTTTGTTCAGTGTACATGCTAATAATATTAACTTCTAACTTCATCCTTCTAGCCAGCTAGTTATAGCTAGCTACCTGGCTAACAGCCAGAGCCCTTGAGCTACCTAGCTAGCTCGACATCTGACTGGAATATCAGCGACTATTTACCAGTTGTACACATTCTCCGAGAGTCTGCTTTTTATTGTTTGGGGGACGTCTGTTGACATGGCAGGAGTCGAGGGATAACAAAAAAATAGCCACTGTCAGCCATAGTCTCTGCCACTGTCAGCCATAGTCTCTGCCACTGTCAGCCATAGTCTCTGCCACTGTCAGCCATAGTCTCTGCCACTGTCAGCCATAGTCTCTGCCACTGTCAGCCATAGTCTCTGCCACTGTCAGCCATAGTCTCTGCCACTTGCCATTGTAGGTCTGGGCTGAGGTAGTTTGTTTCACCTCTCAGCCTATGTCGTGGGCAGAGTTTCCTGTTGGACAGAGTGGTGAATGAATGGGCTGCTAACAAGGCAAATACAAGGGAGCAGGTGACCATAACGAGCACACATGAACCATTCATGATTCACTCGTTCGCAGAGGTAGGTGCGATTAGAACTCAGATCAAGAAGCCGTCTGAGCGCTGATCAACGCTGGGAACGCAATAATAAGTGGATAAACAATTAACAAAATAAAAAGGTGAGTAAACGCTATTTCACAAATAAAAAGGTGCGTAAACGGCGTTTACCCTCCACTACATCCCTGGTTACGTCTGGCAAAACCCATTCATAAACATCAATATCCTGCCAGGCAGGATTGAGTCTACATTTGCCCGGCATTTTAGCTATCGATGTGACGTTTGGCGGCGCCTAATCAGTCAGTTCAGTTCTGTACCTGCCTGGCTGAGTGGAAGTGTGGGTGGAATGAGCGGGCTTGCCTGGCATCCAGAGCGCAAAACACGTGAGGAAATAAAACTCTGTAGTCAGCCTGGAAATGAATTCGCAAGAACAATACATTTTTCTAATTGTTTTCATATTAGTTCATTTTCTGTTCTCTCATTTTAATTCAAGTACTTTTTAAGTACCAACTTGAGAAGAATACCTTGAAAATCAGAAATTAAGTACTTGAATTTCAGAGTGCCAAATTCAAGTACTTTAAACACCTCAAGCACCTTGTGCGAACCCTGCATATTAGGTCACCAGTAGTAAATGTACCACTAATCCCAGTCATTTGGCTACATTAATTTCTCTTAATGCCTGTATTAATTACAGTCATTTATCGTTCTCATTCTCGGAGAGTGGAAACGTTGTTTGCAGAGTTCACAAACCGCTACACTTGTGAGAAACAAGTTTTGGTTCATTTCATAACCATCATTTATGAGATTTGTCATTTTTTCCATTGTCTTTTGTTTGGAGTGCTCCATGTGAACAATGAGCAAGTGTCTGGTTTCTCTGTCCTGATAATGCTGAGAGAGCGTGCGTGCCTGAACACGCATAGAAGTACCTGTCCATATGGCAGAGCCTGGTGCTCTTGCATTAGTTGAATTAACTTTGAGATTTTTATCATTTGAATTCAGATTTTTATGATTGACCACTTGACAATAATTTTGAGAAATTAAAACATTATTATTGAAGTGAAACTGTTCCACAACTGACAGATAAAAAGGCAGAACGGTAGAATAAATGGTAAGCTTCCCCAAACTTAAAACTCACTAGGAAGTCTTTTTAAAAATGTTTAAATATTTTTGAATATTAAAACATACAATCTACTTGCAGTGAAGCCGCTGAACATTTACATTACACATAGTCATCTAACAGACTCCCATCCAGAGCGACCCACAGAAGCAGCCAGGGTCAACGCCCTGCTCAAGGGCACGTCAACAGATCTCCCCACAAGGTGAAAAATGGGGACCCGGAACCAGCGACCTATCAGCCACCGGCCCAAGCTCCCAACCGCCAGGCCACCAGACCTCCAAGACCCCCCCCCCAACAAATAAAACTGGTATACTTTCCTATTTATACCATTTTTATTCCTCTGCCAGTTTTGATCCTTTATATTGGGCAGACAGACCAGTTCCCTACCTCCTCCCACTGCCACCTGCTTCCTCCATTTTTGGGGTAATGCTGTAATCAATTGGTTGTAATCTTGGATTGAGCAGACCTTCCCATACAATTCTGATAACTTCATTAAAGACATAACTCCACCATTCCAATTTACAATATCATTTAAAAACAAAATACCCTTTTCAAAACTATTTTCCATAAATACAGGTATTTTATCAACCAGCACATTTGCGTTCAACCATAATATTTGTTCTATCTTTTCAGGTGGATGAAACTGAAATTGTAACCAGCTCTGCAATGCTTGTTTGAAAAAGAGAGATACTTTGAAAAAGGTTTCATTTTCAATTATTCGAAAATGAGACATGGCAATCTGCACAAAGGCAAAATGGCCATTTTTAAACAATGGATGAGCTTTTCTTAGTAATCTACTTGAGAACCGTTTAGGGTTCAAGTAAAACTTTTGTATAGGTGAAGCTTTTAGAGAGAGGTTTAGTACTTTTGTATTTAATGATGTCAACCCACCCAGTTCATATTCATTATATAGAAAGGCACGCTTTATCTTGTCTGGTTTAGCATCCCAGATTACACGAAACATTTTTTGCTCATCTGATTTGAAAAAACAAATCTTCAGGAGTAGGCAACCCCATAAGTAAGTGAGTAAACTGAGATATGACTAAGGAGTTAAATCAGTTCTGGAAATTTTCCGGATTGACTGACCTTCATGTCTTAAAGTAATGATGGACTGTCGTTTCTCTTTGCTTATTTGAGCTGTTCTTGCCATAATATGGACTTGGTCTTTTACCAAATAGGGCTATCTTCTGTATACCACCCCTACCTTGTCACAACACAACTGATTTGGCTCAAATGCATTAAGGAGGAAAGAAATTCCACAAATTAACAAGGCACACCTGTTAACTGAAATGCATTTTTGGTAGTGTTCTTGTGTTGGAGATTCAGGAAGAATTTGGTGAATTTTTCTCCATATTCCATCCAGTTTGCTTTATTTTTGTAATAGATTACATTAGATCGTTTCCTCCAGTTCTTTTTCCTCTAACTTGTTTTGTATCTCTGCCTTTTTATTATTGATGAATATTGAATTTAATGTCCTCTGAAGGTACATTTAAAAAGGTATCCCAAACAATAAGGTGATTTGCTGAACCTATATTGTACTGGAAAAATTCAGCTATAAATTATTTTGTCTTAGTTAAGAATACATTGTCCTCCAGTAGACTGCTTACATTTCTAATATCCCTGTCCACGTGGAAATTCTGTAAGAGTTATGTGAAGGCCAATTAGATGATAATCCGATCGCATTCGGTCTCCTATCGATATTTTTTTAACCTTTGATGCAAGAGAGAAAGAGACAAGAAGGTAGTCAAGATGACTAGCTGGATTAAGTCTCCATGTATATCTCACTAGGTCAGGGTTTTTTAGTATCCAAATAGCCACTATTTCTAATGTGTCCATAATATTTGGGATTTCCTTAAAAGGCATGGTGATGATAGTTTGTAGAGTGATTTCCTTTACGGTCCATTGGAGGTACTTAACACTTTGTTATAGTCTCCCACCATAATGATTTTATCGTTTGTTGCCGGTAAATTCAATAAATTGGTATAAATATTTTCAAAGAAGCATGGCTCATCCTGATTTGGACCATAGATTAATGAGCAGAATATGTTTTATATCCACTTTCACATTGAAAAGGATCCACCTTCCTTGCGAATCATTCCTGACTATTTGCACATTAGAATCAACATTTTTGTTAATTCATATCACACCTTTTGAGTTCCTTTGTCCATGACAAAATTTCACCCCCCCATTCCTTTTCCCACGCAACTTCATCTAAGCATACTGTAAACAGTATATGTTATATTCCTTTTCTTTTAGCCACGTAAAGACTGATCTTTTCTTATAATCTGCTAAACCGTTATAATTATAACTGGCTATACTTATTTCACCCCTTACCATAACTAGATACTCAGTCTAAATTTACCATAATAAGTGCTTGTAAAGTTACTGCCATAAGAGGTATTATGACAGACAAAAATAGATTTCAAAATGTCTGATGTTTAGAATTCAAGAAACAGGTTCTAGCAATATTTGTTTTTCTTCCCTTGCCCGTTTGCCTGTGAGCCAACGCCACAGATGCTAAGACAATTGAGTCAAGCTATGTGTGCAGTAGATCTGAGTAGGTTGATGTGTGTGATATCGGATGTGATTTAGTGAGAGGGTGTATAATGTCTGGATAAGAGTAATACTATAATGTGTGACGTCTAAATAAATAATAACCCAGACAATTTGCATGATTAAGTGTCTGTGTGTAACATGAAGTGAGTATAGCCTTAATATTCAGGATGATAATTGTAATCCATATCGTATCACCATCATAGTTGCATCATAATTACATTAAACATAATTTTCATAGAAAACCCATCCCAGCATTTCCATAGCAATTGACATTTCACATGATTATGAAAGAGACCTTGCATTACTCTACAGTAATGGCATCACTACAATACAAATGTATCCCGTACAATATATTATTATTATTATTATTATTATTATTATTCCTCCATAGCATAAAGCTGTTGGTACTCGTCGATTTCCCTCAGGATCTTAGTATTCAGGTTGGCTCAGAACTGCAAGCAGCTGTTACAAAATGTTTTAACGATGCGTCTTTCCTACAACGGCCGAAGATGTAACAGGCGTTTCCCAAAACTAGCGTTAGCTTTTCTGCCTCGTCTGAGTCGGTGCCGTTTGCAGAGTCACTGGGTATGTAGCATTGCTCGATCCTTGGCTTGTGCGAGCTGGAAAAGTTCATAGGAGCATGAGCCCATCTCCTGTTTCTGTAGCAAGGCAGCTTGATGTACAAGTACACCCCCTGGACAGGACGCTAGTGTATCGCAGGGCCTTACCCCCAATCTCTCTCTTTAATGCTGAGTGGCCTATGAAGTCTTTATAAAAGAAATGGCTCCACATTTCCATGATCTGATTTTGCCTATAGCCTACTTTGAAGCAAGGTAAGACATGCCTCATAATATGTAGTAAAACATTCAGGTTTCAAACAATTAAGTACCTTTTCAAAATGCATACTGCCTCCAGCTCCCATTTGTAAAGTGGTGGGTGACGCGCTGATAGCCTGTTGCCTGCACTTGAATGGCGCGCTTCAATTACCAGTTGAGAAATAAAAATAGTAGCTCTTTTTTCATCATGCACCAAAACTGTTTTTAACACGCAATTGCATTTAGATTGGTTGTGCAATGAATGGCCTTATAAAAGCACGTTTTACTCCAGCGGCAACCAGCTGAGGAGCTGCTGGGGAAATCTAGCTCGGAATAGGCTCTGTATGCTGGGGGCGTGTGATCGTTCTGTTGGATAAATAAGATACATGATGACTAACGAAAATACACACAGGCCAATTGAATTCCACTCAATTATGCAAATTAACCTATAGACCGATTAGCATGACAGTCAAATATAATTTCCATCGACTGGTATTTCCATCAATGAATAAAAAGCACCATTTTGCAATGGGATTATTTTGGCCGGCAACAATTTCATTTATCGGCTGTTCATTTTATTGTATTTTGCCCAAAAGCCGGCAATTGACGGATAACGGAAACCCTGGGGTGTGTGTACTGGGGTGTGTGTACTGCGGTGTGTGTACTGCGGTGTGTGTACTGCGGTGTGTGTACTGACCAGTTGGAACTCCCTGCGTCTATCGTAGGCTTGTTGTATTCCGCTGTCGGCCCACAGGACCTGGATGGAGGGCAGGTACTTGAGGAACACGCTTGTCTCCACCTGGCCGTTCGCCATCATCGCAGACCGTGTGTCGAATGACATCATATTGTCTCCGTGCACCTGGTTGTCAGGGGAACCCCAGGGGATGTGAAGCTTCTCCCGTGCATCCACCAACACACGCACACCTGAAGAGGACAGATAGGGTTTAGAGTTAACAACAACAACCACACACAGAAACTCTCTGATGGGGGTCTGTGGCCCACAACCCACTGTCTGACACAAGTACCGGAAGGTAACAAAAGTGATTTCAAACAAGTCTGAATGTTGGAGGATATACAGTGCATTCGGAAAGTATTCAGACCCCTTGACTTTTCCACATTTTGTTATATTACAGCCTTATTCCCTCGATCTGCCACTGAAAAACATCCCCACATCATGATACTATCACCACAATGCTTCACCGTAGGGATGGTTCCAGGTTTCCTCCAGACGTGACGCTTGGCATTCGGGCCAAAGAGTTCAATCTTGGTTTCATCCGACAAGAGAATCTTGTTTCTCATGGTCTGAGAGTCCTTTAGGTGCCTTTTGGCAAACCCTAAGCGGGCTGTCGTGCCTTTTACTGACAGTGGCTTCAGTCTGAACACTCTACCATAAAGGCCTGATTGGTGGAGTGCTGCAGAGATGGTTGTCCTTCTGGAAGGTTCTCCCATCTCCACAGAGGAACTCTGGAGCTCTGTCAGAGTGACCATCAGGTTCTTGGTCACCTCCCTGACCAAGGCCCTTCTCCCCAATTGCTCAGTTTGGCCGGGCGGCCAGCTCTAGGAAGAGTCTTGGTGGTTCGAAACTTCTTCCATTTAAGAATAGAGGCCACTGTGTTCGTGGGGACCTTCAATGCTGCAGAGATTTTTTTGGCCCTTCCCCAGATCTGTGCCTCGACACAATCTTGTCTCGGAGCTCTACGGACAATTCCTTCGACTTAATGGCTTGGTTTTTGCTTGAATAATTTTGAAAAGAATAATGGCAAATGTTGCACAATCCAGGTGTGGAAAGCTCTTAGAGTCTTACCAAGAAAGACTCACAGCTGTAATTACTGCCAAAGGTGCTTCTAGAAAGTATTCACTCAGGGGTGTAAATACTTATGTAAATGAGATATGTCTGTATTTCATTTTCAATCAATTAGCAAACATTTCTAAAAAAACATGTTTTCACTTTGTCATTATGGGGTATTGTGTGTAGATCTGTGAAACAAAAAAATCTATTTAAAGGCTGTAACACAACAAAATGTTGAATAAGTCAAGGCGTATAAGTCCTGACCAGCTGTCTGGGACAGGGATGTTGTTTCGATGTGCCAATTCGTAGGCAAGTTCTATGCATTTGAGGCTACTAAACTGGGCAGCGAAATTCTTGATATGTTTATCAAGCTAAGATTCCATGTCATCAGATCAGACCTTGTGTTCCTTTGCTACTCTATCATCGCCTCTCATTATCAAGCTCAGACCCATGTATTTTGTATTTATTATGGATCCATGTATGTGTTTGGTGTGAATATATATATATATATATATAACAAACACACAACAAACAAAACAACCCACATGTATATACACATACATCACACACATACACACACAAACACAAACAATAACAACATATATACAACAAATAAATACATTATATATATACACACATACAAAAATAAAGGGGAAAAAATATATTAGTAACATATTTGAAGTTATTAAAATAGAGGTAGTAATTTATATATACACGTAACTATACGAAAATTATAAAGAAATTCCAAAATCAATTTAGATTTTATGATTATTAGAATATGTGAAATATTTCACTAATACAGAAATTTCTGAGGTACAACGTATTTGATCCTCTGTCTGAGTTTTGTACTTTGCCCACTGACAAAGACATGATCAGCCCGTTTAATTTTAATGGTAGTTTATTGAACGGAGAACGAATAAAAAAGAATCCAGAAAACACATGCAAAAAATGTTGTAAATGATTTGCATTTTAATGAGGGAATAAGAAGTTGGACACTCTGCAAACAGGGACTTAGCTTGGTGGCAAAACCCTTGTGGGCAATCACGAGGTCAGACGTTTCTGTAGTGGCCACAGTTTGCCCATCTCAGGAGGGATTTTTCCCCGTCTTTGCAGATCTTTCCAAGTCATTAGGTTTCCGAGCCTGATGTTTGGCAACTCGAACCTTCAGCCTCCACACAGATTCTAGGGATAAAGCCTCTAGACATGGCTAGGCCAATCTCAGGCTTAATTGCTCTTCTTGAGCACTCTTTGTGCCTTGGCGTGTGGTTTTGGGTCATTGTCATGTGGAATAACGATCAACTGACAATGGGGACAACAAAAGACACAATTATGCAAGTAACTACAAAAACAGAACAGAGAAACACAAAATATAGACATCCACATATGATATTTATATTATAAATATTTCACACACATACACAGGGGAAAAAAAGTATTTGTCAGCCACCAATTGTGCAAGTTCTCCAACTAAAAAGATGAGAGAGGCTTGTAATTTTCATCATAGGTACACGTCAACTATGACAGACAAATTGAGAAAAGAAATTCCAGAAAATCACATTGTAGGATTTTTAATGAATTTATTAGCAAATTATGGTGGAAAATAAGTATTTGGTCACCTACAAACAAGCAAGATTTCTGGCTCTCACAGACCTGTAACTTCTTCTTTAAGAGGCTCCTCTGTCCTCCACTCGTTACCTGTATTAATGGCACCTGTTTGAACTTGTTATCCGTATAAAAGACACCTGTCCACAACCTCAAACAGTCACACTCCAAACTCCACTATGGCCAAGACCAAAGAGCTGTCAAAGGACACCAGAAACAAAATTGTAGACCTGCACCAGGCTGGGAAGACTGAATCTGCAATAGGTAAGCAGCTTGGTTTGAAGAAATCAACTGTGGGAGCAATTATTAGGAAATGGAAGACATACAAGACCACTGATAATCTCCCTCGATCTGGGGCTCCACGCAAGAGTTTACCCCGTGGGGTCAAAATGATCACAAGAACGGTGAGCAAAAATCCCAGAACCACATGGGGGGACCTAGTGAATGACCTGCAGAGAGCTGGGACCAAAGTAACAAAGCCTACCATCAGTAACACACTACGCCGCCAGGGACTCAAATCCTGCAGTCCCCCTGCTTAAGCCAGTACATGTCCAGGCCCGTCTGAAGTTTGCTAGAGTGCCTTTGGATGATCCAGAAGAGGATTGGGAGAATGTCATATGGTCAGATGAAACCAAAATAGAACTTTTTGGTAAAAACTCAACTCGTCGTGTTTGGAGGACAAAGAATGCTGAGTTGCATCCAAAGAACACCATACCTACTGTGAAGCATGGGGGTGGAAACATCATGCTTTGGGGCTGTTTTTCTGCAAAGGGACCAGGACGACTGATCCGTGTAAAGGAAAGAATGAATGGGGCCATGTATCGTGAGATTTTGAGTGAAAACCTCCTTCCATCAGCAAGGGCATTGAAGATGAAACGTGGCTGGGTCTTTCAGCATGACAATGATCCCAAACACACCGCCCGGGCAACGAAGGAGTGGCTTCGTAAGAAGCATTTCAAGGTGCTGGAGTGGCCTAGCCAGTCTCCAGATCTCAACCCCATAGAAAATCTTTGGAGGGAGTTGAAAGTCTGTGTTGCCCAGCGACAGCCCCAAAACATCACTGCTCTAGAGGAGATCTGCATGGAGGAATGGGCCAAAATACCAGCAACAGTGGTGTGAAACCTTGTGAAGACTTACAGAAAACGTTTGACCTGTGTCATTGCCAACAAAGGGTATATAACAAAGTATTGAGAAACTTTTGTTATTGACCAAATACTTATTTTCCACCATAATTTGCAAATAAATTCATTAAAAATCCTACAATGTGATTTTCTGGATTTTTTTTCCTCATTTTGTCTGTCATAGTTGACGTGTACCTATGATGAAAATTACAGGCCTCTCTCATCTTTTTAAGTGGGAGAACTTGTACAATTGGTGGCTGACTAAATACTTTTTTTCCCCACTGTATGTATGTATGTATGTATTGTATGTATGTATGTATGTATGTATGTATGTATGTATGTATATATATATATATATATATATATATATATATATATATATATATATATATATATATATATATACACATATATACAGTGAGGTAAAAAAGTATTTGATCCCCTGCTGATTTTGTACGTTTGCCCACTGACAAAGACATGATCAGTCTATAATTTTAATGGTAGGTTTATTTGAACAGTGAGACAGAATAAAAAAAAGAATCCAGAAAAACGCATGTAAAAAATGTTGTAAATTGATTTGCATTTTAATGACGGAAATAAGAATTTGACCCCTCTGCAAAACATGACTTAGTACTTGGTGGCAAAACCCTTGTTGGCAATCACAGAGGTCAGACGTTTCTTGTAGTTGGCCACCAGGTTTGCACACATCTCAGGAGGGATTTTGTCCCACTCCTCTTTGCAGATCTTCTCCAAGTCATTAAGGTTTCGAGCCTGATGTTTGGCAACTCGAACCTTCAGCTCCCTCCACAGATTTTCTATGGGATTAAGGTCTGGAGACTGCCTAGGCCACTCCAGGACCTTAATGTGCTTCTTCTTGAGCCACTCCTTTGTTGCCTTGGCCGTGTGTTTTGGGTCATTGTCATGCTGGAATAACGATCCACGACCCATTTTTAATGCCCTGGCAGAGGGAAGGAGGTTCTCACCCAAGATTTGACGGTACATGGCCCCGTCCATCGTCCCTTTGATGCGGTGAAGTTGTCCTGTCCCCTTAGCAGAAAAACACCCCCAAAGCATAAAGTTTCCACCTCCATGTTTGACGGTGGGGATGGTGTTCTTGGGGTCATAGGCATCATTCCTCCTCCTCCAAACATGGCGAGTTGAGTTGATGCCAAAGAGCTCGATTTTGGTCTCATCTGACCACAACACTTTCACCCAGTTCTCCTCTGAATCATTCAGATGTTCATTGGCAAACTTCAGACGGGCCTGTATATGTGCTTTCTTGAGCAGGGGGACCTTGCGGTAGCTGCAGGATCTCAGTCCTTCACGGCGTAGTGTGTTACCAATTGTTTTCTTGGTGACTATGGTCCCAGCTGCCTTGAGATCATTGACTAGATCCTCCCGTGTAGTTCTGGGCTGATTCCTCACCGTTCTCATGATCATTGCAACTCCACGAGGTGAGATCTTGCATGGAGCCCCAGGCCGAGGGAGATTGACAGTGCTTTTGTGTTTCTTCCATTTGCGAATAATCGCACCAACTGTTGTCACCTTCTCACCACGCTGCTTGGCGATGGTCTTGTAGCCCATTCCAGCCTTGTGTAGGTCTACAATGTTGTCCCTGACATCCTTGGAGAGCTCTTTGGTCTTGGCCATGGTGGAGAGTTTGGAATCTGATTGATTGATTGCTTCTGTGGACAGGTGTCTTTTATACAGGTAACAAACTGAGATTAGGAGCACTCCCTTTAAGAGTGTGCTCCTAATCTCAGCTCGTTACCTGTATAAAAGACACCTGGGAGCCAGAAATCTTTCTGATTGAGAGGGGGTCAAATACTTATTTCCCTCATTAAAATGCAAATGAATTTATAACATTTTTGACATGCGTTTTTCTGGATTTTTGTTGTTGTTATTCTGTCTCTCACTGTTCAAATAAACCTACCATTAAAATTATAGACTGATCATTTCTTTGTCAGTGGGCAAACGTACAAAATCAGCAGGGGATCAAATACATTTTTCCCTCACTGTACACACACACACATATATATATACACATATATATACACATATACACACACACACACATATACATACATATATATATATATATATATATATATATATATATATATATTTAAAAAAATCATACTGGCCCCCTGTGGGAATCGAACCCACAACCCTGGCGTTGCAAGCGCCATGCTCTACACGGAGCTACTTCCCTTCTCTCACTTCCTTGTCTGCTCTCTCAAGAACCTCAAGGGGGGCTAGACCCCTGCTTTTTTTAAACGTTTGAATACACGGGTCATGATGATGCCTGCTCTGTAACAATAAAAACACACATCATGTGCATGACAAATTGCCAAAAATACTATGCATAAAAATGACCCCAAAGACGAACTCTTGCACGGACTCTGCACACACACTGGCCTCTACCCACACACTCACACATACAGTACGTACCTTGACACCCAAACATACGCTCACACTTTTTTGCACCAACTCTCCTGCACTGACTATGCACACACGCTGGACTCGCACACATTTACACTGACACCAACACACACGCATACTGACGACACACACACACACACACACACACACACACACACACACTCATCACATTCGCTGCTGCTACTATCTATTATCAATCCTGTTGCCTAGTTACTTTACCCCTACCTATATGTACATAGCAACCTCAATTACCCCGTACCCCTGCACATCGACTTGGTACTGGTATTTCCTGTATATAGCCATGTTTGTTTGTTTTTACTCGTTGTTATTCACTGTGTATTTATTCCTTGTGTCACTATTTACATTATAATTTTTTTTATCTTTAACTCTGCATTGTTGGAAAAGGACCCGTAAGTAAGCATTTCACTGTTAGTCTACACCTGTTGAAATGTAATCATAATTTGTATGGGGCATGGTGGCCATTGGCACAACTTACCCCAAGGCAAACATTGACTATATTAACCCACACAGCTACAAGGATGGAGTTTTATGCTAGGTTTAGGACCTCATATTGTAGCTTATAGACTCCCTAACTGACTTATAAAACAATCTTTAAATTATCTACTTTGGTTTAGATAAAAGCATCATAAAACCTATAACACAATCAATTCATTTGACCTAACGTGCATACCACCTTTTCCCATGTGGTTTCTTCCTTCACAGACTCCTTGAAATGATGACCTCTTCCTAAATATTTGGTCACATTATTAATTTTGTTCATAAAACTGGTTGTTTGGATCCTGATTGGACGAGCAGCGTTGCAAGCCGAGCTGTATTGGCCGTCACAAACACACCTATGGCTGCTAACAGTTCCATCTGAATTATCACTGTGCCTTCATAAGAATATCATGTTCGTGTCGCTGTCCGAATCTTCTCTTGTATTTATCTTAACTCACACATTATTTCACCTTGTTTCCAGCATTTGGTTTGGTTTGGCGGCGGTTAATATGCGCCGTCTGCCTACATTCACCTGCTATTTCTGTCAAGCCGTCTACGCATACAATTTGATGCATAAATTCAATAAATCCAAAGTATGCGCCACACAGAACGCACTGCAACGCAATACTGCAAGGCTAACGCAGCGTTTCATTGGAAATGAATGTACTTCTGGTGTACCAAAACACAATGACGCTGTAAATGTGATCAAGGCATAAGGAACGCGCGGCAGTGCTGTATCATGAATACAATCACAGGTAAATGGGTTGACAATGCCATTTACCTGCGGCAGTATTCATGATACAGCACTGCCACTTGTGCCTTATTGCTTAAGTACGGTTTCCTAGAAACAAGGGGTGGCTCCACTAACCCTTTGGCTCAACTTACCCCTCTCCCGTATACATGATCCCAATTCTAGCTCCAATACACCGGTAAAATGAAAACCCCAAAAAGTATATTGTGCTGATATATTGGCTTGTTGAACCATGTTGCGCGCCATAGCTTAAAAACTCAGTGGATAGTACCAGTCGGCTTTGAACCATGTCGGTATTTAATACCAGTTGGTAATAAATACACTGAACAAAAAAACACAACATGTAAATTGTTGGTCCCATTTTTCATGAGCTGAAATAAAATATCACAGATTGGATCATTCTGATTGGCTGGGCCTGGCTCCCCAGTGGGTGGGCCTGGCTGCCAAGTGGGTAGGGCCTATGCCCTCCAATGCACATCCATGGCTGCACCTCTGCCCAGTCATGTGAAATCCATAGATTAAGGCCCAATGAAATTATTTCAATTGACTGATTTCCTTATATGAACTGTAACTCAGTAAAATCCTTGAAATTGTTGCATGTTGCGTTTATATATTTTTTCAGTATAGAATGTTGTGGCCCGCCTGCCTTTGGGGAAAACAAATTCACCTTTTTCAAACACAATTTTCTTGTTTTCTGCTTGTTAATTACAAAACTACATTTAAAGGAAAAGTACAACAGGTCTAAAGATTACTTTTCAACATTGCCTTCTCCCAAGCATTCCCACTACGTAGAAAAACGTAGTATTGTAGGGCTTCGCTCTTGCCCCTTTTCATGACAGCGCTAACGTTAGTCACGTGAGTGATTGCTAGCTAGCTACTGACCGGACATTAAGCTAGCCAAGACCAAACAAACAGACAGACTATACAGATACAAGAAGTGAGTGGAGTTACAGTGCATTCGGAAAGTATTCAGACCCCTTCACTTTTTCCACATTTTGTTACGTTACAGCCTTATTCTAAAATGGATTAAATAAATGTTTTTCTTCATCAATCTACACACAATACCCCATAATGACAAAGTGAAAACAGGTTTTTATAAATTTTTGCAAATGTATTAAAAATAAACAGAAATACCTTATTTACGTAAGTATTCAAACTAAGGATGCACGATATAAAATCGGTAAGCATATCGGAATCGGCCGATATTAGCTAAAAACGCCAACACCGACATTGGCTCTTGTATAGTTTAACACCGATGTGCAAAACCGATGTCAAAGCTGACGTGCATACCTGTATAACGTAGGTAGATGACCTAACCTAGCCCACAATGTCTGCTGTGTGGATCTATTCTGAAGTTTCAAAGGAAGACAACAAAAAGTCCATATGCAACGTTTGTGCTGCTATTATTTCCCGAGGAGGGGAGAAAGTGAAATCTTTCAATACCACAAACCTAATTACTCATTTGAAAGTGCATCGCCCCCAGACGTTCAGCGACTACTTACAACAAAAGCAGAAAAAAAAAACTAAGCTCACACTTCCAACAACTAAACAAGTTCAAGTCGAGCAGTCATTTGAAAGAGTAAGAACATTTCGGCGAGACTCAAAGGCGAAATCCATTAACGCCAAGATAATGGTATTCATTACCCATGACATTCTACCGTTCTCTGTCGTGGATGTTGTTGGCTTTCGCCGACTGGTCGAGCACATCGAGCCCCGGTACACACTACCAAGTAGGCGCTATTTTTCAGATGTTACCCTACCGGAGTTACACAGTATTGTTGAAACGCACATCCATGAGCTACTTGCTATGGGCGTCACTGCTATTAGCTTCACCACTGACATTTGGACTAGCGATGTCAGCCCCATGAGCATGCTGAGTCTGACAGCACAGTGGGTCGACAAGGATTTCGTCCTGAGGAGAGCCGTATTGCATGCTCAAGAATGTGCTGGTTCTCATACCGCTGCTACCATTTCAATGGCATTTGAGAACATGTTTGAAACTTGAAAAATCCCCAAGAACAAAGTACAGGCTGTGCTACGTGATAATGCACGTAACATGACAAAGGCTTTGGAAGAATGCGGAGATGCCAGTTTGCCATGCATGGCACACACGCCAGTGGCAACAGGTAGGAAGATAGTGGGTGATTTTAAACACTCACAGCTAGCATACAGCCGCCTGCAAGCAATACAGGAACAGTACTTTTTACATGATAGAGAGACTGCTGGAACAAAAACGAGTGCTTGGCGTGTACACAGCCGACTATGCGTTACCTGCAACAAATCAGTACAATCCAGTGGACTCTCATTGAAAACATGAACACTCTCCTAGCTCCATTCGAACAACTGACTCGAGAAATAAGTTCATCAACTGCGTCTGCAGCAGACGTGATACCCTCTGTCATGGCATTGAAACGCCTGCTCAACAAAACTGCCGACACAGACCGTGAGGTTAAAACTTGCAAAACTACTCTAGAGGCTGTGAACAAGCGATTCGGTGGCATTCTCTCTGAGCCTCTTTACTGTGTCGCCACCATGCTCTATGCTAGGTACAAGGACCGCTACTTCGACGCAGACAAGAAACAGGGTTTAGGTGAAATGTTACAGACACAGCTGGACAAGATGGAAACGGACACGGTGAGAGTGCGCACCGAGGAAGAGGAACCACGACAGAAGAGGCCATAGACAGACAGAGCTGTAACTTCACTGCTTGACATGTATGATGAAATCCTGGTTGAGAATGGAACGACTGAACAACGAAAAAGCACAGTAAGTAAGTGAAAGAAATCGGTTTTGATTATGTTTTACTGGTAATGGGGACACACGTAAATGCCAACAAAATAACTTTTTGGTTAGTGTGTGTGTGTGTGTATCTCTGTGAGAGAGGGACGCGTTGTATTTTCATTTTCTGTTACTACATCGGCCAACATTTGCCAATGTTGATCTATGCCTAATGATCCTTTGGAATGCAAGAATAATGCAATATGTTGTATTAAATGTACTAACCCCCCCCCCCCACCCCCTTTCCCATTATTTGCAGATACTAGCATACCTGACAGAACCTACTATTCCCAGGAATAAAGATGCACTTGGATACTGGAGAAGTAACAAGCACCGTTTCCCCATCCTAGCTAAAGCTGCGCGTAAGTATCTTGGTGCTCCCTGTGCTAGTGTGGACAGTGAGCGCCTTTTCAGTGCAGCTTTTTTGTAGACAAAAAAGAAACAGACTCTCGTGACAAAGCCGAGCAGGTCCTCTTTGTGAAGAAAAACCTCCCCCAAATGGTAAAATTATAAATGGGCAGTAATAAAATATATATATATATATATATATATATATATATATATATATATATATATATATATATATATATATATATATATATATATATATATATATATTGTAACCCAGCCATCTAGAGTCAATGGAAAATAATTGACTAAGCCCAATGGCTTTTCTGTTGTTTATTCATGGCTGGTATAGGTCAAGACTTTCATTTAATTTAAAACAAAGCAGTTTTGTTCTTTCGTTAAAATTTTTTTATTTCCTAAATGAAAGATGAGATGATGTGTTGTAAATTTGCTCGCATTTTACTAGTCAGGTCAGTTGAGCACATTTGAAAAGTTTAAGTTGTGCCATTTATACCAGTTTATGACATAGCCTAGAGACAGTCATTTTTTTCAAGCAGTTAAAACTAAAATGATTAACTGCATTTTAGTTTAAACCAATATTTATTTCAAAGCATTTTTAAGTTTCTTCATACAGTCAAGATTGGATAGTAGAAGAGCCACCAACAACTGAACCATCTTTGTAATACGGGGGGGCAGCTAAAATATTTGTGTCATGAATATCTGTTGTGCGATAAAATACATTCATGGATTTCTCATTTTTCTCATTTACAAGTTATTAAACAATCTGTTCCTAACTGAACAAATGAACATATTACATTTTGTTTCAACTATTTAACTGTACTAGAATGCTTAAAAGGCCGCTACAATGTTAAATATCGGTTATCGGTATCAGTGTTTTTGGCAAGGAAAATATTGGATATCGGTATCGGCCAAAAATGTCATATCAGTGCATCCCTAATTCAGACCCTTTGCTATGAGACTCGAAATTGACCTCAGGTGCATCCTGTTTCCATTGATCATCCTTGAGATGTTTCTACAACTTGATTGGAGTCCACCTGTAGTGAATTCAATTGATTGGACATGATTTGGAAAGGCACACACCTGTCTATATAAGGTCCCACAGTTGACAGTGCATGTCAGAGCAAAAACCAAGCCATGAGGTTGAAGGAATTGTCTGTAGAGCTCCGAGACAGGATTGTGTCGAGGCACAGATCTGGGGAAGGGTACCAAAACATTTCTGCAGCATTGAAGGTCCCCAAGAACACAGTGGCCTCCATTCTTAAAATGGAAGAAGTTTGGAATCACCAAGACTCTTCCTAGAGCTGGCCGCCCAGCCAAACTGAGCAATCGGGGGAGAAGGGCCTTGGTCAGGGAGGTGACCAAGAACCCGATAGTCGCTCTGACAGAGCTCCAGTTTTCCTTTGTGGAGATGGGAGAACTTTCCAGAAGGACAACCATCTCTGCAGCACTCCACCAATCAGGCCTTTACGGTAGAGTGGCCAGAGGGAAGCCACTCCTCAGTAAAAGGCACATGACAGCCCGCTTGGAGTTTGCCAAAAGGCACCTAAAGGACTCTCAGACCATGAGAAACAAGATTCTCTGGTCTGATGAAACCAAGATTGAACTCTTCGACCTGAATGCCAAGCGTCACGTCAGGCACCGCTCATCACCTGGTCAATACCATCCCTACAGTGAAGCATGGTGGTGGCAGCATCATGCTGTGGGGATGTTTTTCAGCAGCAGGGACTGGGAGACTACTCAAGATCGAGGGAAAGATTAATGGAGCAAAGTACAGAGAGATCTTTGACGAAAACCTACTCCAGAGTGCTCAGGACCTCAGACTGGGGCAAAGGTTCACCTTCCAACAGGACAATGACCCTAAGCACACAGCCAAGACAACGCAGGAGTGGCTTTGGGACAAGTCTCTATGTCCTTGAGTGGCCCAGCCTGAGCCCGGACTTGAACCCGATCGAACTGCAGAGAAGAATGGGAGAAACTCCCCAAATACAGGTGTGCCAAGCTTGTAATGTCATACCCAATATGACTTGAGGCTGTAATTGCTGCCAAAGGTGTTTCAACAAAGTACCGAGTAAAGGGTCTGAATACTTACGTAAATGTGATATTTCCTTCTTTTTGTGTGCAAAAAAATCTAACCTGTTTTTGCTTTGTCATTATGGGGTATTGTGTGTAGATTGAGGGGGGAAAAACAATTTTATCAATTTTAGAATAAGGTTGTAACGTAACAAAATGTGGAAAAGGTGAAGGGGTCTGAATACTTTCTAAATGCACTGTACAAACGTACTATACTAAACAAGTTAAAGGTCTTACGTGTACTTGGACACCAGGGTCCCACTCAGATTAGCCTTAAGGGTCTATCAGAGTATCAAACGAGTACGTGTATGCACAGCAGTGTTCTAGAATATTGGACCATTGGCATTCATACTTTTCTAATTCTGAGCGCAGCTCACATGTACATTTAACAACACAACAGCTTTTCGGCATGTTTTGTAATTTCTGTATAATTAAATATCGATGACAAAGTTGGCTTTTTTTTTATTTTTATGGGGGTCAATGTGGAATACCGTTCGTGTTCCCCAATTTCTGTGTGGGCGTGGTCGAGGGGAATTCCTTCTTATGACATGAATACCGACCTGGAGTATAGTGGTAAAACAATGCTGTCATATCCGAATTCCGACATCTTTATGTAGCTTCGCCATTGAAGGGTTGACAGCCGGAAGTAATACTTTCTAAAGAGGCGTCCTAATGCCCTTTTTGCATGAATTGCATCATAGTTTGTGTGCATCGGATTTAACTAGTTATAACATAAAATGGCCCTTTTACCTAAGAAGCTGAGACGCTCTCATACATTAACATTTTAGTCATTTAGCGGACGCTCTTATCCAGAGCGACTTACAGTTAGTGAGTGCATACATTTTTTTTCTTCCGGCTCATACTAGCCGATAGTTATAAACAACACTGGCGTTCCTCCACAAAGCAGTGATGTTTAATTTTATTTCTGAAGCTAAACCCCTAGCTAACTAGCTAACTTCGGCTAGCAGCACCTCCACGCATACACAGAATGTAAACTTCGCCCAAAAGTTTTTTACCACTCAACTTTCACTCGGGCTCGAAAGAAGAAAGTTCAGAATGTTAACTAATGTAACTTTTTAGTCCCGTAGACGTTCTCCCTAGTTACCTTTGATAACATTGCTGTAAATTGTTCCCCGGAACTCTTCACGATCTTGCTGGTCGAAGTCCTGCCCGTGGATGATCCTCATCTGTTTGAGGAAAGTGGACTTTCCGCTCTCGCCCGCGCCCAGTAAAAGTATCTTTACTAGTCGTTCCGCGTAGGTTTTGTCCCGGGAAAGACTTTTGTCAATCTCCTTAGATTTCCTCAGCTGTTCCACCTCGGTGCTGGTAAGCAGGCAAACTGGGAAGCACTGGTTTAGCACGGATCGGGTCGACAGGAAGTCCGCCATGTTTCAACCAGCTTCATCGATATACGGGAGAGAGTTTGCTCGTTCATGTGATGCGCGCGGAAACGCTACTACACTATAGAAATATAGTGGATCTATTTAACATACCACTTTCGCTAGGCAGCTCGTTCACACACAAACGCAAATAATTTGTGTGACTATCAGTGCTTTTATCTTGTCATTTTTTTTTGTGGACCCCAGGAAGAGTAGCTGTTGCTTCTGCAAAAGCTAATGGACATCCAAATAAACACACATAGAGGGCCAAGCCCCTCTCTCTTCTAAAACTAGGAAGTGTTCTTTGACAATATAGTATACCACAGGAGGTTGGTGGCACCTTAATTGGGGAGGACGGGCTCGTGGTAATGACTGGAGCGGAATAAGTAGAATGGTATCATGGTAATGACGGGAGCGGAATAAGTAGAAAGGCATCAAACACATAGTTTGATGCCATTCCATTCACGCCGTTCCAGACATGATAATGAGCAGTCCTCCCCTCAGCAGTCTCCACTGTAGTATACAGCATACAACTCTAGCATATAATACCTTTTTGCAATGCAAAAGGAATACCTTATCTCATCACTTAACCATGTGATTTTTATTTCCAATAAGACATGCAATTTTGCCCTGATAAAACGTTTTTAAATCCTCAATTAGACCCATTATTTTTTTGCCAAAGTTGACCAAATGAAACAAAATAGCTGTTTCTAAAATTAGAGCATTGAAATACCTAATTATTCACATCACATTAAATGCATCATTTAACATTTAACAGAACAATTCAACACTGCCAAATTACAATCATAATTTAATCATGAAGCACGTAGGCTTGACCAGCACAAAAACATCCTGTGGCGTACTGCATTAGCATCAAATAGCCCCCGCGATATGCAACTTTTCAGGGAAGTTAGGATCCAATATACACAAGCAGTCAGGAAAGCAAAGGCTAACTTTTTCAAACAGAAATTTGCATCCTGTAGCACTAACTCCAAAACGTTTTGGGACACTGTAAAGTCCATGGAGAATAAGAGCACTTCCTCCCAGCTGCCCACTGCACTGAGGCTAGGAAACACTATCACCACGGTTAAATCTACAATAATCGAAAATTTCAACAATCATTTTGCTACGGCTGGCCATGCTTTCCACCTGGCTACCACTACCCCGGCCACCAACTCTGCACCCTCTGCTGCAACTTGCCCATGCCCCCACCGCTTCTCCTTCACACAAATTCAGACAGCTGATGTTCTGAAAGAGCTGCAAAATCTGGACCCCTACAAATCAGCTGGGCTAGACAATCTGGACCCTTTCTTTCTAAAACTAGCCGCCGAAATTGTCGCAACCCCTATTACTAGCCTGTTCAACCTCTCTTTCGTAACGTCTGAGATCCCCAGAGATTGGAAAGCTGCCGCGGTCATCCCCCTCTTCAAAGGGGGTGACACTCTAGATCCAAACTGTTACAGACCTATATCCATCCTGCCCTGCCTTTCGAAAGTATTTGAAAGCCAAGTTAACAAACAGATCACCGACCATTTCGAATCCCACCGTACCTTCTCCGCTATGCAATCCGGTTTCCGAGCTGGTCATGGGTGCACTTCAGCCACGCTCAAGGTCCTAAACGATATTATAACCGCGATCGATAATAGACAGTACTGTGCAGCCATCTTCATCGACCTGGCCAAGGCTTTCGACTCTGTCAACCACCGCATTCTTATTGGCAGACTAAATAGCCTTGGTTTCTCAAATGACTGCCTCGCCTGGTTCACCAACTACTTCTCAGATAGAGTTCAATGTGTCAAATCGGAGGGCCTGTTGTCTGGACCTCTGGCAGTCTCTATGGGGGTGCCACAGGGTTCAATTCTTGGGCCGACTCTTTTCTCTGTGTATATCGATGATGTCGCTCTTGCTGCTGGTGACTCTCAGATCCACCTCTACGCAGACGACACCATTTTGTATACATCTGGCCCTTCATTGGACACTGTGTTAACAAACCTCCAAACGAGCTTCAATGCCATACAACACTCCTTCAGTAGCCTCCAACTGCTCTTAAACACTAGTAAAACGAAATGCATGCTCTTCAATCGAACGCTGCTGGCACCCGCCCACCCGATTAGAATCAATACTCTCGACGGGTCTGACCTAGAGTATGTGGACAACTACAAATACCTAGGTGTCTGGTTAGACTGTAAACTCTCCTTCCAGACTCACATTAAGAATCTCCAATCCAAAGTTAAATCTAGAATCGGCTTCCTATTTCGCAACAAAGCCTCCTTCACTCATGCTGCCAAACATGCCCTCGTAAAACTGACTATCCTACCGATCCTTGACTTCGGCGATGTCATTTACAAAATAGCCTCCAACACTCTACTCAGCAAATTGGATGTAGTCTATCACAGTGCCATCCGTTTTGTCTCCAAAGCCCCATACACCACCCACCACTGTGACCTGTACGCTCTTGTTGGCTGGTCCTCACTACATGTTCGTCGTCAAACCCACTGGCTCCAGGCCATCTATAAATCACTGCTAGGCAAATCCCCGCCTTATCTTAGCTCATTGGTCACCATAGCAGCACCCACCCGTAGTCTGCGCTCCAGCAGGTATATCTCACTGGTCATCCCCAAAGCCAACACCTCCTTTGGCCGCCATTCTCTGCTGCCAATGACTGGAACGAATTGCAAAAATCTCTGAAGCTGGAGACTCTTATCTCCCTCACTAACTTTAAGCATCAGTTGTCAGAGCAGCTTACCGATCACTGCACCTGTACACAGCCCATCTGAAATTAGCCCACCCAACTACCTCATCCCTATATTGTTATTTATTTTGCTCTTTTGCACCCCAGTATCTCTATTTGCACATAATCTCTTGCACATCTAGCATTCCAGTGTTAATACTAATTGTAATTATTTTGCACTATAGCCTATTTATTGCCTTACCTCCATAACTTGCTACATTTGCACACACTTATATATATTTTCTGTTGTATTTTTTTACTTTATGTTTTTTTACCCCATATGTAACTCTGTGTTGTTGTTTTAATCGCACTGCTTTGCTTTATCTTGGCCAGGTCGCAGTTGTAAATGAGAACTTGTTCTCAACTGGCTTACCTGGTTAAATAAAGGTGAAAAAAAAAAAAAAAAGGCTCTGAGATTTATGATCCAATGTCACCACCTAGCGGTCACAGTTGCGTAAACGCAGAGCGTGACCTGTAACTGGTATAACGCAGGCTGTGGGTCGTCACTAGCCTTTATAGCCACAAAGTCATAAACCTCGCACATTTCGACAATTTATCTTCGTAAAATTGTATTTGAAACCTAACCTTGACCCTAACCACACTGTTAACCGTATGCCTAACCCTAACCTTAAATTAAGACAAAAAATTCTGCCATTGTAGACTTTGTGGCTGTGGAATCTGACTTTGTAGCTATAGAAGCTAGTGGACACCCAGGCAGTGACAGACAGGTACAATCACTGGCGGTAATATAGAACCGTGCCCTGATTGGCTGATCCGCAATCACTCTCCATCCCTATAGATGCTTGCTGCTGGTCACTGAATTGAAACGCTGCACGCTTATTCCCTCGCAACCAGCATCTTCGCTTTGGCTGGATAAATATTAGGCTAAATTCATTCAGTGTTGGTGTTATCATAGGGGAGGAAGGCAAACAACATGACCATCAGAAATGTACGGGATCATGGACAGAGGTTCCGACCGAGGATGGCATGTCTCAAAAAGGTAGGTTAGCCTTATCAGAGATGATGATACTGTTATGCTACACACCGCAGACGCAAACACCTAGGCTGTCTTGCTATATTTAGTTCTTCAAATAAATATCGGCTATTCGTTCTTAATTCACTGGGCACCCACTGGGCAAAAACTGGTTGAATCAACGTTGTTTCAACGTAAGTTCAACCCCCAAAATCAATGTGATGACGTTAATCAACGTGGGAAACTAATTGGATTTGCAAAAAAGTCATCAATGTAGGGGAATTTCGTATTTTTTTCCGCCCAACTTTTACCATAAATCCAATGGCATGGTGACGTTGTTTGTTGATTTCACGTCCAATTCACGTTAGTTGACAACTCAACCAAATGTAAATATAAACTAGACGTTGAACTGGGCAGTAATGTTTTTCTGTTATTATTCTATCAATGTCTGTGAACCCAATGCACCTAGGCCTATATGATGAAAATACATACACATATATTTTCACAACATGCGATTTTCTCTTACAATAGCCAATTTGAAACTCAGTTATCAGAAAACATAATTCCCTATATTTACACAACCAGCTAAATAAGACCTGCCATGTATAGTTGTTTCACAGGTGTTAAGAAGACTGCAAGATATCTAAAGCTACGCAGTAAAATGAGAGCGAGACCATCTATTCTCAGTGTTAAAATACAGTACTTTGGTGAACAGCCTTTCATTTACTGGTGTCTTTATTTTGGCTTTGATTGACACGGTGTTCTCTTTAGCATTGTATCGCTACTCATTGATGCGGATCAGCATTAGTCTGATCAGTATTAACAGCACCACCATCAGCCAGTTAATCCAGACAGTAGCGGTATGAAGAGGACAGATCCTAGTGCTTTTCCAGCTGGGACTGTCTGTGCTTGTTGTACCTGCTTCTGTTACCAACAGGGTACAAAAACTGGGTTCTCGATGTAACTCAAGACTGTGAAGCCTCAACCTATTTACAAGCTCTGTTTGGCCCAGAGACAGTTACTGTCTGGAGGGTGCTGAGAGTCCACTGTGGTCGGCTGAGGCTAGCTGTATGGTGTAACTGTCACATGACATCAAAGCCTCAGACAGACACCAATCTGGCAGAAAGCCCCTTCATATCAGTCAGAGACAGGCCAGGGCAGGCTTGTTCAAAACAAGACTGGGATATAGCTCTACACTGCAAGACTGACTGAGACACACTGGCAGGTGGGGTTCAAAACAGGCAGACAGACAGACAGAACAGTACTGGCTGAAACACACTGGTTCTCCAAACATTAGGAGGAACACAGTCCCTCCTCCACATAGCTTGTTTATGCTTGTTTGTGTTCCCTGTCTCCTTCCTCACTGTCCTCCCAATAACCTGTCTCAGAACCACAATGCATAGACACCCTATTATTTAATAGTACTATTATGTAATTATATGGATGTATGGCTCTGACCTGTCTCGTTGTCATAGTAACCCGTGGACTGCCTGTCCTACTGTCATGGTAACCTATTGTTTTGACAACCCGTTGCCTCTGTGACCTGCCTCTGTAGTGGTGTACGCCGTAGTGATCTGTTGTCTTTACGACCTGTTGTCCTGTTGTCTGCCAGGTGGATGCTGTGATGTTGGAGATGCAGGATCCAAAGACTGGAGTCAAGTCACAACCCCAGAAACTGGTTATCACAACCATACCACACGCTATCACAGGTAAACACACACACAAAGAAGCACACAGAAAAACACACTCAGTGGATTGATAGTGGTTGCCGTATGTTAGGTAACTCCTACAGACCCCAGAGCTTTTTTTCCCATGTCTTGAGCTCAAGATTCTATCTCCATGACAACCTCTGACTGAGAGGGAGAGAGAGGGGCAACAGAGGGAGGGAGAGAGAGTAGGAGGGAGAGAAGGAAGGATAGAGCGAGAGAAGGATGGAGAGAGAGAGATGGAGGGAGAGAGAGAATAGAGTGTGAAGAAGGGAGAGAGAAGGAAGAAGAGATAGAGATTGATAAAGAACCTATACTCTTGAGTTTTAATGACACCACTTCAGCCTGGTCCATTTAACAGAACAGACTGGAATAGAGTATAACTTCCAGTATTCCTTAGGGAAATTTGGTTAGCAAAATAAAAGCTCTCTTCCCCTCTCAGTCTATATTGACTGTCTCAGCAGTAGTTTCTCTCAGAGGGAGGCCTCTGGCATTTACAGACTCCACATGTAATGTCCTGTGGGCAGAGTCTCTCTACTATCTATTTTTCTCTCTCTCTCTCTCTCTCTCTCTCTCTCTCTCTCTCTCTCTCTCTCTCTCTCTCTCTCTCTCTCTCTCTCTCTCTGTCTCTGTCTCTGTCTCTGTCTGTCTCTGTCTCTCTGTGTCTCTATCTCTCTCTGTCGCTCTAATATCCTCCTCTCCTCCCTCCTCTCCCCCCCCTCTCCCCCCCCACCCCTCTCTCTCCCCCCCCCTCTCTCTCCCCCCCCCTCTCTCTCTCCCCCCCCCTCTCTCTCCCCTCCCCTCTCTCTCTCCCCCCCACCCCTCTCTCCCCCCCACCCCTCTCTCTCTCTCCCCACCCCTCTCTCTCTACCCCCCCTCTCTCTCCCCCCACCCCTCTCTCTCCCCCCTCTCTCTCTCTCTCCCCCCACCCCTCTCGTCTCTCCCCCCCCCTCCTCCCCCCCCCCCCTCTCTCTCTCCTCTACTCTCCACACCCTCTTTATATTACAGAGTAAATTCAATGAAAGAGTGTCCATCTGATGTCATACATGTGATGTCATATCTCTATAATAGTTGTGATGTTTGTTGTAACCTTCTCCAGGTGAGGACGTCGTGGCATGGCTAGCCAACCGTTACGCTATAGAGGCAGAAGGTAAGAGTGCTTTCTTCTCAGACATACACAGAACGTTCTTGTATTACGGTTCTCTTTCTCTTTCATATTCTCCCTCTCCACCCCTCTCTCTCGCTCCTTCTCTCCCTCTCCCCCCCCCCTCTCTCTTTCTCTGTCTGTGTAGAGGCGTGGGCTCTGGGCACCATGTTGGTGGCGTTTGGGTACATCTACCCCCTCCAGGATCATAAACGACTAGTCATTAAACCAGACACAACCCTCTACCGCTTTCAGGTAACCATGACAACACTTTATAAACCTTAACCTTAACCAACCCCATACGCCTAACTCTATGCCAAACCTCTGTGCTTTTTGTCTTCTCTCAGACACCATACTTTTGGCCGGCCCAGCAGTGGCCTGTAGAGGACACAGACTATGGTGAGATACACACAACGAGACAAACATAGTTAAAGGTGCACCATGCAGAAATCTCTCCGCAATTTCCTGGTTGCTAAAATTCTAATACTTTGCCTAATTTCAGTTTATGTGACAAAAAAAGCAAGTATAGTGTAGAGAATCATTGTACCATCTAAACCGCTGTGAAACATATTTTCCATGAACAAAAAGATTGCATTTTCTGCTTTTTGAAGCTGGTGTACAAAACCGAAAGTAAAAGACGCAAAAACTAAAGTATAAAGTATAGAAATAGCGCACATAGAACAGTCCAAACACACCAAGACAGTCGTGAAGAGGGCACGACAAAGCTTATTCCCCATCAGAAGACTGAAAAGATTTGGCATGGGTCTTCAGATACTCAAAAAGTTCTACAGCTGCACCATCGAGAGCATCCTGACTGGTTGCATCACCACCTGGTATGGCAACTGTTCGGCCTCCGACCGCAAGGCACTACAGAGGGTAGTGCGTACGGCCCAGTACATCACTGGGGCCAAGCTTCCTGCCATCCAGGACCTCTATACCAGGCGGTGTCAGAGGAAGGCCCTAACAATTGTCAAAGACTCCTGCCACCCTAGCCATAGACTGTTCTCTCTGCTACCGCACGGCAAGCGGTACCGGAGCGCCAAGTCTAGGTCCAAAAGGCTTCTTAACAGCTTCTACCCCCAAGCCATAAGACTCCTGAACAGCTAATCATGGCTACCCGGACTATTTGCTTTGTCCCCCCCCACCCCACCCCCTCTTTTACGCTGCTGCTACTCTGTTTATTATCTATGCATAGTCACTTTAACTCTACCCACATGTACATATTACCTCAATTACCTCGACTAACCGGTGCCCCCGCACATTGACTCTGTACGGGTACCCGCTGTATATAGCATCCCTACTGTTATTTTATTTTACTGCTGCTCTTTAATTATTTTTTACTCATCTATTTTTTACTTAACACTTATTTTTCTTAAAACTGCATTGTTGGTTAAGGGCTTGTAAGTAAGCATTTCACTGTAAGGTCTACACCTGTTGTATTCGGGGGGCATGTGGCAAATACGATTTGATTTGATCTACAGCTTCTTAGACTTGCTTTCAATGAGAACAGATCTATAACTAATATTTCTATGTGAATTTGGTCGGGTCGGCCAAAAAGTTTTAAAGCTTTCTTTATTGTTAGGTCACCTACATTGTGGACATATTAGTGTGTTGCTCCTCCATCACTCGGTCGCGTCGTTGCCATTTTTATCAATGTTCTCAAATCAAATCAAATCAAATTTTATTGGTCACATGCGCCGAATACAACAGGTGCAGACATTACAGTGAAATGCTTACTTACAGCCCTTAACCAACAGTGCATTTATTTTAAACAAAAAAAGTAAGAATAAAACAACAACAAAAAAAGTGTTGAGAAAAAAAGAGCAGAAGTAAAATAAAGTGACAGTAGGGAGGCTATATATACAGTAAAATAAAGTGACAGTAGGGAGGCTATATATACAGGGGGGTACCGTTGCAGAGTCAATGTGCGGGGGCACCGGCTAGTTGAGGTAGTTGAGGTAATATGTACAATGTTCTACAGCCATATTGATGCTCAAAAGTAGAACAGGGGCAAATTTTTTACATTTTACATTTTAGTCATTTAGCAGACGCTCTTATCCAGAGCGACTTACAGTTAGTGAGTGCATACATTATTTTTATTTTATTTTATTTTTCATGCTGGCCCCCCATGGGAATCGAACCCACAACCCTGGCGTTGAAAATGCCATGCTCTACCAACTAAGCTACCTAATGACTCTAAACCAGGGCTAATGACTGTTTAGTCCAAATTACACTAGAGGAGCTTGGGAATACGATGACGTAGGTACATATTTAGTAGGAACCAACTTTGCCATCATCATGTTGTCAAATTTACTTTAGACAGATGGCAATGTTGTCATTAGCTAGCAAAGTTAATCAAAAATAGCTAGCAGTGCTAACGTTAGCTAGCTAAAATCAATCTAACTAACGTTATACTGCAACTAAAGTCAATCTGGCGACATGACAATTATGACAAAAGGTTTTCCTAATAATTATTTGCCTTCTTTAGAAATATCATCGTGTTTTCAAGCCACAGTACTGCACTTTAGACTAAATCTTTATCAGCGCCCAGTGAGGATGCATTGAGTAGAATGCTCAGTTGGGCATCAGTCCTAAAACGAAAGTTCAAAACAATATTGTGACGCGACGTGCAACCCATGAATACGTTTTAAGTAAAAAAACAACTAATAAAATCATGTTTATTTTTTCAGCAATCTACCTGGCCAAGAGAAACATCCGCAAGAAAGGAGTACTGGAGATCCATGAACAGGTGAGAGACATTCAAACACACATGCAGGCACACATCTGTCTAATCAGTGAACGTGGTAACGCACACATCTGTCTAATCAGTGAACATGGTAACACACACATCTGTCTAATCAGTGAACGTGGTAACACACACATCTGTCTAATCAGTGAACGTGGTAACGCACACATCTGTCTAATCAGTGAACATGGTAACACACACATCTGTCTAATCAGTGAACGTGGTAACACACACATCTGTCTAATCAGTGAACGTGGTAACACACACATCTGTCTAATCAGTGAACGTGGTAACACACACATCTGTCTAATCAGTGAACGTGGTAACACACACATCTGTCTAATCAGTGAACGTGGTAACGCACACATCTGTCTAATCAGTGAACGTGGTAACACACACATCTGTCTAATCAGTGAACGTGGTAACAGACACATCTGTCTAATCAGTGAACGTGGTAACACACACATCTGTCTAATCAGTGAACGTGGTAACAGACACATCTGTCTAATCAGTGAACGTGGTAACACACATCTGTCTATAATCAGTGAACGTGGTAACAGACATCTGTCTTTCCTCTTCAGGAGCAGTATAACAGCCTTCACAAGTGGATGAACCATAAATGGGACTTCATTGTGATGCAGGCTAAAGAACAGTACAGGTTTGTCTGGCAGAAACAGACTACACTAACATCCATTCACCCACAGACTGTTTACATGGGAATTGTTTATCAGGCCTCTAACTCACAGCTGTGCGAGTTAACTAACAGCTGTATGGCACGTGTGTGTGTGTGTGTGTGTGTGTGTGTTTGTGCAGGGCGGGGAAGGAGAGAAAGAAGCCGGATCGTGCGGTGTTTGACTGTCAGGAGAGAGCATACTGGGTTGTACACAGACCTCCGGTGAGACACACACGCACACACATGCACACACACACACGCACACACACACACACATGCACACACACACTGCATCAAACTTGTCTTCTGTATGGTGAATATACCTACATCAGTGGTCACCAACCGGTCAATCGCGATCGACTGGACGATCTCCAAAGCATCCCTAGTCGATCACCAAACATTTCTGTAAAAAACCCAACGATAAAGCCTTGTGTTTTTAAAAATTTCGTTATGCGCTGTTGGCGGTACGTGCACTTGATTCAGCAGCCCTAGCGCATGTATCTGAAGGTAGAACTCTGCCGACTCCCTCCCTCTCCTCAGACTGACCATCAGATGCAGGCCATCAGTCCAGTAAAAAAAAAAAAATACAACAAATGATCTATTGGTTGAATGCATTCAGTTATGCAAATGACTAGGTTTCCCTTTTCTCCTTTCATATAGCTAAAAGTTTGAAATATAATTTCTAAATGGTCTGAGAAGATCATTGGCAGTGCAATTCAAGCAAAGCCAATATGCAGTGATAATGTATTGGGCCTATAGCCTACTGAACAAACCTAATTGTTATAAAACTGTTTTAAATTGGTTAATGTTGCATAGGCTTACATTTTTTGAAGTCATGTTTTTTATTTTTTTATCGGAGCGGTTATATTTCAGTCCTCTGTGATGTATATAAAGTGTAATATTGGGATGCAAACTCAAAATGGAATACATTTCAACTCTATATCTGACATGGTGCAGCTGTCTTCTTTTCTTTAAGCCCATAACCATGTGTGTGAGGTGTATACATTTGTATCAAAGCAGATTTCTTTAAGACTACCAAGAAACACTCTGTGTGACCCTGATTTAGCCCATTGCAGTAAAAGGTTAATCCTGTCTTCAAACTAAACGTATCAGGCAGTAAAGATGATCAGCTCTGTTATCAGACACTATTCTGCTGACAGGTGAATATATCGCTGGGTGAGATGATGTGTGTCTCTGCAGGTAGGAGCTTTGGCCTTTACCTCTGTCTAGACAGACAGGCTGCTAATGAGGAATCATGGGTAGAGAATGAAGCATGCTGGGTATTCTCATTGGGGGCGTAGGGGTAGGGGGCCTAGCTAATTTCTCAGTCTTATACCAATCAACAAAACAACACAACATGCTATCAAATCATATTATCATACCGTGCAAATTACCATTTTTTTTGTCTGGCTGTCTGTCTGTAGCCAGGGACCGTCAGTGCAATGGATTACGGACTGGAACGCATGGTAGACCCCAATGCAGAGGAGGTAACAGGTCAGTCCCACGTGTGTGTGTGTGTGTGCGCGCGCAGATTAGCTTAGCTTGCTTATGCTGAGGGTGTATTGTAGTTACAGTTTCGGGTCATTGTCTGTGACCTAGCAAGGCTCTATTCAAGCTGCTTATATTTGATAAGAGGATTTAAACTGTGGTAATCTTCATTAGATAGAGGTACACACCCTTCTACCTGCCCCCACATTACACCTGGACTCTCTGTCAACCAATCACATCACACCTGTCCACTCTGTTAGCCAATCCAGTCTCAGACTTCAACTGAAGATATTGCAGATTGCACCTTTCATTTGATTTCTATTTGAATGAATTGACAGGATATTTCTCTTCTCTTTTCTCTCTGCAGGTTCTCTTCTCTTTTACTGTTTCGACTTTGAAGAGTACTTTCGCCTGCACACACACACTTACACAAACACGCAGACACACACACACACACACAAACATACACACACACATGCACAAACACACACACACACACACACACACACACACACACACACACACACACACAAACAAACGATTTAAGTGTAGCAATAAATACTACATTATTACTTTATGTCTGACAGAACAAAGTTGACTGTAGCTGGCCATTCTGCTTTGATATAACCAAATCATTGTTTTATTTTCCAGAAAGCAACTTCAGACTTCTTCAGAAGAATTGTTAGTAACAACATTTAATATCCTAACATAATTAGCATATGAAATGTATCCCACTTTACATATGACCAGCTCCTCCTTTCTTTTGTCTGTGTTGATGACCACTTCCTTTTTCCTGTTTCCTGTAGATGATTTTTACCCAGCAGTCCATCATGAGGCCGAGGGTCAAGTCGTCTGTGTCTATCGGAGCGTACGTCACTCTAGTTTACATTTCATCACGTCTGACACACCCAGGGTTAAAAGCTGAACTCATTTACTAGGGCACCGTGTCGTAATAAATGGTCAAAACATCTGTATCACTAGGTGCTAAAAAGCATCATTCTCCAACGTAGTTGTTGTTGTTGTTTGTGTTCTCTCTTACTTCTCCAGTCTGGTGAAATACTCCGTCACCTGTAGTAAGCACGACCCTTTCCTAGCCCCCTGTCTCCCTAGCAACCCCTGGGTCACTGATGATGTCACCTACTGGTTGCTCAACATGGCCAAGTGAGTCTGATCCCCAACTGTTCAGCTTACTATTCCTGTCCTACCAGTTGTTGTAGAATGTATTATTTTAACTTCTACAATATCAATACGTGGACGTGTGTGTGTGTGTGTGTGTGTGTGTGTGTGTGTGTGTGTGTGTGTCTGTCAGTGTGGAAATTCCTACTAAGATGCGTGTGGAGAGGTGGACCTTCAGTTTCGGGGAGCTGCTCTCTGATCCTCGAGGCAGAGATGACTTCAGACTCTTCCTCAAGAAGGAGTTCAGCGGTACGTTGGATTACGTTATAACAACATTGGGAAAACATTACAACAATGGTATTATGTCTTGGTCCAGGTCTCTCTTGAAAAATAGATTTTTATCTCAACGAGACTAACCTGGTTTAATAAATGTTAAATAAACAAATAATAGATGATTCTAGGCAGTCACATACCAGTCCCTTTTACACCCAACAGTCTGGCTCTTCTTAAGGGGCATTTACTTGTTCTATTTGGGGTTCATATTATAAAAGTAAAGTTTGATTGGTTGACTGATTGATTGATTGACAGGTGAGAACCTGGCGTTCTGGGAGGCTTGTGAGGATCTGAAGTGGGGAACGGCCGCTACCATGAACGACAAGGCCCAGCAGGTCTACAAGTAAGACGCACTCACGTACATACACACACGCTCACACACACACACACACACACACACACACACACACACACACACACACAGACACTAACCATGTCTCTGGTCAGGACTTTCTTGGCGCGTGGCGCCCCCCGGTGGATCAACATTGACGGGAAGACCATGGAAGTGACGGTTAAAGGGCTGAAACACCCTCACAGATACGTACTGGACGCAGCTCAGACACACATCTTCATGCTGATGAAGAAGGTCAGTTTCACCGCATTAAGACCACTGGCCCTCTGCCTGCTGTAACTGGAGAAATCAAACACAAAATGGCTGCCATGATGTAACATTCCTGACTAACTTATTTTGGAGTAAAACTTTCAATACACGTACAGGAGGTATCTAAGTGTGTGTTGTAGGACTCTTATGGGCGGTACCTGAAGTCTCCAGTGTTTAAGGACACTCAGAAGAGGGCCATCGGTCCTGATCAGCACATGTTCAGGTCAGTGCTGTGTGTCAGTACAGTGGAGCATATTGTCTACTGTCATACCTGTCTTCCTCAACGCAGAGCTAGAAAGAGGGTGTAATTGTAAAGACATTCTCCTCCCTTCTCCAGTGTGTCCCAGTTGGAGGCCAACGCGAGGAAGCGTCGTCCCAGCATCAGTCCCATCGTCGTCCGCCAGCAGGAGAAGGAGGAGAGAGCCAGGATGGCCACCAGTGGACCTGTGGACATCACACAGGTCATGAGCAAACTCAGCAACAAGGGCAAGGAGGTGCCCCCACCCAAAAAATAGACCACAGACATACTCGCATGCATTGACATAAATACACACACTTCTAGAAGCACAACCACACACACACACACACACACACATAGGCTACACACCCGGTGAAAACTAAGCAAAGTTGTTGCTACCTTTTAAATATAGTTTAGAGGACAGCAGTGCTGACAAATAGTGAAGATTTGAAATTAAATGTGCAATTTTGAATTTCTATGAACTGTAAACTAGAAGAACAGTAATGTCTAACTTTCAGTCTAACACAGTACTACCACAGACCGTTAAATGTAAAGTTATTAAGTGTTTTCTGTTCACATTATTCTAGAAAATCATAGTAAACGTCATAGTTGATAGTGTTTTAGTTTTGATGGTATGTTCACCTGTGTCTCACCGGTATCTGTGTCTCTCACCTGTCTTTCAATGTCATCAGCTTCATGTTCCACCCATAGGGACATTTATGTGTCGTTCCACCAATAGAGTGCCTTTTATATCCCTCAGACATTTATGTGTGTACATAAACCATCTTAAACTATGCCAATAGCAATGTTTTCTCATTAAAATAAATTGTGTTTTCACTGAAAATCCCAATTTTGGCATGTCCCAGGTCATGTTTGTCCAACTTCTAGGAAGATTTTAACCCACTTAACCCCAAGATCTTCCCGACGTTTTCACCATCAGTCCTAGTTCTTTTGTTTCTTTGGGAAATATCTTATTTAATGTGATTAGTGATTAATTTACCTTTTTGAAGGGTTTATTTCCAAAACGCTATATCCACAAATGTTTCACATGTTGTGGTTTTTTTCATCAGAAATGGTTGCTTATGGGAGCCTTCGTGTGTGTACAATATTACTGTTATAACATGTTTAATTAATAGATTTTAGATGCGAAACAAAATAAATGTTTTGCCATACGCTATATATCCATTATTTAGCTGGAATGGAATGTTCGTATCCTGTATTTGACTGTGATAGGTGGTTCTCACCTAGTTATCTTAAGATAAATGGACTAACTGTCAATCGCTCTGAATGTCAAATGTAAATGTTTTACATACAGATCTCATATTACTGCATTGAATAATTTGTAAATGTAAAAAAAAAAGAGTCACAAATGTATCATTTGTACAGTTATTTATAAAAAAAAATGTCGTTATTTATAACATTTGACTGTGTAAAACCTAGCAGTACTAATTTTTCTGAGGGTGAGGCGGATGTATAGCGTTTAGCAAAAACATGATTATTTATTTCTCTGAAATGAAACCATCAAGTGATAGATTTTAAACAAATACATGTCTGTCATTGAACAACACCATGCCATGATTAGATAGTGGAAAAAACACACCAATCTCTTTCATAAGTTCTTTAAACAATAAAAGCTAATTTACCAACATTTCTGTTATGGATATATATAGCGTTTTGGAAATAAACTCTTAATTTGTCCCTCAGGTTTAACCCTGTAACGTGAACTCAACTCTTGTGTTAATATGTTAAAACTATTCTTTTTTTTAAAGAAACATTTAACATCTAATAGTCAAATCATAGTGTAAAAGCAGGTGAGCTGGCTCTGCTCTTTCTGGCCATTGTCTGGTGTTTTGTGGTGGAAAAATGAGAACATCGAGCATAACATGTCAACCCTGTTACCCATAGATACCCTTTGTCATGTAGTGTATGTGGACACCTCGTCGAACATCTTATTGCTGCTATAACAGCCTCCACTCGGTAAGGCTTTCCACTAGATGTTGGAACATTGCTGCGGGGACTTGCTTCCATTCAGCCACAAGAGCATTAGTGAGGTCGGGCACTGATGTTGGGCGATTAGGCCTGGCTCGCAGTTGGCGTTCCAATTCATCCCAAAGATGTTCGATGGGGTTGAGATCAGGGCTCAGTGCAGGCCAGTCAAGTTCTTCCACACCGATCTCGACGAACCATTTCTGTATGGACCTCGCTTTGTGCACGGGGGCATTGTCATGCTGAAACAGGAAAGGGCCTTCCCCAAACTGTTGCCACAAAGTTGGAAGCACATAATCGTCTAGAATGCCATTGTATGCTGTAGCGTTAAGATTTCCCTTCACTGGAACTAAGGGGCCTAGCCCGAACCATGAAAAACAGCCCCAGACCATTATTCCTCCTCCACCAAACTTTACAGTTGGCACTATGCATTCGGGCAGGTAGCGTTCTCCTGACATCCTTCAAACCCAGATTCGTCCGTTGGACTGCCAGATGGTGAAGCGTGATTCATCACTCCACAGAACGCGTTTCCACTGCTCCAGAGTCCAATGGCGGTGAGCTTTAAACCACTCCAGCCGATGCTTGGCATTGCGCATGGTGATCTTAAAATTTGTCTGACAATTTGACGAACTGACTTGTTGGAAAGGTGGCATTCTATGACGGTGTCACGTTGAAAGTCACTGAGCTCTTCAGTAAGGCCATTCTACTGCCAATGTTTGTCTATGGAGATTGCATGGCTGTGTGCTCAATTTTATACACCTGTCAGCAACGGGTGTGGCTGAAATAGCCAAATCCACGAATTTGAAGGGGTGTCCACATACTTTTGTATATATGGCGTAGATAGGCTAGAAATGCTTTAACAAGTTTACATTTTTTTGTGAAGCTTGCATTCAATTGTTCCTCCCTGTTGCACACAGCGAGCGTCCATTCCCCCTGTAACAATGGGAGTTATGGCTGATTTAAGATGAAATCGTCAACTATGTTACAGTCAACCCTGTCAATAGTCACTTTTATAGTAATGTTTCTTAGTCTGACCTCTTGAGATGTAACATGTTTATTACGAAGTTGAACGTGTGCTATTAACGATAGAATGTTCAAATTTGGTGGAATAAAAATGAAGAAAGAAAGCCTTTACCCTAAAGCCACTCTATTTGTGGAATGACACACATGTTGTATGTCATTACTGTAACCTACACCATCTATCCAATAAAGCATCTATAACCAGCCATATCGTTCTGTCTTCTCATCTTCACTGTGTCATCTAGTCACTGTCCATTGGACCATAATGCCATAACAGAACTCACAGATAACTCAGTCATTCCTGTCCTAGGGCCAGACCCAATCCATGCTCCCTTCATCTACAGTATACCAGTGTTCAGCATTTACCCATCATTTTTACCATTCCATCCCTGTGTGCGATGTATTAGTATAACCTCTCAGTGACCTTTCCCCCCTGACCCTATATCTGACCTCTGACCTCTAACCCCTACAGCTGTGTCGCTTTACAGCGCCCGTCCCCCACCTCGCGGTCTACTCTGGCCCACCCTCTTCCTCCCCCGCCTCACCCCCTTGCTCCCTCCGTCTCCCCCACACCCCCGCCTGCCCTTCACCCATCAGCGTAACCATAGACAGCACCCCCGCCTCAGAACGCAGGTGGGAGGAAGGAGGACGAGGTGGGGTGGAGGGGGGAGAGGCGGGCCCTGGAGGCTGGGGGACAGCTGTCTCTTCTCGTTCACGTATGGCTCTCTCATTGGGCCGTCTGTTGAGGCGGGGCTGTACTTCCTCCACGGTATTCGCCAGCCTGTCACCCAAATGTCCCGCCCCTGCCGGGACCAGCAGCCGCGTTCAGCCTATCGGCACGGAACAGCCCAGCCAAGCCCCGCCCAGACGCATTGCCAAGTGAGTGACAGAGAGTAAGCTCACACACCTTAAAGCATCCTCATCCCTTCATTCCCTCCTCATCCCTCTTTCCTCTCCTCCTTCCTCCAGTTTTTTCCAGATCAAGGTGGACATCCCTCCAGAGTGTCGTATCTACCCCATCGACTCCGAGGATGAGGAGGAGAGTGGGGGGGCGTCAAGAAAGGGAGGAGGTGGAGGAGGGCAGGTGAAAGAGATCATCTGTCCCTGGGAGAGTGTAACACCTCATGAGGGGGCCGGGTAACAAACACACACGTGTTCACGCACAAATTCACAACACACACAGAGATGGACACACACGGACACACCTGAATCCTTAACGTAATCCTTAATTTAACCAAACTGATCGTTCTCTAGTACCTATCATTCAATTCACACATCAATGCTCAGCTCTGGACGTTCATAAGTAGCAGAAGCTAGTCAAAGCTAGCTGAACATTGCCCATTGACATCAACACAGCTCCTGATTCTTTGAGTTCACACAACATCTCTTAACAATGTACAATTTATATATCTATTCTAGTGAGTTAAACTCTGTTTAGTTTCCTGATGTTAGGTCTACAGTGTGTCCGCCGTGCTGCTGCTCGGTAGAGTTTTGTGTGTGGCTTCTCTGCTGTTTGATGTAGTGTTGTAGTACTCTAGTCCAGGACTCGGACTTGACTCAGGTCATGACTCGTGACTCGACTCGGACTCGACCAGTGGTGACTCGGACTTGAACTTGACCAGTTGTAACGTTGTTGTCAGACAATCTCTTTCTTTTGCATAATTCAACAAACAGCAAATCTTAGATAACTGTATGGTCTATTTAGCCTTACAAACGTGCAACACTGTAATGAAATTAAGCTTTAAAATGTTTGGTCAGCAACTTTTAGCACTATCAAGTGACTCGGACTCAAGGTTTACTGACTTGCCTACATCACTGCCTGTGTCTTTAAGGGTTAAGTGATGTTTTTCCATAGTGTCTTTCCTAATGGACAGTGCAATGAGTTAACTGCCAGAATGTATTTTACCCTCTACCTTTAATGTGTTTACAGAGACCAGAATGTGAAATGTGAACTGTATTGTATGACTTCTTGTGTATGTGCCTCAATAAATGACTAAACATGACTGTAACAGGGTGAGAAGTGAATTCATCTATGTGTGTAACCGGGGGCGCAACTTTCACTGGGGACAGGGGGACATGTCCCCCCCCACATTCTGAAATAGCATTTTTGTCCCCCCCCCAGTTTTATCATTGGAATGTGATACAAAACGAGGCAATGGTGTGCTTTAGGACCGTGCGGACGCCTCCGAGAGGTCGGGTAGGCTGTTTGGAGTGTTTATCCGCCTACAAAAACAACAACAGTTATGTCCCCCCAACTTCTAAAACCAAAGCTGCGCCCCTGTATATAACTAGACTGACTGACAATGTATGGCATTATGTACAGTCGTGGTCAAAAGTTTTGAGAATGACACAAATACTAATTTTCACAAAGTCTGCTGCCTCTGTTTTGATTATGGCAATTTGCATATACTCCAGAATGTCATAAAGAGTGATCAGATGAACTGCAATTAATTGCAATGTCCCTCTTTGCCATGAAAAGGAACTTAATCCCAAAAAAACATTTCCACTGCATTTCAGCCCTGCCACAAAAGGACCAGCTGCCATCATGTCAGTGATTCTCTCCGTTAACACAGGTAAGAGTGTTGACGAGGACAAGGCTGGAGATCACTCTGTCATGCTGATTGAGTTAGAATAACAGACTGGAAGCTTAAAAAGGAGGGTGGTGTTTGAAATCATTGTTCTTCCTCTGTTAACCATTGTTACCTGCAAGGAAACACGTGCCGTCATCATTGCTTTGCACAAAAAGGGCTTCACAGACAAGGATATTGCTGCTAGTAAGATTGCACCTAAATCAACCATTGTCGGATCATCAAGAACTTCAAGGAGAGAGGTTCAATTGTTGTGAAGAAGGCGTCAGGGTGCCCAAGAAAGTCCAGCAAGCGCGAGGACCGTCTCCTAAAGTTGATTCAGCTGCGGGATCGGGGCACCATCAATGCAGAGCTTGCTCAGGAATGGCAGCAGGCAGGTGTGAGTGCATCTGCACGCACAGTGAGGCGAAGACTTTTGGAGGATGGCCTGGTGTCAAGAAGGGCAGCAAAGAAGCCACTTCTCTCCAGGAAAAACATCAGGGACAGACTGATATTCTGCAAAAGGTACAGGGATTAGACTGCTGAGGACTGGGGTAAAGTCATTTTCTCTGATGAATCCCCTTTCCGATTGTTTGGGGCATCCAGAAAACACCTTGTCCGGAGAAGACAAGGTGAGCGCTACCATCAGTCCTGTGTCATGCCAACAGTAAAGCATCCTGAGAACATTCATGTGTGGGGTTGCTTCTCAGCCAAGGGAGTGGGCTCACTCACAATTTTGCCTAAAAACACAGCCATGAATAAAGAATGGTACCATCACATCCTCCGAGAGCAACTTCTCCCAACCATCCAAGAACAGTTTGGTGACGACCAATACCTTTTCCAGCATGATGGAGCACCTTGCCATAAGGCAAAAGGGATAACTAAGTGGCTCGGGGAACAAAACATCGACATTTTGGGTCCATGGCCAGGAAACTCCCCAGACCTTAATCCCATTGAGAACTTGTGGTCGATCCTCAAGAGGCGGGTGGACAAACAAAAATCCACAAATTCTGACAAACTCCAAGCATTGATTATGCAAGAATGGGCTGCCATCAGTCAGGATGTGGCCCAGAAGTTAATTGACAGCATGCCAGGGCGGATTGCAGAGGTCAACACTTTTTCTTTGAAAAAGAAGGGTCAACACTGCAAATATTGACTCTTTGCATAAACTTAATGTAATTGTTAATAAAAGCCTTTGACACTTATGAAATTCTTGCAATTATACTTCAGTATACCATAGTAACATCTGACAAAAATATCTCATAACACTGAAGCGGCGAACTTTGTGAAGATCAATACTTCTGTCATTCTCAAAACTTTTGACCACGACTGTACTGTATCTGTCTTCTGTGCATTGGTGATGATGCACAACCTCCACTAGGTGGAGTTCTCTGCATATTTGGGCAGGGATGTAGCTCAGTTGGTAGAGCAAGGGCTTTTGCAATGTCAGGGTTGTGGGTTGTCATGCCCTCTTGATAAGATCGTCTGCTAAATGACGTAAATGTAAATGTGAATATTTCATGGCTGAAGACAAGCTAAAGTACTACAGCTGTAATGGTTAGGTTTTTTTTTCATAGATATATTTTCACTAATGTACACTGAACAAAAATATAAACACACACAATGTCAAGTTTTGTTGCATTAGCGGAATAAAAGATCCCCGAAATATTCATACCACATAAGCTTATTTCTCTCAATTTGTTTATATAACATGCCATTAGCAGACGCTTTTATCCAAAGCGCCTTTACAGTCATGCGTGCGGGATCGAACCCACTACCTTGGCGTTACAAGCGCCGTGCTCTACCAGCTGAGCTACAGAGGACCACGTTTACATCCCTGTAGTGAGCATTTCTCCTTTGCCAAGATCATCCATCCACCTGACAGGTGTGGCATATCAAGAAGCTGATTAAACAGCATGATCATTACACAAATGTACCTTGTGCTGGGGACAATAAAAGGTCACTCTAAAATGTGCACAGATGTCTCAAGTCTTGAGGGAGTGTGCAATTGGCATGCTGACTGGAGGAATGTCCACCAGAGCTGTTGCCAGAGAATTGAATGTTAATTTCTCTACCATAACCCGGCTCAAACGTCATTTTAGAGAATTTGGCAATGCATCCAACTGGCCTCACAACCGCAGACCATGTGTATGGCGTCGTGTGGGCGAGCGATTTGCTGATGTCAACATTGAGAACAGAGTTCACAACGAACACAATTGCATTTTATCATGACGAGATCCAGAGGCCCATTGTTGTGCCATTCATCCGCTGCAATCACCTCATGTTACTGCATGATAATGCACAGCCCCATGTCGCAAGGATCTGTACACAATTCCTGGAAGGAGAAAATGTCCCAGTTCTTCCATGGTCTGCATACTCAACAGACATGTCACCCATTGAGCATGATAGGGATGCTCTGGATCGACGTGTACAACAGCGTGTTCCAGTTCCCGGCAATATCCAGCAAATTCGCACAGCCATTGAAGAGGAGTGGGACAACATTCCACAGGCCACAATCAACAGTCTGATCAACTCTATGCGAAGGAGATGTGTCGCGCTGCATGAGGCAAATGGTGGTCACACCAGATACTGACTGGTTTTCTGATCCACACCCCTACTTAAAAAAAAAAGAAGGTATCTGTGACCAACAGATGCATATCCGTATTCCCAGTCATGTGAAATCCATAGATTAGGGCCTAATGAATTCATTTAAATTTACTGATTTACTTTTATGAACTGTAACTCAGTAAAATCTTTGAAATTGCTTCATGTCGTGTTTATATTTTTGTTCAGTATATTTGACACAAGTGGCAGCCCATGTGGTGACTTTATAATGTGAAGAATGGTAAAGGTGAACAACTAAACAAATAGCACTATGTCATGACTCTCCCTGGGTGATGATCAAAGGCCTCACATCAGATTGGCAAATGGCCGACAACAACCACACCCTCTTACCCTCAGGGGGCTGTGCCGGTCCTGACACCTTAATACTGCCATAAATTAGACATAGGAGAATCTATCTCTGGCCCTCTAGTATGGTGAAAGGAATGTCCTTTGCTTCAGAGACTTCTGCCGCCCAAAAACTTCAACATCCAACAATGAACATTGGGACAATATATTTCAACATCCAAACGTTGGGAATGATAAGAAATGGAAATGGAAAATTAATGTATATTTTGTAATGTCATAAAAAAATGGTATAAAGGAAAACGTTGTGACTTGAAGAGCTTTTACACTGTGGATATCAGGTGTACATCCTTTACCTTGTGTAGAAAATATCAAGGAGGAAGACAATGTTTTCGTGAAGATAGGAATGTCATTTAGCTTTCTAACAAAATCATAGTAATAAAAATAATTTTGTCCTCGTAACTAGCCACGCCCGAGGGAGCTCAGAGAGCGTGTCAGTATGACGGAAACGCCCCTCTTTACCAGAGTGCATAAAAGATTGAGATAGGAATTATCAGATCAGACTAGACGGACCTCAAGCTGCAGATTTTTTCCATATTGGTCCCGACCCTGAAAATCAACAAGAGGTGAAGACGACAAAGTTGCCTCCACTAACAATCAA